GCTCCTCATCAGGTCATCGAGATATCTCAAAGTCTCTGCGAGACTTAACAGACACGTGCAGTGCCGATGAGACTTCGGTTGAATGTCTCATCCGAAGGACAACACCTCCGATGACACTGCCTAGAAGCAGTGGTTCGGGCAGTGTAATGGTTAAGTACACCTGTTGCAGGTGCGGGTCCCCAGGTGTGCCCTCGGTCAGCAGGTGAATACCTACATTGCTGAAGTTCCACCTGCTCATCACTGACATTCCTCCCAGAAACCCGAAAAACCACATCGTTTCCACCTAGGCTTTCTGACTCCAACATTCCAGTCAATACATCATGTCAACGTTGTGTGTAAACAGATGCTCTTTACTGGAAATGTAACAATGCTATTTAAATAATAATAATGAATAAATAATAATAAATATGAATCTTTACATTTGATACAGCACCTTTCATATCAGGAAAACGTCTCAAAGCGCTTGATAGGATTTTAATATGAAGTGCAATGACTGTATGTTTTGTAGGTGAGCGCAACAACTCAAATTTACACACTACCCTTCATGTGGACTAAGTAGAGTTTTGGAGTGCTTGACAGTGCCCGACACTGGGCAGGGAGAGGGGGAGGTGATCATAAGCACGGCTGAAGAGGACAGTCCTTAGGTGTGATCAGAAGACAGGGAAGTGGGGAAGAAGGGTACTAGGTGGTTTGAATGGCAGAAACCCCAACCCCTCCCCTATTCACCGAGACCATCCTTAAAGGGCTTCAAGCGAATTATGTAGAACCCGTAAAGTCATAACTACGTTTCCTCGTTTCTATCTCCACCCCAGACGCCCTCCGCCTCGCCTCCTCCCGTGCCTCCTTTGAGACCCATCTCAAGACCTTCCTCTTTGACCACATGCCTTTGGTCATCCTCCCATCCTTCCCACACCTCCCCAAACTTCACCCGTTTTGACTCCAACTCCCAGCTTGGGCGCAACCCCTTCACTGTTCAGTGTCTCGGGCCATTCTCCTGATGAGAAAGGCACTGTATAAATATAATTTGTTGATGTTGATACATTTACAAGAGAGCAAGTCAACTGCATTGATCTGTTGTTGTCTCCCTTGTTAGAAGAAAAGAAAAAGAGAAGTCTTATTCTGCTCAGTGTTAAACCTGTCACATGCTCTTCCTACTCGGCTGTGTGTATGTGTGTATGTGTGTGTGTGGGGGGGAGGGGGGGTAAAAGATAAGTAGAGAGGATAAAATGAACCAGGAATGAGTCATCCAGAATGTTTACTTAGTACCGTACAACAGATCAATACAAATACCACCTTTGGAACTGGCATGGTTAAATACTTGGGAACGTAATAATAATAATCCTTGCATTTGATATAGTGCTTTTCACGTCTTCGAGAGTCTCAAAGCGCTTCACAGAATATACTGTAAAGTGAATTGACTGTATATTTGTGGGTGAAACGCGGCAGCCAATAGCACACAGCAGCGTCCCACAACAGTCATGGATTGAAGTGACCAATTTATTATTGTTTTTTTGAGGGATTATTATTAGGCGTGTGGAATAAGGAAACTTGCCCAAGGTTTCACTCTGCCTGGAATCGAACCCAAGTACCTCACTTGCAAGGTGAGTGCTCTAACCACTGAGCTACAGGACTCCACAATGTAATGGTTTCACTGACTCAAGTTGCAACCGCAGCACAAACCAGCCACACCCTGGGGATGTCTGCAGTCACTGAGGGTTAGACCATTGATCTGCCGTCAACTAAAATGCTCTGGTTTAAGGTTTCGTCGCCTTGGGATGTCCTCCAGACGTGAAAGACGTTGTATGTTGTACAAATGCAATTTGTTGTGTTGTTGCCAGCAAATCTGTGCAGTTTCATCAGGGTGCAGAAGGCAAAACCTCTGAACAGGTTAAACAAGAAAGTTGGTGAATGAAATTTTTTTCATGCACAGAAATTGTGGAATGGCACACTTTAAGCTTGCCTGATACCAGGAGGTCACAGGTTGGAAGCCTGATCCAGTGCTGAATTAGTTGATGTCGGCCAGGACACACCTCAGCCCCACTGAGGTGAGAGGGACAAATTCCCACTACTACCCCCTATACAGTACCCCTACTTCCCCTGCTGTCAGAACATACAAGGGCACAGAGATCAGGTTTGGCTGTGATGTGGCTTTGGATGAATAACCTGCCAATAGTCATGGGCATCCAGCAGGACCTGGAAGAGTAGATCAGTTAATAGGGGTCCTGTTAACCCTGCAAACCAAAGCCGTAATGGGTAGGGTAGTCCTAGCTGTACAAACAGAGGGAAAGCTTGCCAGACAACACTAAGATTCCAGCAGTTGCCCCAAACCACACTCTGGGGTCCCCAAGCCTTGGCTCTTGCCAACCTGCGTCTAATCCGAAATTGGGTAAGCAGGATGCATCCCTCCAGGGTGAGAGTGCGCATTCCATTCCAACAATCTATCTCTGGGATTTCCATGTGCAGGTGGGATGTATGGAATTCTCAAGCATGGTGATGGGTTTCCACATGTGCCAGACACACGGCTGACCAAAAAAAATTATCCTCGCATGAGTACTAATCAGTAAAAGGGAATGGGTAAAATAATTAAGCCTATTTGTTTGGATAAAAAGTTTCAGGAATAAAATGGTACCAAATGTCATGCATAATTCTCACCATTATCTATAGGATATACATGCATAATCGCTCCACTTCACAGTATATCTTCTGAAGTGCTTTGAGATCTCTCAATGTGGAGTCCTGTAGCTCAGTGGTTAGAGCACTCGCTTTGCAAGTGAGAGACCTGAGTTCAATTCCAGGCAGAGGGCGAAACCTTGGGCAAGTTTCCTTACTCCACACAGAGCCTAATAATACCTCCAAAACCAAAAACAATAATAAATTGGTCATTTTCAATCTACGACTGTTTGTTGGACATTGCTGTGCGCAATTGGCTGCCGCGTTCGCCCACAAATATACAGTCAATTCACTTTAGTGTGTTCTGTGAAGCGCTTTGGGACGTCCTCCCGACGTGAAAAGCACCATATCAAATGCAAGGATTATTATTATTATTAACGAGGTGATAAAGCGCTATAACAAATGCAAGGATAATTATTTAATTCAATAAACACGCATATGCACCTCAGCCCCACTATACCAGTGAGCCAAACATTAAACAAAATTCATATCTTATTGGCCCAGCTCTGAAGAGTCAATGTTAATACATCAAATTAATAAGACCTTACATTCAGTAAGTAGGAGAGAGCCGTCCCTGCTGAATTGGGTTTGACAAGGAGGTTAACGTGAACACAAATTACACATTACTACATTGCTCTACACTACAGCAAACAAGATCATTCACATTTACACCACTTAGTGCGCAATGGAGGGCAGCACAAATATCATTGAAGCACAGAGGTTTGTTTAAATCTCTGCCTCCCAATTCCCACTTTTTCATAATTCATGCCCGAGAGAGAAGGGTGGAGAGAGAGAAGGGAAGAAAAACCCTTATAAAGAGTCTGACTGCTACCCCGACTTGAGATCAGCTATCTCGGGACAGAATAGGACTCAAATCCGTGACCTCCTGCCTTGCGAGGGTTTAACACTCATAACGGCCATTAGATCGACAGTGACCAAAAGTAGTCGGTCTTCTGTAATGTGATCGCGGGAGGGCTGGGGGACAGCTGAGGAGGGCAGCGGAAAGGAATGGCGTCTGAAAGCACGGTCAAAGTGATAGGTAGATCTTAAAGTGTGTTTTGAAGGCAATACAAATTTACGCTAGTGTAACGTCTTTCATATCAGGAGGATGTTTCAAAGTGTTTGTGAGGCAGAGAGGGAGGGGTGAGGCAGGAATCTGCAAAGGAGTTACAGAGCACAGGGGGATGGGGAGGGGGAGCAGAGTGGCTAAAAGCGACGTACATTTTCGGAAGAGATGTACAAGACTGAGATACAAAATTAACAGATTTGGACCATGACCAGCTCTTAAGAAAGTATTCTTACAGAGTAGAGTCGAGGTCGCAATCTTTCCTGATACTGTAAGGTTTTAGAAAAAGAACAAAGTTTCTCCAGTATGGGTAGACTAGAAGCATTTATTAATGAAAAGTACGTTTCAATGAAGTAATCATTGTGCCCAGGTCAGCTGTTAATGCCCCTGTATGAATAGGAGACACTGTCTCTTTTGAAAAAGAAGAAAAACGGCAAAATGAAAGACATTTTCCAACTACTTTTTTTGGACAACTTTCCGACTATTGGGAGTACAATTCAATCCATTTTGCAGTCAGACTCTAAGCTGGCACTCCAGTGTCACTGCTGGGGGAACGCTGCAATGATGTAGGTGCCATCCTTCACACGAGACGTTAAAGCTGTACAAGTGGATGTTCGAGATTCCGGGGACCTTCTCTACAAATAGTCACTACACTTGCCAGAAGCAACATAAGAAGCACTTTGAGACGCATGTTACAGGTGCCTTATTAAATGCATACAACAATCCGCCATATAAACTGATCAATTACCTCATGGCTGTGTTTGTGAAAGAAATTGCTGTGCGCAAATTAGCTGTTGCGTGTGTCTACCAAATACAATCATAGAATCATAGAAGAATCATAGAATCGTACAGAACAAAAAGAGGCCATTCGGCCCATCGAGTCTGTGCCGGCTCTTTGAAAAGAGCAATGCAATGTATAGAATCATAGAATCGTACAGCACAAAAAGAGGCTCAAATCCTGGGAAGCGCACTCTGAGACAGCCCGACTGCACTATAAAACAACAACTTGCATTTACAGTGCCCCTCATGCAGGGCAGCATCCCAGAGCGCTGGACAGTGGCGGAGCACGACACCGAGCCAGGGGGGGTGGTGCATGTGACCATAGGCACGGTCAAAAAGGAAGGTCTTTAGGCGCAACCTGAAGATGGGAGAGGAAGGGGCAAGGATAGAGGAAGAGAGGAAGACTGATTCAAATGCAAAGCTTGTTACTGTTAATATTTTTTTAAAACACTCTTTAGCCAGTAAGCGTTAAGAATGAACTCACCATTGAGCACACTGGAGGTGCTCCTGTGATGAGGAGGTCCTGAGAGATCGTCCATGGACCTCTTGATGGCGGACGCCTTTTCGGCCACTTTGTGGTGATGGTCGGGGCTGCCTGTGCTCCCTGCGCTGGAGGTGCTGCTGCCATCCCCCACGTCCCGAGCCCCCGAGCCCCCGCTCAGGTTAGTCAGGCTGGTCTGGCTGTCGATGGAGCTCCTGCTGCCCGCGTCATTCCTCTCTTCGTCCATCATCAGGACTATCTCCTTGAGTTCCAGGTTCTCCTTGACCAGCAGGTCCTGCTTGGCCTCCAGCTCTCGCAGCTTGTGCTGGGAGACGCCCACCTCCTTGGACATCGCCCCAGCCGTGAAACGGCCGAATCGCTGCCACTCGCGGGACAGCTTCCTGCCCTTCTGTCGGTCGTCGTCCAGGAAGCAGCACAGCTCCCGCAGCTCCTGGTTGTCGTTCTGCAGCCTCTGGTTGACCTCCTTGAGGCTCCGGATCTCGTGCAGGTGAAGCTGGAGCCGGCGGTTCACGTCCTTGATCAGGTGTCCGTGCTCCGCCATGTAGTGAAGCCTCTCACCCTCCACTCGCCTCAGGCTCCTGATCAGATCCTCTTTGCTCCATCTTGTCAACTCATCGTCCGTCACCTGGCTCAGGTCCTCTTTGGATCCATCCAGAGAATTTCTGGCCATTTTTTAAAATGTTTTTTTTAAAATGAGGATTTAATATCAGGAGAGAGAGGGGGGGGTGTGGATTTCTCCCCCTCTTTTTAAAAAAAGTTAAACCTTTTGTATCTTTCTTGAAAAGAAAAGGTCGATTGACTTATCTATCACAAGGTTTCAGACGACACCCAAGTCATATTGGTGTCCAACCAAGTCCTAAGTCTTACCCACAGAGTGGTTCCTAACGCCTCCTTCCTCCACACTTGTTTTTTTTCCTCCTTCCTCTCCTTGGTCAGAAGTTGCAAAAAAAAACCGATGAATTCAAGGAAGGAAAAGGGGTTTCCAATTGCTTTCGAACAGCGCAGACTCCCGCGTGTGTGGGTTGTGTGCGAATGTCCCCAAACTCCAGCTCTGAGCTCCACACCGACTGTACCCAACTCCAGGTACTCAGTGGCGATTAAACAAATCCCCTCTCTCTCTCTCTCTCTCTCTCTCGCTATCTCTCTATCTCCTCTCTCTCTCTCTCTTAACCAAATCCTCTCTCTGTATCTCTCTCTCCTTTTCGATCCTAATCTTAAATCCGTTTCGGTACCATATTGAACCCCCACCTCCTGGTCCTGGCGGCGGTGACGGCTCTGACGGCAGCACTGGGGTTTGGGGAGGGTTTCTGGAGGGTGTTTCCCCTTCTACACTCTCCCTCTCTCCCTCTCTCTGTCTCTGTCTCTCTCTGTCCGCCACCAGTGTCGGTAATGCACACAGCGCCGCGGTGTCACGGGCTATTTGTCCATTTCAAAGGCGAAAGCCCTTCCCCTCAAATGGGTTGAAAACATCCAAAGAAAAGGCTGAATACAACGGATTGGATTGGACCCCCCGACCGACTGCTCCCCCTCTCCCCCTCTCCCTCTCACACCAACAGATCCTTACACCAGTCGGCGTTCCCCCTCGCAACCCCCACACACACAGATACACACACACACACAGAGACACACACAGAGACACTCACACAGACACACACACAGACACACACACAGAGACAGAGACAGACACACACACAGAGACACACAGAGAGACACACAGAGACACACACACACACACAGAGACAGAGAGACAGACACACACACACAGACACTCACACAGACACACACACAGACACAGACACACACAGAGACACACACACACACACAGAGAGAGACACACACACACACACAGAGACACAGACACACACACACAGACAGAGAGACACACAGACACAGAGAGACACACACACACAGAGACACAGACACTCACACACAGACACAGAGAGACACACACAGAGACACACACAGACACAGAGAGACACACACACACAGAGACACAGACACTCACACACAGACACAGAGAGACACACACACACAGAGACACAGACACTCACACACACACACACAGAGACACTCTCACACACACACACACACACAGAGACACACACAGACACACACACAGAGAGACACACAGACACAGAGACACTCACACACACACACACACACACACAGGCTGTGTGTGTAAAGATGTGTGAAGCCAAAGCCAAGGAAGTCACCAACTTATTTCCTCTGTTGCTGGTCAGTAGATCGGATCAGGAACACACAATAAGGCACCAACACACACACACACACTCCCTCTCCCTCTCCCTGTCTCATCCCCTCAGACCCCACAGGAAAAACTGCAACAACAAACCACGTCCTGAAAGCCTCCCCTCCCAACAAAGAACTTTGAAACCACAGCTTCTTTTCGGGATGGATTTCAAAGCATCGCCCAATGATGTTTCCAGTTGCTCAGAGGCTTTGCTCTGAAACCCAATCAGGGATCAGATAAAGCAGAAATTAAATGCAGGTAGAAATAGGGAGAGAAATGTGTGCAGAGCAGAGCAGAGCCACCACACTGGGTTGGGCTCAGCTTCCCAACGCCTCATCGCTTTATCACGTGTGGGGGAGGGAGGAAAACTTAACATTAACAACACTGTATTCCACTGCTAACTCGTTCAACCATTTGTACATACACCACTCACTGAACGAAGTCTCTCCACCTTTTAGGTACACCCAGCTCGATTGCATCCATCCGTCCATCCAACAACAATAAAAATAATAATAAGCGTAACCAATTACATTCGTATATAATAATAATCCTGGCACTTGTTATAGTGCCTCATCGGGTCTTCGAGACGTCTCAAAGCGCTTCACAGGATATACTGTAAAGTAAATTGACTGTATATTTTGTGCACGAAACGGGGCAGCCAACTGCGCACAGCAGCGTCCCATAAACGGCACTTGGTCGCACTCTGTCACCTCCAGTCAGAAGACTGTGGGTTCGAGCCCACAAAGTCAGGAGTTTAAACTCACAGCCTTGAGACCTATGCTCCAATGTTAAACTGTGTTTCACTGTGTTTTGATTTTTTTGGGGTCAGTCGGGTGTCTGACAAATGCGGAAACCCATCAACTGTGCTTCAGAGTATCCAAACCAAACCGAGAATTCCATGCATTCCTCCTACACATGGAAATTCCAGAGGTAAATTGTTGAAATGAATTCTTTGTTGAGAAGAATACCAATTGTCTAGACTTCTTTTCCGAAACCGTTGTTTTAGTTCCTCCCAGCAGTCTTTGACCCATCCACTGACCTGAGTCCAACTTGCGTCTGGTCCGTTGGTCTATTTTCTAATTGAGACACCCACCCAGGTGTAGAACTGAGGCCCCTGTACAGCTTCAAGGCTGCAAACAATAGGAGAGAAAAAGCGAAGTCACCTTAGATATTTAAAGTTTTAAAAGCTTATAGATTGTGGGAGGTTAGGAAGGCTGGGTAGGTGGTCACAGTGACTTTTCGGGGACTTGGAAAACTGAGAAATGGAGACAATGTGGTGAGTTTTGTTTCAACAACAACTTGCATTTATATAATGCCCTTCATGCGGGGCAGTGTCTTTGAGCGCTTAACAGTGATGGAGCCTGACCTCGAGCCGGTGGAGACGAGACGGTGACCGTAGGCGCAGTTGAAGAGGAAGATCTTCAGGTGCAATCTGAAAACATGGTACTGCATTCTGGACCCATGAGGACAGTCAGAGATGGGTTGAACACAGGTTGAACAGTACCATTTAATTTTTAGTATTATTTAGGTTGTTGGTCGATTCTCAGATCACTTTTCCGGAGGTAATAATCCCTTGGAAAAACAATGTGGTCCCACAATCCACAACTGTTTGTGGGACACTGCTGTGCGCAATTGGCTGCTGCGTTTTGGCCACAAAGTATACAGTCAATTCACTTTGCAGTATATTCTATGAAGCGCTTTGAGAGGTCTCGAAGACCTGATAAGGCGCTGTATCAAATGAAAGTATTAGTATTATTATTTGGAGCTTGGGAGGGATGATAGAGGAATGTTGATGGGAGCATCAGTATTGGTAAAACAGAGAGACAAAGCATGGTTGCAACAGGAGAGAAAGAGAGACAGAGAATCAGAGATTGAAGGTCAGAGGTGAGGAAACGATCACCTATTAGATTACACATCCTTTCTTCACCCTGACATCCACTTTGTATTGGATAATACTGACACTGAAAGCGGGAGTGCATCAATGGATTAGAAGGATATTGTGGTAGCACTTTGATTTGTCACTTTCCAGAAACTATCAATCATGGGACACTATATCAATGCGCTTTTAGAGTTCATTATTGCCATTAGTTCATTACCATTATTACGTTTTTGAGACGTCTCAAAGCGCTTCACAGGATATACTGTAAAGTGAATTGGCTGTATATTTTGTGGGCGAAAAGGGGCAGTTAATTGTGCACAGCAGCGTCCCACAAACAGTCGTGGATTGAATGAACAAATTATTATTAATAATAATTACAGCTCAGACACGATTGGCTAAACTGCCTCCCTGTTGTTCTTCTGTTTTGATCTCCCCATGGCTCCATCATGTGCTGCTGTGTATATCTATCTCTACGAATGCTGGGCATCAAAGCTACTTATGTTTTTGAACCATGAGGCATACCCATCATTCCTAATATACACAGTGAGTCTCTGCAGGACTGATTGAGGGGAAGTAAAGCTCGGTCAGACCTGAATTATTAACACCCGGATGCTTGTTCTGCCTGTTGGAGATCAGAGTGACTCTGAAATTGACCAAAATCCACCCACACTTTGAAGTGCAGCCGGTTTGTTAGACTAATGAGGCCTTTCATTGGTGTGTTTGATACGTCGCTGTATCACATCTGGAGGACACCTCAAAGCAGCTTCACAGGACTTTACTGGAAAGTGTAGTGACTGTGTAATTTTTGTAGGCAGACAATTTACGCACAGCAATGTCCAGCAAACAGCCATGAGGGGAATAACGAATTTTAATTTGGGGTGATTGTTGAGCAGTACTCCCTTCTCTTTTCGAGCAATGTTATGAGCTCTTTTAACCTGCACAATAACCTGAACAGGTTTTGGAACACCTTTGACAATGCAGCGCATCACCCAGCACTGCACGGCAGTGTGAGCCTTGACTGTCCCCCCACGCTTGTGGCTCTGAAACCTACAACTGATGCAAGTGCCGGAAGGCAAGTGCCAGGTTTGATTCCTGCGACTCTGAATTAGCTGTGGCGCAAACCAGTGTAAGTGAAATATAAGAATCCTTCCTTGCTCTGAAATTGCTCTGAAATCACCCAGACTGTGCTGTATCATCATATTCACTTAGTGCAACAATGGTTCAGTGTTCTCTGGGAACTGATTGCAAATGAGATGGCAAGACCGTTTTGTTGAAGTGTTCCTTTCTGCTGCAATATGCACTCCCATCTATGAGGATAAAAAGAACACATTTCCAGTGACATAATAGAGGCAGTGCGCTTGAGGATTTAAAAAATCAAGAGTGTTTGACTAAATGAAGCGTAACTCAAGGCAACATTTGGATCAATCATGTTTGTGCTCATGTGTCTTTTACACTAGCGCCCCCTTCTGGGAGACAAATAATAATAATAATAATAATCCTTGCATTTGATATAGCGCTTTTCACGTCGGGAGGACGTCCCAAAGCGCTTCACAGAACACATTGTAAAGTGAATTGACTGTATATTTGTGGGCGAACGCGGCAGCCAATTGCGCACAGCAATGTCCCTCAAACAGTCGTAGATTGAAAATGACCAATTTATTATTTTTTTTGTTTTGGAGGGATTATTATTAGGGCTCTGTGTGGAGTAAGGAAACTTGCCCAAGGTTTGGCTCTGATCTGCCGGGGATTGAACTCAGGTCTCTCACTTGCAAAGCGAGTGCTCTAACCACTGAGCTACAGGACAAAGGAGTACAAAAACACCCCCTGTCCACACCAGTCCATTTATTGCATTGGAGAGCATTTGAGTGGAGTGCACAAGAAATCAATACACAGCTCAAACAACAAGGTTCCTTGGTAACCCAGTGGAAGCAAAATCCTACATACATAAGCAGTCCCCAGGAGAGAAAGCTTTTGTCCTCCCTGCCCGCTCAGGTGCTCATTACAGATCCCGTGACACTGTTCAAAAAGTCAAGGGAGCTTCTGGCTGTGTCCTAACAGGAGGGTGGTCCTAGCTGGACAAGCAGCGGGAAAGCTTGCCGGACAGTGCTCTCAATGGCAAGCTATGCAGTTTTAGTCGGTTAGATTCCAGCTCCCAAACTACATTCTAGGGTCCCCAAGCCTTGGCTCTTGCCAACTTGCAGCTACTACTTTCTGGAACTGGGTAAGCAGTATGCGTCCCTCCAGGGAGAGTGCGCATCCCATTCCAACAATCTATCTCTGAATCTTCCATGTGTAGGTGGGATGCACGGAAATCTTAGCTTGGTTTGGATACTCTTAAGCACAGTGATGGGTTTCCACGTGTCAGACACCCGGCTGACCGAAAAAAAATTATTATAGTAGCCGTGGACCTATAGCTAGTAGGCTGGTAATCACCGCCTGAGATCACAGGTTGCTTCAAGCGAGCCTGGTGCTTGATCGTTCTCACTCTACAGCATGCCTCTGCCTTCCGTGAAAGAGGATAGAGAAATAGATTCACCAGCAGCTTGTATTGCAGAATCTGTAACACCAGAGAGTGACGTAGTCGGCACCCAGAGGCTGAAAGGCCTGAGTGTCTGTGTGATGTTATGTAAATTAATAATCCATGTATAAAACAGCAGCCAGTTGTCAACATGCAGAGCCGCTCCTGTGTGATTCCACCTCAGGGGTCAGGTTCACACTGGGACCAGCTCGGATCCAAGACAGCAGAGTGTGTTAGCTGTTGGTTTGTTCTGGTCACAAATTATTTCTTCTCTTTTGTGCGGGAGTACCAGCACGGGCACATTCCAAACCCACGTTTATAATAATAATCCTTGCATTTCATAGAGCGCCTTATCACGTCATCAAGACGTCTCAAAACTCCTCACTGGTATATTGTAAATGGACTGATTGTGTATTTTGTGGGCGAAACGCAGCAGCCAAATGTGCACAACAGTGTCCCACAAACAGTCGTGGATTGAGTGACAAAATTATTTTTTTGAAGGAATTATTACTGTAGTCCTGTAGCTAAATGGTTAGAGCATTCGCCTCGCAAGCAAGAAATCTGGGTTCAATTCCTGGCAGGGCAAAACCTTGGGCAAGTTTCCTGACTCCACACGCCTGATAATAATTCCTCATGAAATAATGGGTCTCGGTGTCGGTGACGGTATGTCCTCTCATTGTACCTTCTTCTTGCCGTCCCTACAGGCCCCAGCGTTCTGTGCTTCAATCCCTGGTTGAGTTGCTGACGTCAGCCAGAGCTGCAGCGGAAACCAGAGGAGACAGTTCGTCGCGCTCCGCCGCCATCAAGCACTCTGAGGTGCTTACCCTGGGTGAGGGGGCGCTGTGTGACTGCACGTTGTCGTCATTGTTGAGTTCAAAATCCTCATGCAAACAACAATCTGAATGTGCTTTCCTCAGTTATAAACACGCAAATCATTAGCTTTACAAATAATAAAATTGGTCACTTCAATCCACACCCACTTGTGGGACACTGCTGTGTGCAATTGGTTGCCGTGTTTCGCCCCAAAATATAGTTAATTCACTTTACAGTATATTCTGTGAAGCGCTTTAAGACGTCTAGAAGACGTGAAGAGTGCTATATCAAAATGCAAGTATTATTATATTTTTATTATTACCCCTGAAAAAGTGATCCGCTAATCAACCAACAACTGGGTTTCTACTTACTACTAGGTAAAGAGGCGTGTGGAGCAAGGAAACGCGCCTAAGATTTCGCCCTGTCCGGGAATCAAACCCACGTCCTCTCGTTTGTGAAGTTCTATTGCCCTTCTGAAGTCTTCTTTTTTCCTGAAAATTGGGTTACGGTCCAGTCTCCTTCCTTTTTCTCATCCTAGTGGCTGTTTAATCAAGCGTGAACCTTGACAATAAGCACTGGCAGGGTGCTTGACCATGAAGGGTCACAAGAGACAGGGCAGATTCATGGCTGATATTTCTCCTCCTCAGGCATTTAGGACAAATATAGCTTTTCCCAAGTGTTGGTTGGTCTCAGATCAGCTTGCATTGCACTGACCGCGGAACTTAACCCAGCTTCTTCAAAATCAGATAACCTGCTGAGCCATTGAGGTGGTTGGGGGGGTGGGGGGGGGCAGGCAGGGAAAGGGGGAATTGGTAATCTTTTAATAATGCAGTAAATACAAGGAAAACATGTCTGTTTTAGATTTACATTATAAAGTTGGAACATTCAGAATATCTGCCAATTTAAGATTACTGTGCTTATTTCCATTTGTAAAGCTAATGGTTTGGTTGTTTATAACTGAGGAAAGCGCATTCAGATTGTTGTTTGCACTGTGCCCTCTGGTTGTGAGTGACCTGAATATTTTATGCTGTGCTTGTCTGATGGGTTCCTGTGTGTGAAACTGAATCCTTAATGTAACCCAGTCTGGAGACACAAGTCAGCAAGAATAAATTAACCTACATGATCTGCAGAAATAAAAACAAGTCTCTTCACTGTTCGCACCAGGAATCAAAATTATAATATTTTTTAAAACATCTTGCATTTGATGTAGTATTTAATAACCTTGGGACGTCTCAAAGCACTACAGAGTTTTTGCAATGTGCAGTGACTGTATCTATGGGAGCGCTTACTCTGCAGACTGAGTCTATTATCTCTAGTTATTTATTAATATTCATAGCTACCAATATTCTGCTATTATTAAGGGAAAAGCAGTAAGCGATGTGAAAAATATCACTGTGTTGTCCGTCCATCAACACCACATAACAGAACCAATGCATTAATAATAATCCATGGATTTGATATAGTGGCTTATCACGTGGTTGAGACGTCTCAAAGTGCTTCACAGAATATATTGTGTATTTTGTGAGCAAAACGCAGCAGCCAATTGTGCGCAGCAGTGGACTGAGTGCCCATATTTTTTTAAAGTGATTCCCCTCTCAGAGGTGCAGTCCATACGTGGCAGAGAGACCGGTTTGGAGTCCTGGCCGGCGCTCTAATAATAATAATAATAATCCTTGCATTTGATATAGCGCTTTTCACGTCGGGAGGACGTCCCAAAGCGCTTCACAGAACACACTGTAAAGTGAATTGACTGTATATTTGTGGGTGAACGCGGCAGCCAATTGCACACAGCAATGTCCCACAAACAGTCATAGATTGAAAATGACCAATTTATTATTGTTTTTGGTTTTGGAGGATTATTATTAGGCTCTGTGTGGAGTAAGGAAACTTGCCCAAGGTTTCGCCCTCTGCCTGGAATTGAACTCCGGTCTCTCACTTGCAAAGCGAGTGCTCTAACCACTGAGCTACAGGACTCCACAAATATAGCTCTATAGCCAGAGGTTGCCCAGGAGGCCAATGTGACCAATGCTTCCGTTTCCTATTCCTCCATACAACAACAACAACAAAATTACATGTATGTAGCGCCTGTCACACCAGGAGGATGTCCCAAGGCGCTGGACAGCCGGTGTTTCAGACCCCGGCTGGGGGTCGGGATCGGGGAGGGCGGGGGAGGGAGGGTGATCAAAGGCACGGTCGAAGAGGAGGGTCTTGAGGCTGGTCTGGAAGGGGGCGAGGGTGGGGCGAGGCGGAGAGGGCTGGGGGCAGAGTGGCTGATGGTGGGGGAGGGGAGGGCTGGGGGCAGAGTAGCTGATGGTGGGGGAGTGGGGGCAGAGTGGCTGATGGTGGGGGAGGGGTGGGGGCAGAGTGGCTGATGGTGGGGTGGGGGGGGGTGAGGGTGGGGCAGGAGGGGAGGGGGGGGCTGGGGGCAGAGTGGCTGATGGTGGGGGGGGTGGGGGCAGAGTGGCTGATGGTGGTGGGGGGTGGGGGGGCAGCAGGTCACAAGCGGTAGGAAGGAGTGAGGGCCACGGAGAGCCCTGAGGGCGAGGACCAGGACTTTGAACTCGACGACGACGACGACAACGTGCAGTCGCACAGCGCCCCCTCACCCGGGGTTAGCGCCTCAGAGCGCCCGATGGCGGCGCAGCGCGCGACGGACCCGTCTGCTCGGGTTTCCGCTGCGGCTCTCAGACTGAGAGGTCAGCCACTCACCGCGGGACTGAAGCACAGAGAGCCGCCGGGGGGGGGCCGTGGGGACGGCGAGAAGACGGTACAACGAGAGGGGGACACCGACACCGACGGACGGCGCCACGTGAGAGCGCGCGGCGGCCCTAACGGCTGTTACCCGGCATGCCGAGCGGCCGGGCGGGCGGGCGGGCGGGCGCGGACTCGCCAGGTTTGGGCGGGTTTCACGCCCCCAATTGGGCTGTTTTTTTTTGGGTCGATGGGGCGGGTGTCTTATTTGTCGTTTAAATCCGCGGGTTTTTGTTTTCTCTCTCTGTTTAGGAGGACCGTTTCTCTGCGCGTCGTTTCGAAAGCAATCAGAGTCCCCACACACACACACGGCTGTACTCATTAGAGGCCAACCCGAACAGGTTGGGCTACTTTTGGGCGGGCGTTAGGGGTGACGGGGCTCCAGCTCTGTCGCTCCCCCTCTCTCTCAATATTGGGCTACTTTTGGGCTCGTGTCCGGGGTGACTTTGGGCTACAAACCAACCGCCCGGCGCTCGAGACGCTGACGGACGCCGACAATATGGCGGCCGTTGAGGTGGCAACGACGGGGGAGGCCGCGACCGAGTAGCAGCGCGAACCCGCCCCAACCCGAATAACCCCCACCCCCCCCACGGCACCCGACACCCACACCGACTTTCTGGAACTAACCGGTCCGACCACCGACGTCAGGAAACCGCGGTCATTCGCCGCCTCGAATGGGGACTTGAGGCCTTGTTGGTCTGACAGCCACAGGCCTCGGACTTTCCTCACACCTCAACCCCGGCCGCAGCTGCACTGCTTCCCACTCCGCTTGTGGTCAGCTCCCGGGGGGGGGAGGGAGGAGGAGGGCTCGTTGGAAAATATTTATATATATATATATTGAGGGGGGCCGTTAGTGTCTGTTTATTATAATTTCCTTTTGTGGCTTCCCTTCCCTCTCCCCTCTCCCCAAACTCACTGCCAACTCTCCCCCATCCCCCACTGCCATCACTCACTAACCACCATGGCCTCCTGGTTTGGGGGCATCGGCTCTGGCCTGGGACAGTCCCTGGGTCAGGTCGGGGGAAGCCTGTCTTCCTTCACTGGTCAGCTGTCGAGCTTCACCAAAGACATCCTTGCAGAAGGCACCGAGGAGGTGGCAGGTAATGATCTATATTATATAATAACAGTAATCCTCGCATTTGATGTAGCGCCATATCAGAGACATCTCAAAGCCCTTCACAGAATATACTGTAAAGTGAATTGACTGTGTATTTTGTGGGTGAAACAATAATAACTAATCCTTGCATTCGATATAACACGTCGTCATTGTTCTCGAAGTTTTAAAGTCTTCACAGGATTTGACCGTAAAGTGCAGTGACTTTGTACTTATAGGTGAAATGCAGCAGCCAGTTTGTGCACAGCACTGTCCCCACAAACAGCCGTGAAGTGAACGGCCAATTTTATCAGGATATTGTTGGCCAGGAAACTGGGAGAGAGAAACTCCCTTTGCTTTTTTGAGTTGCGCTGTGGGATTCTAACAACCATAGGATCTGAAGAGGCAGAAGGGACCTCTGACAATACAGCACCTCCCCCCCCCCCCCCCAGCTCTGTATTGGAGTATTGTCTTAGGCAGTGATTTGCATCAATTTAACATCTAAAGTCTTTGTAGTGGGACATGTGTACAGTACAACAGTTTATGACTCAGTTTGTAGTGCTCCCAACTCCAGGTCAGAAGTTTGTGGCTGAAACGCCAATGCAGTGTTGGGGGAACTTTGTGTTATCAGAGATGCCCTCTCAGGTGAGATGTTGAACGAAGGTCCTGTTAGATGGACTGTAATAATCCCACAGCATCATTTGGAAAGATCCAGTGCTGGGATTCATTCAACTTATTATTTTTTGCTGTTTCTCCTCCCCAGTTGTGCACAATCTACATTTGAGATGCTGGGAAGTATGCATTTGTGGAGACATTTTTAAGAAGAAGGTTCTTTATATTGACTGCCTTCTTTTGTATCTGCACATTAGAATACATTAAAATATACAGCACAGAAACATGCCATTCGGCCCAACTGGTCTATGCTGGAGTTTATGCTCCATATAGCCTCCTTCTGCCCTTCCTCAACTAAGCCTTCAAGCATAACCTTCTAATCACATATAAGATATCTTGATGTAAAGATTGGGTGTAGAAAAGAGGTGCTTAACACGTGATGCCTTCGACAAACAGACCCTTCTGCAAACCACAAACTTAAAAAATCAACTGCACAGGTTTGGATGCTGTGAAACCCACCTTGCAATACAAACAATTTGGTAACCTGAAACAATACAGTATTGCAGAAATTCAGAAATGGTTTTACAATCTAAATAAAGGAACAGTTTCTGTTCAGTGGATCCACATGCTGAGCTCAGCATAATGTGTAACTTCTTTGCTACACATTGGTGTATGGAATGGAATAATTTGAATCAAATTTGAATCAAATGCAGTGTTTTACGGCATTGAATTCCTGTTGAAAGCAATCATTTTAGTTTGTGAAAAAGTGTGTAGTTTCCCAGTGATCCACAGTGAGTTTTTCCTTAAGCTACTTTTGGTGGTGCACTTTCCAGCAAATGTGGAATTCCAGTAACTGGTAGCTCAGTTTAGCAGCTGCTCCAGACCAGCTGGGTGAGAGCAGCACTTATGCTATACCCCAGTGCTCAATCTGTAGTGCACCACAAAGTTTTAGCAGAATAAAACATTTCATAGGTGTATGTGTGTAGACCCTGAATAGTTCATCTCTTCCACTTTGGTCTACCAGCCTGCATTCATGGTTCACGTTCACACTTGAATGGTGTTCTCTTGGACAAAGTATCGAGGATAACAGAAACCCGTGGACAGATTTTCACTTCAGACTGCCAAACTGGGACCCGATATCACAACATTTCAGTTTCCACACTTCTGCAAAGATTTTGTATGGAAATTTAAAATATTAGGTTAAGCAGGAAAATTGTCAATTTTCTGCTAGTAATTTCATGCTTTAACCGTGTTGACTGCAGTTCAACTTGAGTATCACAATGTTAATGACACTGCAGGTCAGGATCACACCGCAGCCTGTGATATAATTGATTTCTACGCCTAATTTCATGCGGTTTACATAAGTAGTAACCCAACGGGAATACAATAACTAATACAAGGATGCAAAGGGATTATAAGATGTGAAAGGAACACCTGCTTTTGCTATGTTTAATTGAGGTCAAATGATACAGCATTTCATTTTTTGAAAGGACTGTAAAATAGATGTTCCTCTAACTGTAGCTTTGTCAAAAATAACATTTGCTCTTGGCAGATGCTGTGATTATTGTGCAATAAGTAGCTTGAGGCCACTTTCCACTGCCACACAAAAAAAAAGTTGGTGCAGTTCTAGTTTTTGTGCTATGAAATAGCTCAAACTTGAATAATAGTAGTAGTAATAATAATTCTAATGTTTTGGTGTAGCGCCTTTCACTTTCAGAGGACATCTCAAAAGCTTCACAGGATTTACTGTAAAGTGTGTAGAGACTATTTTGATAGTCTTACCACGTTTGGTACCTATATCACTGCATCACCGTTTATTTTGATATAAAACTGCTGTGTTTTATTCCACACCATTTAAAATCTTTTATGGTAAAGTTATTTGGTTCTATAGTAGAACCTTGACCTTCTACCAATTTCAGTTATCTATTGGGGAAGGGGACTTATTTTAGTGTTTATGGTCGGGTGTACTGCAATTTGTGCCTTTTAGTATACAGTACCTGATGCCACGTCTCGTGCTTTGTCGCTTTCCCTTCTGTAAACACTAGACCTTGGCATTCAAGCTTTGTGTCTTAGTGTCCGTACGTTATCGATAAGCCTATTGTGATGATCTTGTATCAAATGTACCTGAGTTAGAGCCTCTGGTGGGAGCGACAACTGGACCTGAGGTTCAGCGAGGAGCTGAGCTGTGTTATGATTGTGCCCTGTAGCTACAATAATATTGTGATGCTTGAGGTACTGCGTGAATACAAACACATATGCAGTCAACATGGTTACATGGCTGAAATTACAAGCCTTGAGTTGACAATTTTCCTGCTTAACCTAATATTTCAAACAAATCATTGAAATTCAGAATCAAAGGTGTTGAAAGCAAAGTGAAAATGTCTCTGCATCTGTGGACCATGTAAACAGTGAGATGTGATTGAGAGAGGATCGTTGAAAAATGGAACAGCTGTGTTCTATTTCTAGTTGTCTTAATTATTTTTGAGTTTAAGGGTAGTAATATGATTTCTCTAAAATCATATTACCATATAGATAGGTGCAGAAAATCAATGGTGCATGATGAAAATTGTATGCCAAGAATCCATTGACCTTCTAGGTAAATTTATATTCTTACTGTCTTTCAAGAAAAATGTGCTGTCTGTCTTCCTGATGGTGTTTTCTGTAGCTGTTGGAATTCACAGGTCTGCTACTGAAAAGACTTACTTTGGTGATAAGCTCTGCGAGGCGCTGCCCAGTGTGAAGGGCACTATATAAATGCAAATGCAAGTTGGGTTGATGTAGGTGGCTGCTGTTGTCAAGGTGTTTCGATTCCGAGCACTCCAACATGGGTTGAAAAAGTTCAGTGCATGTCCCAGACGGGGTAGGTCAAGGTTGTTTCTAGTGAACCTGTGCAGGGGATTTGAAGTTTGAAGATAATTACAAAGCGACTATGCTGACTTGATAAGAAGATCACTGGGACAAGACAGCCCTGCTATCAGCAAACTCTTCATTCCGTATTACCTGAGCTGCCAAGTCTTGACATGATTCAGTGCTGGGTTGACATTGTTAGAAAATCCAAATAAGAGACTCTCGCTCGAATGGATTATATTGGTTCTTTAATACTCAGAATCCCAATCCACTCGGTTAATTGCCCGCAGGCACGGCCATCGTCCCAACTCTCTACTACGATCGTACCGGACAAATAATTTCTGCGAGTACCATGGCCCCTGTCCCAACTATCTACTAGTTACGGTCATACCGGACTCATAAACACGTCAACTGCCGAGTGTATTAATTCAGAGTATCCTGCCGAATCCCAAATTGTTAGAAAGTAAAATCAGCCAAATCTGTAAGGAAATAACCTAATTCCTTTAACCAGATATCTGACTGTTTTATTATTATTCGTTCGTTATTTCCCAATATCCCGATGGGTCAGACCAAAGGCCGATACAATCAACAGATCTTATAACAGAACAATACCACCATAGATATCTCGAGTTCAACACTGTGTCGTTACAGCACACAAGTTTGATTCTTCATGCTTTCAGTCTTCTTGCTTACAGCTTTCAATCTTCTATCTGATATGTTCAGTCTTAGTGTTTCCAGCTCTCAGTCTTCCATCTCCCGTACCCTTGCCTCCGCAGCCCGCGATGGCCCCATCTCCCGTACGCTTGTCTCCGCAGCCCGCGATGGCCCCATCTCCCGTACGCTTGTCTCCGCGACCCGGGACGGCCCCGTTCACAAAGTTATCGGAACTCTTATACCGATGTTCATCCAATCATGGTGCGGACATTAGATCACCTGCTGAAATCAGGCTGCGCACACATACACATTGTCCTTAAGACCACTGTTATCTGATCTAATTGTCTAAGATGGAGGATTGATCAGTTTAGGGCTGTATCTGGTGCTCATTATTTTCTGGTGTGGGATCATTAGTACATTCCTTTTAAGTGACTGGTTATCTCTTATCAGTATCCCGGGATGGTACCAAGGTCCTCTAGTTTAAGCAACTTGCCCGTTAGCTGCTATTCTTGAGGGTTGCCTTCTGTCGTTTGCAGACCCTCTCAGAATCTAGCGACTTATTGCTCAGTCGAGATCCTGTGTCGACTGGTACCTCGGACCGTTACCTCTGTGGCTTGTTGTCATTTACTGATAAGAGGTGACCCCCTGCCCTTTTCCAAAGCTGTCCTGTTATTCTTTCAAAAACAGAGAAAACCAGATGTGTCCTATCCCATGACTGTCAGTCCAGTTGCACTTAACTTAAAAGTTAACCCATTCACAACATCTATTATGATTCTAGCAGTATACCAAAAGTGTATATTCTAACAACATGTTTGTATTTCTGGCTTATTATTGGTTCCAGATGAAAACCAGTGAGTTGCTGGTAATTGGTTTTGCTTTTGACAGCAACAACACATTACATTTGTATAGCATCTTTCACATGGGAGGACGTCCCAAGTAACCTTAATAATACAACCATAGAAAGTTTATAGCATAGACAGAGGCCATTTGACTCATTATTTTCGTGCCGATGCTAGCTCCCTCGCCTGACCCATCTACTCTAATTTAATTCCCTGCTCTTTCCCCATACCCTTAAATATATATTTTTGAAGTATTTATGAAAATGATGCGTATGGTGTTTGAATTGCAGCTGAATGGTAGTCTTGTCCTGAGAAAGGCCCAGGGCTTTCCTTGTTTAGATTCTCGAATCTATATTCGTGTACAAGATGTGCACAGTGTTATAAGAACATAAGAATTTGCTTGGCAAAAGAAGACCAAGGTCCATCTAGTTCATTTTCCACCATCTTGGCATTCACTTGACATTTTGTGTCCCAAACTATATACTGTATCCCAAGATATTAACAGAAATCTATCTAATTTGTTCTTTAAACAAACAACATTTTCTGCTATTTTCTATTTTGTGTGTATGTAATATATATGGTAATATTCTTTTCTTATGTATGAAAAGTGTAGACGTGCCACACAGATTGTGTCTATTAAGATGTCTGGAATCTGGTGGTAGATTTGTCCATGTAAACTTTGAGGTTAAGCTTAACCAGATAAAGCGATGTGGCATGTAAAGGTGCAGAAGTCACTTTGAAAACTTGTTGAATTAGCTCTGGAGAATGTGACTTACAGCAATACTCAGATAACCAAGATAATTGAAGTTACGAATGAGGAAAGTTCAAAAGTGATGCAAGTAGCTTGTGATTTGTCTTCCACGTGAGCAATGATGCTGGCAGCTCACCTCCTCGAATGAGGTCATGTATCTGATGGGTGTGAATCATTTCTGTAACCTTTGAAAGAGAGATAGGTGAAATTTCCTTAAATTATTTTGGCAGCATTAAATGAGGTTCCTAACCGTTCTTTAGTGTTTCTCAGACACCAAGGATAATAATAATAATCCTTGCATTTGATATAGCGCTTTTCACGTCTTCTAGACATCCCAAAGCGCTTCACAGAATATACTTTAAAGTGAATTGACTGTATATTTGTGGGCAAACGCGGCAGCCAATTGCGCACAGCAATGTCCCACAAGCAGTCGTGGATTGAATTTATTATTTTTTTTGTTTTTTGGAGGGGTTATTATTAGGATGTGCACTAGCTACAGATGATAAAATGGACAGGCAAGCTGCTTCTACTTATTCTGCTGGGAATGTCGTAAATTACAGTATTTGGCCACTCCTCCACTATAGATGAGACTGGGAATTTAACTCCCTGTGAGCCTGTGGTTCATTGTACTATTGTGCCAGGTATTGGTGTCCAAGGAAGCATTTTCAGGTTGTACCTTGCATACTGGAAAAGGTTATCCATATTTGGCACTTTTTGGTGACATTGTTCTAATAAACAAATCTTTCCAAAGCAATTTCTGTGTGAGTCATAAATTAAATGCAAGTTCATGTTTACGTGGAACTGGATGCTTTAGTGGAAACCTGCTCATATCAGTCAGGCCTGCATTGGGTTCCAGACTGACCATAATACGTTTGTTAAGATTACTTAATTAAATCAGAATCTCATGGTCCCTTCCTGGTTTAATTCCAGATGCTGCCAGTGAATTGCACGTGACTAATTCCAGACTGAGGGAGGTTGAAGCAGCTTACACAGCACAAAAGTCTGAGGTTGGTGTGAAAACACTTCATGTTGAAATTGTTTTTCTCAACTGAAACTTTCAAAAGGTGAAGACAGTTGAAACCACTGCATTATAACATGGTTGTCCTGTAGTTTCCTTTTTATTTCCATAGCACCAGAGAAAGTCATTTGACATAATAGTTTTATAGGTGGAGGAAAAGTCCTCCTTATAAGATGTAATTGTTTTGCAAAAGTTTTCGTGAAGCTTAATTTTTCCCCTTTCTTCCCCTTCAGTATGAGCGATTGAGGAAACTTTATTCAGATTCAGAGGAGAAAGAGGCTGCAGCAGAGCTCCAGATAAAGCACCTGTCTTCAGAGTACAGAAACCAGCTACAGCAGAAAGACGTGGGCAGAATTGTTTTGTGTTCTTTCTCCTTTTGTTCATTACCTCAAACCTCTTACGTGCCTCCCCTTCCCATTCTGGGTTGAAATCCATTGTTGGTTCCATAAATGTAATGTAAAGGGTTTCATCATGTATTCTACATTGTTTCTGCGAGCTAATGTGAAAAAGTCTGAACTTCCTGTTTCTAGTCCTTTGCTATCCTCCAGTATTAAGTGCATCCACCACACGCCGATTGCTAAAACTAATGTTTTTTTGTGTGTTTATAGTGGGGTTTATTGTTATAAATGTACAACAAAAGAATCCTAGGTTTAGTCTTCTGCTCATGATAGTCATTACTAGGGTAGGATGGTGAAGTTTTATCATTTCATATACAGTATTTTTGTATCTCTACTTCGAAGATTAAAACAAAATAATATGAGAAACCAAAATGTTCCTCGTAATGCAAATTATAATAATGTCAAATCTCCCTGTATAGATATTAGTTGAACTAAAAACATATTAGTTGAACTTCGTAAAATCCTGTGAAGTCGGTTGACATGACTCAATGACAGAATAAGGAGCTACGTTAAATGCTGAATGCTCGGGTTATTATTTCTTCCTGTTGATATTTATAGATGTAATTCTAGGATTCACCACTAAAAGTACCCACAGTACACTACTGTAGTGTGTGTGTGTGTGTGTCACCCAGTGGTATAACCTTACCTTGTCATACATACAATCTTACATACAAGTTTGACTTTTATACCAAGGTTAGTCAGCATGTACCTAACGAATGTGTGTTCTACTTATCTGCTGCAGTTATGTTAGCTAACTATAAACCAGAAAAGTTTCCAGTGGGAAGCAGTTATCAAATGCTGTATCATTCCTAATGGCATTTCAGCTCATTGTTGAGTTGAATTAGTTATTGATTATTTTTTTTAAGGTGGAGATAAGCCATCTGAAAGCCAGACAGAATGCCTTGCGAGACCAAGTGCAGAAGCTGCAGACTGCTGCCCAGCCAACTGGCTTCACTTCGACAGCCTCCACGTCCTTTCTGCCTGTTGACGTGTCCACTTTCCACGGGGATACCATGGATTTTGGAGATGTTATCGGGTGCCAGCAAGAGATCAACAGACTTTCCAATGAGGTCTCCAGGCTGGAGGCTGATGCGTCCCATTGGCGACTGCTGGCTGAGGTCAGTGTTTGTTAGACGCATGATCAGCAATGATGAATCTCGTATTGAAAGATCTAAACCTTGCAGAACTATACTGTGACTATGGTAAACAGTGATGCTGACTGCTCTGAATTCTGTGGGTTTCCCCACACTTCTTCCCCCCTCCCCAAATGCTGACACAATGCAGTATCTTTGTGGTGGTGGGTGACTTGGGTTCAGACTTGCGTTACTGGATCAACAGTGTTGGTCTTGCGCTTAACATGGCCTATCCCTGTTCTCTTATCATTCTTTGTGGGAAAGTGCTGAGCTGAGAACTGGCAATCAGGATGGGTGAAGGGGGGGAAGAGAGGAGGGGAGGAGGAGTTTTTGTCTAGGCAATAGTTCTGTATCTCCTCCCAGCCGAGAGTGGAATCGGCAGAGGCCTAGGAGCAAGTCTGAGGCCCTGCCTTGTTACTGTTGGTGTCTGGTCTGGAGAAATAGGAGAGTTTAACCTCTGTATAAGTAGATTTGGATCACTCACTGCTGTGTAAAACACGAGTTCCAGACTTATCTGGACCACAGGGCTGTCACTTTAAGCAATAAATAAGAGGAATGCAATCATGAAAATGAAATCTTTTTAGTCCTCCAAAGGTCAAGGCACAGTCGGCTCAGACGAGAATGAACTCTACAAATTACAAAAGGCTATCAAGGTGAGAACTTTGTGTTTCAACCGAATCATTTTCCTCCTGTTGCAGTTTATGGGACACTTAGTTGCTGAGAGTGAGCTGCCTTTCAGGAGATGTCTTTAAGAAACCTATAGTTGAATCTGTGTGTAAAGTGTATGTGGCTTTGTTAATTCAATGAAGCTATTGATATTAATAATTAATGTTTGATCAGAATATAGTAAGGAACAAATGCCTTTGTCTCTGAGCCAGCCTGGGTGGTGCATTACAGATTATCTTTTACTTCAGATGTTCCTGTCTTCCATAGGAAACAGCTGCTGTAGACAAGCAGGAATCTCTCCATCAGGACCGCTTTTATTAAAAAGAACACTATGGGTTACAATCCAAACTCTCTTATTTTGCGTTTTGCTTAATTGGGACTATTCCCGGGGAGTATTGAGTCTGGCAGGGTAGTGAATCTGAATTACCAGTGAAAACCACCAATCATCTTTTCAACTCTAGCAATGTCATCAGCATCAGTCGCTACAACAACGTCGTCTGCATCCAATTTGCCCTTTCCATAAAACATTTGGAGTTTTAGGCCTAATGGCACAGCCCTGATGATGTTGGTTGATCAACGTTACCTTTTGTTGCAGGAGTTAAAGCAGCAGCTCAGTCAGGAGATTGACGAGCATCAGCACGAGCTATCTGCTTTGCAGGATGCACATCGGCAGAAACTCGGCGAACTCACACGCCGACATAGAGGGGAGCTTGAGGAATATGAGGAGCGGATTGAGGAGCTGGAGCAGCAAGTACAAGGTGAGGAAAACCTTATGTGATGGTGGGTCCCTTTAAAGATTGGAAACTGGGGGTGGGGGGGCTGCATGTGGGGAAACATTTAACCCATTCGTGGTGGCTTAAACCAGTTGTTTGCAAAATGTAGAGTGAAGAGGAGACCTCGACATGCAGGGAAATGGTGAAAAAACTGTTCAAATCGTTATGCTGAAATTAGTCACCTTACGCTTCTCTGGTATTGTAAATTGAAGATCATTCTGAAATGTCTCAATCACCAAGATCACAAGAGACGAGTGTTTATTTACACAGATATCCATAGCACAACCAACGTGGGACGTCCTCCCAACGTGAAAGGCGCTATACAAATGTAATCTTGTTGTTGTAATGACAGTATGCAAGAAGCTGTCACAACTCATCAAAAGCAGATTCTGACATTTGCCCTGCAGTTATATGAAAATCTTGTGAGTTGATTTGTTTAGAAATGCGTAAGTAATAAAATGATCAGAACTGGCTGCACCTGCAAACTGCTTTATTGAATTAGTCTCCAATTGAGAGCCTTGAGCTCCCGCAATGCTGTAGGATTTGAGTGTGGTTGGTTAGTTGTGCCAACCATGGTAGAGGGTGAGGTGATACAATTGACCTATTTAGCCTTGGGTAAAGGAGTGGATAATCTGTCAGTGTGATTTCTCCTGGGATTGAATTCCCTGTTAAACTCGCTGTTGAGCCTTGCATGTCAGTGATGGCTACTTTCCTTCAGGAAAGTCAGAAATTGGCAACAAAAAGAAAAATGTAGTGTTGAAGATAGTGCTTCGTGTTTGCATCTTGACAGATACTAAGGGAATTCAGCCCTGAGAGGTTAAGTTGTATATTTTGAATTTGTAGCTGGAACAGGTGCTGTGCTCCCAGACCATTCAAAACTGCCAGAACTGCAAAGGACGGTAAAACATCTAGAAGATGAATTGGAGGTGAGCAAACACTCTGCAGAAGAGCTGGAAAAGAGAGTTCAGAGCATGCAGGAGGAGCTGGCAGTGGCTGAGCAAGGCCATGTTGGTCTGTCCCAGGAGGGGAAGAGTTCTACGAGCGAGAGCCAGCTTTTGCTGGAGTATGAGAGATTGAAGGTGGAACGTGAGATGATGCAGAATTCTGTGAATGAGCTGCAGATCACCTTGGAGAAGCAGGAAGAACAACTCACAGAAAAACTAGCATTGGAGGCAGAAGTGCTTCATCTGAGGCAGGTTATGGCAGGTACGGTACATTAATTGGTGCAGCCTAATGGTCATCAACTCTACATCCATGCAGAGCTGGGAGAATGTATTTCTTACACATCGATAGCTTGGAAGCGGCTTCCCAGAAGAGTGGAAGCTGCTTGATACTGCAATGAGAAGACTAGGGTTGGTATTTTGGAAAGTTGAGATGCAATGGGCCACCTTCATCTGGACCAGTTTTGTGGAAAGTGAATTGTTTGGGTTTGTAGGTCTCTTACAGGAGTGTGGCTTCCTGTTACATTCTTTTGCTAAAATAACAATCAATTTTATTTCTTTAGTGATAAGTTGCTTTTGAAATTGGTGATTTTACTAAAAATGGGAACCTTTTTTCTTCCTACTTGTTTCCACTAGATTCATTCTATTTTACTGAATCTACTTTTCGTGCAGCACCGTTGAGTATTTGACGGCTTTGTATAATCGATCCTTCCTAAATGTACATTAATAAAATTAAATGCAAGTAAAGCTATTTGCATTGCTAACTTAGCTGATCTTTAACTTGATTCTCTTCAACCGTGCCTTCACCTCCCCTTTCGACTCTCTACCCCCTCCTCGCTCCCTCCCTTCCCTCCCCTCACCCTGACCATTTCCCCCCTGCTCGGGTCCCGACCCAACTGTCCAGCGCCTTGGGACGTCCTCCAGACGTAAAAGGCGCTCTATAAATGCAATCTTGTTGTTTAAATATAAAAATTTCCTGAGTAACTTGTATTCCTTAGTACTGACTTAAGTTTTGCACACAAAATACAGTCAATTCACTATATATATTCTGTGAAGCACTTTGAGACGTCTCAAATGACGTGATAAGGTGCTACATCAAATGCAAGAATTATTATTAATTTTGAACATTCATGTGCCTATTGGCTGAAGGTTGTGACACTGATTATTCGTTTTTATTCCATACTTTACACAGATTTAACATGTTCCCCTTGTCTTTGACTGTTGCAGACGCAGAGAATGAGATAACGAGGCTCAGTAGTACCAGCCAGGTATGTGTCTCCTATTATTTGTGCAATATCAAACATTTTGTGACTAAGTTGAATTTATACGGAATGTTAATGCCATTCTTCAGACTCCAGCAGTGCAGAGAAAAATAAAAGCTGTTCACAGCTGAGATGAAACCACAGCTTTGAGCTGTCATAAATGTTTAAGGCTAAGGCCCTATTCGTTACACAACTGCAATGCATGTATAAGTACAGACCCAAAGGAATAAGAAACTGGTCTAATAAATCACAATTATAAATTGCACCTGAGCGTAATAATTTACTAGGTTGGAAAAAACATTTTTTTATTAATATAGACCTTTGGACTTTACCTTTTATTTTTAGAGTGCAAATCCTTTCCACCTCATTTATTCGAATTGGTATTGAACCTTTGAATAGTACATCTTGTACTATTCCCAGTACATCTTTTCGCATTACCCAATACTGGAGAGTAAACAGGATGTCTGGTGTAAGACTCCAGTGGAAGGGGAGGTGGCAGTAGAAAAGGAGATGGTAAATATTTTTTGGGATTAGTTTTGAGGAAGCTGTGACTGATACCGACAATGTCACTTTTCTTGAAAAGCACGAATGCTACAGTATTTTCAACCCATTTGAATTGTATCCTTTGCTACAATTATGCCTCACGTTTGGTGTCTGAGGTCCACAAGCAGTGCCTGTGTCCTTCAATTAAAATGCTTGATTCTGCTCATCACTATTTAATCTAAAATTTACTTTACTTTAATGCTAGGAAGCCATTCAGGGGGAACCTCAAAATCAGCAGACGATTCAGAGAGAAGAAGTCCTCTTAGCTCAACAGTGTATCCAGGAACCCAGCATCTTGACAGCAGAAGTGGACAAATTAAGGCAAGATTTATTGGCTAAGGAGAATGAGCTGATGGAGCTGTCTATACAGAAGGACACATTACTGACAGAAGTTGAGGAGCTAGATGGGCAGAATCAAGAAGCTACTCAGGTATGACCTACATCATGAAATAGATGTCCTGCTGGCAAGTCTTTGTGCAAACCACCATTCGGTGATGCACCAATGTATACTTTTTTTTTAAATTGGTTCCTTTAGTGTCTTGCCCAATTCTCCTCTCCCCCCACCCCCACACCCTCCGAACCACACACACACACTGAATCACAGCGTGGTTGATATCCACAGCAAATTTTGCTACTTGTGAGTGGACATGTAAGCGCTCTAAGACACTATTGTGCATAAAAGCAATATGTTTTTGTGTAGAAATATTAAACATAGAATTTCATCAGACAATGGCAATATAATATATATTTTTAAAACAATATATAGTATTTGATCACATTGAAAAATCAGCTGGCAAAACAACGACAAGAATCAGAGGAGAAGATCCAGCAGTTGGAGTCCAAACTTCAGACAGCAATAAACCAGTGTTCTGAAGCTGAGGCCAGTAAGGCATCAATGCTGGGGGAGATGGAGGCTCAGAAAGGAAAACTGAACCAGAGCGCCTTTGCACTTAATGACCTACATATGAACATTCAGCAACAAGACAACAATATCAGAGACCTAACCGAGCAGCTAAAGAAAGCACAAGCTCGCAATGCAGACTTGAAGGCTGAAGGCTTGGAGCTGAAGGGAAAGCTACAAAACGCAGAGGCATCGGTAGCCAAATTGGAGTTAACACAGGCGGTTCAGGAAGTACCGGCCGCAGGAAGTCACGTGCACCTACTCAAAGCTAAAGAGGTGGAAATTTCTGAGTTGAGGAAAGAGATTTCAGAATCCAGTCGTTTGAACACTGAGCTACAAACTGAACTTCATGAGATCAAGATTCAAACTAGTAAACTTGACACCGAGAGGAATAATGCCATCATAGCGCTGGATGAGGTTAAGCTGCATCTGCAGGAAGCTGTTGCACACAACGTCATTGTTTCAAAGGAGAGTCACACTTTACTGGAGGCATTGAGATTGGAGAAGAACCAACTGGAAGCTGAATTAAATCGAGCTGAGATAAGGGTGGTTGAAGAAGCTCGAAAATATGAACACACGATCGAAGAGCTGACAAAGGCTCGAAACCTAGATGCTACAGCTTTGCAGAAAGAACATGAACGATTGATTAAGCTGAACCAAGAGAAGCACTTTGAGACTGAAGAATTAAAGCGTAACGCAGAGCAGTTGGAAACCGACCACGAAGAGACCAAAGAGATGCTGAAATCTAGTTTGGAAAGTCAACAGCAGCTGACCGAACTTTTGAAGGAAAAGGAGATCTTTGTTGAGACTCTTAAGGAAAAAAGTCTAGAATTGCAACAGGAACTTAAGAAGACTGCAAAAGCTTTCAAGGAATGTGAATTGCTGAAACAAAACCTTGAAGAGAAAGACAGGCAGTTAAGCACAATGAAAGAAGAAAACAACCATCTCAAAGAAGAAATGGAACGCCTCAGGGACCAACAAAGCCGATCTCAGCCTACTGCTGAGCCCAAAACACTAGATATAATAATAGAGCTCGAGACAGAGATAACTGAGCTCAACAGCAAAAGGAATAGTTTCGAAGAAGAGATAAGGGTTCATAAAAAGACTATAGATGAACAGAACCTCAATCTTTTACAGCTTCAGCGTTCTATACAGGGCCAAGGGAAAGAACGGGATGAAGCCAAGCTCAATATGAGGAAATCATTTCCACGTACGAAAAACTCATTTCTGAAAAAGATGAAGAAATTCGAATTCTTCAAGAATCAATTGACCAAATCCAAACCCGTTTCCAGAGAGCTCTCCCAGAGCCTCCAGCAGGTGTTCCAGTCATTCTTGAAGAAACCAAAGTGCAGACGGTGAACGGGGAAAATGGAAACGAGAAACATGATTTGTCCAAAGTGGAAATTGACCGATTGGTCAATGGAATAAAGGAGAAAGACGTGGAGATAAAAGTGTTGAATGAAAAGAATTTGTCCCTCACAAAAGAGCTGGATCAGTTAACGTATTTGAGAGATGAAGTGGGTAAACTCACTCAGATCATTCAACAGAAAGACTTGGAGATCCAAACACTTCATGCCAGGGTGACAGCAGGGCCCTATATGCAGGTGGGTGCAGATGTTTCTTACTTGCAGCAGCAACTGCAGGCTTATGCCATGGAGAGGGAACAAGTGCTGGCAGTGTTGAATGAGAAGACAAGAGAGAACAGCCAACTCAAGACCGAATACCACCGAATGATGGATATTATAGCTGCCAAGGAAGCTGCCCTTCTGAAGCTGCAGGAGGAGAATCAAAAAATGATCAACAGCTACGAAAACGAAAGTCAAGATATGGTGCGGGAAACTATCCAGAATCTTTCTAGGATTATCCGCGAGAAGGATATCGAGATAGATGCTCTTACCCAGAAGTGCCAAACCCTAGTGACTGTTCTCCAATCCTCTGGAATGGGTTCAGGTGGTGAGTCTGGCTTGGTGAGCAGTAATCAGTTTGAAGAGCTTTTGCAAGAACGTGACAAACTAAAGCAGCAAGTGAAGAAGATGGAGGAGTGGAAGCAGCAGGTGATCACCACTGTTCAAAACATGCAGCACGAGTCCGCTCATCTTCACGACGAACTGCTCAAGCTCCAAGGACGTTTGTCCACAGACGGCGATTGCAACTCTCGGCTTCAGATAGACTACAACAGATTAATTCAGAGTTACGAGCAAAAGGAGAGACGGTTGCAAAGCCTAAGTCGGGAGCTAGCGGAGGTTCAGCAAAGTATTGGGCAGCTCAGCACCACTAAGGAACTTATACTCGAACGTTTGGATGGTGCATCTCCAGAACCACAAATAGTAGGTGCAACCATCGCAGATGTGCTGAACATTCCAGTTGTTTCCAGTGGATTGCCGTCCAAAGAACAGTTGGACCAAATGACAAAGTTGCACCAAGAGATGGAACGTTTGAATAAAGCATTGGAGCAAAAAGATGCCACAGTAAAGGCCCTTCAAGACGACCTCAAATTATGCAGCTCTCAGGCAGCAAACTCTGAAAGTGGAAGGAAGGAACAAGAGGAATCTGCTCTAGAGATGAAACTTATGAAGGAAAAGGCTGAACTACAGAAGTCCTTCAGAGAAAAAGACCTTCTCATCAAATCGAAGAGTGATCAGTTGGCATCGGCGAGTGAAAGCCTGAGGAACCAGACCATTGACAATGAGGTTTTGAAGCAGGCAGTCACTAACCTGAAGGAAAGGATTCTGATTGTGGAGATGGAGATTCGTAAACAGCAGGAGGACAATGATAAAGTTGTAGCCAAGTCGTGTGAAAAGGAATCTGAATTTCGAGCTCTGCAGGAGACGAATATGGAGCTGTCGATGATGTTGAGAGAGAGGGAGTTTGAATCAAACGCAGTGAAGGAAAAGGCCTCTGCGTTAGAAAAGCTGCTCAAGCAGAAGGAAATGGTAAGTCCAACATGTTGGTTGTTTGGCCGGTGTGTATGTATAGATTGCTGTGGAGAAGTGTAATAATCCCTCCAAAAAACAAACAAAAACAATTTAGTCACTCAATCCACGACTGTTTGTGGGACTCTGCTGTGCGCAATTGGCTGCCACGTTTCGCCCACAAAATATACAGTCAGCTCACTTTACAATATATTCTGTAATAAGGCACTATATCAGATGCAAATATTATTATTTAGTGACCTGGTTGCATTTCCTTTGTGCAACAGATTAAAAAAAAAACAGCCTTTCATTAAACGACTCAGGTATTAAAACACATTTAACTTTTATTTTAATGCCAAAGGATCATATTCTTCTTTCAGTTTATATTAGCAATGAAATACTGTATCAAAACTATCTTTGCTGTGTTTGACATCCATACCAAAACACAACAAAAGGGAAATGGGTAAAGGAGGGGTTGCCTAATAATGGGAGCTATACAAAGAAAGTTGTATTCTCTCAGAGAAGTCAACAAAGGAGCTCCATTGCTTATAAATACATTTTATTTAAACGAAAACAAGAAAAATCCCGTCTTACACAAGTAGTTTGCCAACTGAACGTGTTAGTTGTAAACTTGTCATGCCAAAATCTGCACCGAGACTTTAGTTAAATGTGTTTTGTATCTTTTGTTAAAGGGGAAGAGTGGTGAGTTAAATCAGTTGCTCAACGAAGTGAAATCAATGCAGGAGCAAGCGGCCATGTTTCAGCATGAGAGGGACCAAGTTATGCTGGCTCTCAAACAGAAGCAGATGGAGGCTAATGCACTAGTGAACGAGGTAAGAAGTTGTTGAAATTAAATTGAAGCATTATATATTCAGTAAAAATGACTTGCATTTCTGTAGTGTCTTTCACGTAAAATACAAAAGTTGGGTTTCAAATCCGAACCAGATGGGATGAATGATTTTTTTTGTCCAATGGCTAACAAAAATTTTAAACAAGCCAAATTTGAGCAATTTATCCAGCTCCAAAGAAGCCCATTCTAACTGCAGTACAGTCTGCAGTGTAGCATTGTTCATTATCATGATATTACATGGATTGAACTGAAAGGATGGAATGGGATAGGTCTGACTGATTATCAAGCCTAAAGGACACATTAAGCTATTTGCTGACATGTAGCTAGTGCTAACGTTTCCCCTCGTGTGCAGTTACAACACACGCGTGATAAGCAGCAGCGTTTAGACCAAGAGTTGCAGCGCCTACGGAACCACTTGCTGGAAATGGAAGATTCCTACACCAAAGAGGCCTTGGCTTCAGAAGACCGAGAGACGGAGCTGAGAAAGAAGGTTACGTTACTGGGGGAAAAATTGATGTCGTCGTCATCTGCTGTGGAAACCGCTAGGTAGGAAAATCTAAGAATTCCCAGTGTAAAACTACAGAACGATTGGAAATATAGTGAGGGTAGCAAAATCTATTGCTCCTCCATAACCTGAACCACACAAGGGTCAATTCCTGACCAAGGCACATGTTTTGTGTAGTCTGCTCACACCCCAGTCCTCTGCCCCTCACCTTCGGTTAGCTGGCTTGGGTCTTCTGCACGTCCCTCATCCCCTCCACTCCACAATTGGCAGCCGTGCTTTCAGCTGCGCCCGAATCTCTGGAACTCCTTGCATCAATCTCTCCTTTTTGCCCACCTTCAAATCATTTTCCTCTTCGACTGTGCCTTTGGTCACCTTTCCTCCCTTTCTGTCTCGGTGTAGAGTCAGGTTAAGCGAACAGCCATGCTGTTAAGTTCTCTTAGTTGGTACCCAAGGGGAGGGTGATATATAAATGCAAGTTGTATTTCTGAAAACATACATCTCTACACAACAATGACAACAAAATTACATTTGTATAGCGCCTTTCTCGTCGAGAGGATGTCCCAAGGCGCTGGACAGACAGAGTTACGGACCCGAGCTGAGGGGGGAGGACAGGGGGGGACGCAGGGAGATCAAAAGCATGGTCGAAGAGGAGGGTCTTGAGTTGGGTCGTGAAGGTGGTTAGGGAGGGGCCGAGACGGAGGGACTACGGGATGGAGTTCTAGAGGTTGGGTGCAGAGTGGCGGAAGGCCCGCCCACCGATAGTGGGGCGAGCAAGGCGGGGACATGAAGCAGGCCGGAACCCGCTGAGCGGAGGGAGCGAACACGGTGATAGGGGGTAAGGAAGTCGGGGTGGTAGGGGGTTAGGAGGTCAGAGAGGTAGGGGAGAGCAAGACAGTGGAGGGCTTTGAAGGTGAGGATCAGGATCTTGAACTGTATCCTCTGTGTGATGGGTAGTCAGTTGAGTTGGGCGAGGATGGGGGGGGTGATATGGTCGCAGAGCCAAGTGCGGGAGAGGACATGGACTGCAGAATTCTGGATGATCTGCAGCCTGTGGAGGAAGGAGTTGGGGAGGCCGACAAGCAGTGAGTTTGCGTAGTCGAGCTTCGATGTAATGAAAGAGTGTGTGAGGGTTTCGGCGACATTTTTATAGAGGAAAAGGCCATGTATGCAACAGAGTTGGAGAAACATCAGAAGGCTATAGTGTCGGAGCCGGCCGACGTTGCGGAGGTGGGGGAAGGCAGAGCGGGTCATGGAGCAGGTGTGGGGTAGAAAGGATAGTTGAGGATCAAACAAGACCCCAAGGTTCCAACAACAACTTGCATTTATATGGCTCCCCTCATCCAGGATAACGTCTCAGAGCACTAATATGTGATTTAAGAATGTATAAGCCTGGGATTGCTGTATATCTTGTAGAAATCTGGGCTAGTCGTGTGGCATTCTTTCCCTCTCAACAGCCACCAGGCCAGCCTGCAGGTGGAGTCTTTGCAGGAGCAGCTCCAGACCATTGCACGTCAGAGAGACGAGGCACTGCTGCAATTACACACGTCTCAGGAACAAGTCAAGCAGTACGCAATGTCACTGACCAACCTGCAGATGGTGATAGAGCAGTTCCAACAGGGTGAGTCACTCCGCTGTCCGGATGTGGCAGCATTTGGTGACTGATCTAAAAGCAGTTAGTAAATTAATAAGTAAATATAAATAAATCAATTTTAAAAAAATTAAAAAAGCAGTTTCGCCCACAAAATATACAGTCAATTCACTTTACAGTGTATTCTTTGAAACACTTTGAGACGTCTAAAAGACGTGAAAAGCGCTATATCAAATGCAAGGATTATTATTATATTATTATTAATCGTCTGCTTCATGAGCCCTAATCAGAAAAAGTCACACCCGGATTATTAACCCATCTTCCAAAGCCGGTAGCGCAGTTGATTGAAAATTGAAATGAGAAGGTTCTGGGCTCAAACCTCTGAGGGATGTGGGTAGAGATGCATTGTTAATTGATTATTTAATGAATTATGAATTCTTGCATTTTGTCTAAGAATTACTGTAAATATCTTAGTTATGCGAGCATTTTGAATAAAAAAGACTTAAAGAAATTTAGAAAGTTCTTTCCTATGCCGATTCCAGTACCTTGTACCTTCGAGATACTGTACTTGGGATAACTAGTCAGCTCTGGTGAATAGTCATTTGGACTATTTCCCTTAGAGTGATGAGTTATCAGTTTCACTTGCATATGCTTTATCTGTTGGCTAAATACACTTGGTCATGCATGCTCTGAAATCACGAGTTAGTTTGTGGTACCATCACTTGGGTCATTCATTAGCCTGTCCAACAGTGTGTCAGTATTGTTTTAAACCTCTGCATTCATACTGAATTGATAATAAAGTCCTGATGGAACCACTTTCTCAAGGTGGTCTTGACAATTGGGTTCAAGTGTGAATCACATTGACCCTGCTCCAATTCAGACTGCACCATTTCATGGCGATTGGCTGTAAGCATAACACAATGTAAACGTCATGCCTCACTTTGTGTTTAAGTCAATGTATATATTCCTCCGCTAATCTGATAGTTATGCATTTTTATAGAGGAAAAGGCCATGTATGCAACAGAGTTGGAGAAACATCAGAAAGATACAGCAGAGTGGAAAAATAAGGCAATCGAACTTGAGGATATGGTTGTGGATCTACAGGTAAGAGATTGATGATGGTTTTGTCTTTGAATATTTTCCTCTTGTGTTCAGCCACCTATACATTTGGAGAAGTCAAGTGAGGTAAAGTTACTAACCATAAACATTATTGTCAGTATTTATTGCATGAACTAGTGGTTCATTTATGTTCTGTTCAGAGGTGCCATAGTCTGGCACTGAATGCTTTGTGTTGTCAGGAACAGAGGCTGTGGTCAATGTACTTTATCAACTTTGAGTGTGTCTCTTTAAAGAATAAATCTTAGACCTCGTAAATGCTGATAATAGATCTTGCATTTGAAATTCATGCTTATCACATCGTCAGTGTCTCAACGGCTTCAGAGCATTTACTGTCAAGTGAAGTGACTGTGTGTTTGTAGGCAAACAAATTGATATGTACATGTAAGATGGTGGTCAAAGCTTGTCACTTAAGGACAGTACGTACCCAAACCTTGACTATTAGTTTCACAGTAAGTTTCAATGGGTTTGTTAAAGCCCTAGTCTGAATCCATCCCATCCAAGGCTGCTGAAAGCCTTCTCATTCTTTACATCTCCTAAAGGTGTAGATGCAATGAGCCTGGGCATAGTCTATGTTCCCTGTAGGCGTGGATCCACCACACAGATTGGCTCTCGCTGTTAACACTATCCAGGAAGTGCACCAGCCAAATTTCAATTATTTTGAAGTAATAGTGCTAACATCTGCATTGAATTTGACCCAACTTAGTGGTTTACCTCGAAAGAGTAACTTTGTCTTTGCAGCTAATTACCTAAACCCAAATCTGCACAATAAATGTTCCTCTTGTCTTCCAAGCTATACATTGTTTCACAACATTCTTTTTGTGGTTGTAAATATTTGTATCATGGTAGCAAAAGGCTTATGGTCACATATATTTCACAACAAACAATGCTAAGTGTTCTGTAGGTCGACTGTAGTTAAGCCAAGTAGTCATTGCAAGGTTATTACAGTTGTGTTATCTAACTGAAGAGGTATGTAAATGTGCAATAAAATCTCCTGAATTAGGTTGTTAGGAGATTAGATTTGATTAAGTCTGTAGTTGACTTATGGGACCTTCCTTATTTGTGTGTTAATGATCCACCAAGCACTGAATCTTGGCTGTGAAACCAAAGATTATGGAGCTTCACTGCCTTAGCAGGTCTCTACCCCTTGGTCCAACATCAAACCAGTTGAATCCATCACTACCATAATATTTGAAGAAGGAAGTTGTTAATCTTATCACTACTGTACTGGATGTGACTTGTGCTTTTTCCAGCTACAATTTTAAATTACAGCATAGAAGCCCCTTTGGCCCAACAAGTCTATGTTGGTGCTTGCTCTTCCACTGGAATAACCCTTTCTGATCTAATTCCAAACTCCCTATAACTTTTTATACTGCTACTCCAACTTAGTATTGGAATAGTGACTTTAGTGGGTTTTGTTTCAGTGTAAATTGTCCTGGTAAAAGGCTTTTGCATGCCATATGATTCATTGGTAATATGATGTCCACATTTCTAATATCCAAGCAAATGTAAATTTCAGCATTGGTTTTAAATTTTACAGTATAGCAGAAGAGGCCATTCTGGCCCTTCGAAAAATGTAGAAAAGGGTTGAGAATTTTAAAATAAATAATTGTGTGGTTGTATTAGAATGAAATACCTTCTGGTGCGTTGAAGATGAGAATTGGTGTGAGGTGAAAGTCTCTCACTGCTAGCTGTAAAAGTCTTGAGCGCGTTTGGAGTAATCTTAAAACATATAAAGCCAATGTGGGTTAATAACAGTTTAACAAAAGTTAGTAAATATGACTGGTGTGAGACTGAAATATTTTGAGGATGTGTAACTGTTGCCCTTTGTCAAGTTAGCAGATAGTACTTATTGGTTTTTATTCTCCTGAGATTGCTAAATCAGGTGTCAAAATAATTTTAATATAAGAATTTCACACAGTGTTTTGAGACGTGTTCCTGACATGAAAGGCTATAGCATACACCCTGTAAATTATATTCTAATTTGGTGCAGTTGAGAAATCATTGAGAAATTAAGCATTGGAATTTGTGTTTGGATTAAGGTCCTTTATAATAATAATAATCCTTGCATTTTATAAAGCGCCTTATCGCAGCAACAACAAAATTACATTTGTAAAGCTCCTTTCACGTCAGGAGGACGTCATTGAGACGTCTCAAAGCACTTCACAGTATATATTGTAAAGTGAATGGCCTGAGTATTTTGTGGGTGAAACATACTTCTGAGCTGTGTGTGGATCAGGTATGTTCATGTCATTCCAGATTTTGGTCGTATTACTGCACCAATTTCAAGTTGTTCAAATTGAAGCCATTTTCTGATGGTTTTTTCATCCTTTTGTTCTTAATCACTTTCTTCCTGTGGCAGCAACATCTGGATGAGGCAAATGCTGCTCTAGATTCCGCATCAAGACTTACTGAGCAGATGGATCTGAAAGAGGAGCAGCTCAAAGAGCTTAAGAACCAAGGTAATGACTTGTTTCATTGCATTTGAGCTGGAGAGGGACAATTATGTAACACAGTATCTGTATATAGTTTGGGAGGCAATAATACGTCAAGCGACTGCCAGGATGGTGGAAGGCAAACTAGAAGGACCTAGTTTGGTCATCTTTCTCCGAGCAAATTCTTAGGTTCTTATCTGCAAAAAGGTTGTATCGCAGAACAGTTTGCATATTTACAGTAATGCTTAAATCCCAGAGTGTGACTATAATAAGTAAAAATTGAAAACATACAATGTCTTGGCCTTTTAGTCTTGATTAAAAATGTTGAAGTAGTTCAAAGCATTAGAATATCTCTGACACTGCTATCTGATACAGCATTTGTTGTGATGGCCAAACAGCTGTCTGCTGTGCATGGAGCTGCTTAAAGGAGAGTGTCAGTTAGATTAACTTTAAAGACTGAACATTAATCTAAACCTAAGCTTCCCAACAAATTATTTACACCTCTGCCTGGGAATACTACTACCACAACGTGAAGCAAATCAAAGGTAGTGCAGTGGTTGAAAGAAAAATGACAAAAGTATTGTATTTTAATAGCACTTTGTATGTCAAAACACCTCGAAGTGCTTTACAGTAATTATCGAATTCAGTTGATGTGTTAGGTAGGCAAATGTGGCAGAGTTTTATGTACAGTAAGGTCCCATGAACGACCAATTTGTCTGGAGGACTGCTGGCCAGAGCACAGAAACAAACGCCCTTCTCTTCTCAGTGCTGCATCGAAATTTCAGTGTAGACTTGAACCTTCAACTATCTGGCATTGCACTAAAAGGGGTCAAATTTAAATACTTTATTTGTCCTTGCATACTAGGTTTTTCTTTAGAGTGTGTTTTAAGTGTCTCTGTTATAGTCTCTCTAAACTGTACGTACTGATAGATTGTGCTTTTATTTTATTTGCTTGGTAAGTGTAAGGGTCCACAACGCTTGACTGCCTATTATATTTACATCCTTCATTTAATCCTGTATCGCATATGCTTGTGCATCTGTTTCACATCCCTACCAGGGATAATATTTTATGTGCTAGTGCGTGTAGCTTGATTTCCTGCTTTATGGTAAATGTATTTCTGTGTCCCAAACAGTAAGACAAAGTAGTTATTTCTGTATTGTGTTTGTTCAAAACACATTACTGCAGAGAAGCAATAGGTTCTCCCTGAGGCAGGTTGTAAAGCCATTTAATAATCAGTCCAACAGATTTTAATTTTTCTTTTTGGAGGGATTATTACCCCTGGAAAGCAATCCACCCATCTATTAATAACCGTGTTCCTACTTGTTGCTAGGTAAACAGAGGCATGTAGAGGAAGTAAAGAAACTTGCCTAACATTTCACCCCACCCAGGAATCTAACCCGGGTTCTCTTTCTTGCGAGGCGAGTGTGCTAACTACTACGCTACGGGACTCTACTTGATTAATAAATTATAATCCCAGTATGGGTAAAACGAACAAAAGCCCCTGTGTTCAGCGAATTAATTACTGGCAGAAAATTTGTGATTTGTGGTTCTCAAATACTGAGTGCTTTGAGGCATAGAGTTCACATACAAACAGAACCTACGTCAGGAGAATAGATTGTGAATTTCCCTCTTGTAGGTAGGTCTCCACTTTTTTTAAAGCACTGAATGACCTCAATATTTCATGTTTGGTTTAAGAGATTGGTGCCTTCATTTTAGGTTTTGAGTGGGATGATGTGGAGGGCGAGGCAAGTTTGCTTAACAACAGAAATAGCTTGAACTAACATAACTGATAGTTAACCTGCAGATTCCCAGCACTACATCTGGATTACTAACAGCAAAGGCTGATTCTGAAAGCATTTGTTTTTGGCCCTTGCGTAGTGAAGAACTGCCAGCACAAAAAAATGTTCTTATCAAGAGAATAACAATGTTCTGTGTGTTAATCCTTTGGGTATAAACTTTCTTTGCAGCTTTCAAAAGTACACAGAGTAGAGGGACATTCTCAGCACAGGCCTGAACTTCTTAAAGATGCATTGCAAGGGTTCGATGGAATCCCAGAGCTCTTTTGAGATCTCCGCACCACCCAAACCCTGTCTGATGTCCACTTAGCACAGAATCTTTCATTCAAAGGGAAATAAAACAAAATAATAAAAAATAAGACTATTATCCAATGACACGGTAGTGGATTCATTAACAGGTGTTGATATGCATTTGCAATGTTGCCGAGCTACACTTTCACAATTCCAGTGATGTTGAGACTCACAGTGGATTTGGATAGTTGAAATGTAATTTACTTCAGTGAAGCTTGGCTGTCTTCAGGTGTTAGAGTAGACGTATCCAGAATGTACATGGGCTCCTTGATTTAAATTTTTCTGCTGCATTGAAGGTCCACCATGATAAGTCTATGATTTATTTTTACGTGTGTCGAAGTGAACTCCATTACAGGTGCTCCATTGGACTGAAGTGAAGTAGTGAAATAAAATAACTGTCCTTGAAAGTTGGTGTTTCTTGTTGCTATTGGAAAAATGTTATTTTGGCCATAAACTGGCAGTTTTTTTAATTCAATATTTGTCCAGAAATTGATTTACTACCAATGGTTATCATAAGTGTTTGCAGAGGAACATTGATTTTAGGTTTGAGCAAATTACTTATTTATCTGAGCCAATTCAGGGTTAATACTGTATTGTATATGTTTTACAGTTATTAATGAGGAGAAATTATTAATGTGTCCTATAGATAGGTATTTCAAGTCAGCTTTTTTTTAGGTTACTCATCTGCCTTTTGACTCATGCTTGTTCAATGACATTATCTGTTTTATAATAAATAATGTATATTTTCCACTGCTTAAGGCATTTCATTGCTGGTGAGGTTTTCCGCACAATTCTGCTTTTTTCTGCTTCATTTACTTGGCTTATGATCTGAGTCTGATTACTCAATGGTAAAATATTCATTGAACACAAACACTTGACTAGCCAAAAAAAAAGTTTGAGGAGAGGATAAGAGAGTCAAAACTAACAGGAATATGGAGCTTACACTGAACTCACGTTCATGTCCTGTCATTTTCAATTACTTTCCTAGTAAACTAGACTTCAGCAAAATCTGATGAAATAGCCATAATAATTAAAATTCCCTGCCTTTTGCGTCTTTTCCTGCTGATTAAGGTGTGTCTTGCCCTTGATGCTTTTTGCAGATAAGAATGTTCTGAGTGGTTTAATGGTGCTCCCAAGGACAATTGTTTTTAAAAATTGCCCAATTGACAATATATCTTGTAGGTCTACATTTTCTCAGAACCAGGTTTAAGATGCCTTAACATCATCCGCTCTTTCCTACACCAGGTTCTATCGGTGCCTCCCTGTTGTCAATTTGGTTTGACCGTAAATAATTTCACCATCTTAGCTTTCTTTTCCCAAGCCTTTAATGTCACAAGCTCTCGGCTCTATTGATGTTTGCATTGATTTTGGAATTTGTGGAGTCAGTATTTTTAAAGAGCTATTTTTCTATGAGTGGGAGTCAGAGAAATGAAACGAAAACCACCTGCCTTTTTGATATTGGCAAACTCTTTGATAGACTTTCAGGGAAAGCTGCATCCTTTGGTTGAGATCGACTTAATTTGTAGACAGTTGTCTGAAATGTGTGTTTCTGACCTTCCTAATAACTTTGGCATTCTCTGAAGTTGAGCGAGATTCAGAAAACCTTGAGAAATCTTTAAGCACCGAGAGCTGACTATACTGTTGTATAGTAGATTTTTTAAAATCGTGCCCTGCATTAAAGAATGCTGTTCCCTAATTTTAAAAGTGGTGGATTGAACTATGAAAGGTCCCATTTTTATTCTTGCATGTAATCACTACCAACTATACCATCTGTTTTTTGCCCAATGTCCTGAATGAGCAAAAAATTGTTTTTTTTCATATTAACTTGAACTTACAAGTTTATAAATTAAGTAGGACGTTAACTTTGCATGTAAAGTCACTTTAATATTAGAGCAGTTACCTTAATTGGTATCACTGATGGCATATATTGTCTTCGAGTATTTTGGGGGGAAATCTTGCCAGTATTATGGTGGTACAGATACAACAAAAGCAACTTGCATTTTTTAGATAACTTGAATGTTGTGGATACTGCCTTCCCTCATATTGTTTGGTAAAACTGGCTTCCAGTCTGCACTTTGGTCTTGTATGTGTATATACTGTCTGAAGGAAAATTAGTCAGTTCTTCTCAGAAACCGGTTTATAGGTTGTAACTTTGACAAATCTGCTTCTGTATAAAGTTTGTGTATTTCTACTGCAGTTGGGGTCCAAAATGACTTGTTGGAAGACTCTCAGAACAAGCTGATGAACCTGCTGAACAACAGCGAAGGCAAGATAGACAAGTGAGCCCGATTCTCTTCTCTTTTTCATTTGTAATGAAATTAATGGATCGGTTGCTCATTTTGACACTTTAAAGTGCTGCACAATGCAAATTTATCTTGCGGTGAGGAGGCCGAATGGGTGACAACTGGTTAGAATGTGGATTCACCGGGTCCCATTTAGATGTCAGTAATAAACTTCCGCTCCTCCTTAAAGGGTCCTGATGAGGAATCTGTTTGTGGGTTATTTCCACACTCCAAAGAACAAACGCAACGAAGCATTGAGGTTGGTGTGCAGTGTCCTGGGGCTACAGAAAGAAGAGTATAGTCAGGTATGAGCAGAGCTGGTTCCAGGCCTTTTCCTGCACTTACTGAGGGACACTGTTATAAACTCTTAATTTGCTTTCATGAAACTGATTCCTCTTGGTCTCTGATCTGTATCTGTCGCTCGATTGTACTTTAAGCAGTTGGGTGCAGTGACTTTGTGCCACTTAGAGAATGAGCAGAAACTTGATTCAATCAATTTTCATTCAATTTCCAAGCTGCCTGAGAGATGGCCTACATGTACAGAGTCACTGCACTTGACACCTTTAATCTTTGAAACCATGGAGATTTGTGAAGTAATAAGGTGCTATCTTTTTTAAAAAAAGAAGTAAGATCGTTGTGTAATAGTAATAGTAATAGCACCTTCTGTGCTGCTTTATTCTCAGCTCCTGAACAGTGAGAGCCGTGCTGCCAGTGGATGGATGAGTTGGCTTGGTGCTGGGAGAGGCAGTGGGACCCAGAGCGTCCCAACCACTCCCCAGAGACCAAACCACAATACAATCTTCAACAGTGTAAGTTCTGCCATTTTATTCCTATTTCCCCAAATATTCTGGCTTCATGGACAATAAAAAAAAGTAAGGGAAAAGAACTGGAGAATGGGATTAAAGTAGAAAGCTCCTGTGCAGGGGGAGGCGAGGTAGAATAAGCTCATTGGCTGCCAAATAAACAGTCAATTCACTTTACAGTATATTCCTTGAAGTGATTTGAGACTTCTCAGTGATGTGATAAGGCACTGTATGAAATGCAATTATTATTAGTAGTAGTATCATTGGCATAATAGACTAATTGGCTTCTTTCTGTGAGGTAAATTACCTGATTCTTCATCCCTCCCTTCCAACAACAACAACAAGATTCCATTTATTGAGCGCCTTTCATGTCGGAAGGACGTCCCAAGGCGCTGTACAGTTGGGTCAGGACCCGAGCAGGGGGGAAATGGTCAGGGTGAGGGGAGGGAGGGAGCGAGGAGGGGGTAGAGAGTCGAGAGGGGAGCTGAAGGCACGGTCAAAGAGAAAGGTCTTGAGACCGGCCTTGAAGGAGGAAAGGGAGGAGGCGGCGAAGGCACTGGGGGATGGAGTTCCAGAGCCTCGGGGCTGAGAGGCTGAAGGCCCGGCCACCGATGGTAGGGCGGTTGGGGCGGGGGATGTGGAGCAGACCGGAGCCAGAGGAACGGAGGGTACGGGCAGGTAAGTAGGGGGATAGTAGGTCAGAGAGGTAGGAGGGAGCGAGGCCGTGAGTGGCCTTGTAGGTGAGGTTGAGGATCTTGAATTCGATCCTCTGGGGGATGGGGAGCTAGCGGAGGCGAGTGAGGGTGAGGGCGAGGGTGAGGGCGAGGGTGGGAGTGATGTGGTCTCGGTGTCTGGTGCGGGACAGTACACGAGCTGCAGAGTTCTGAATGACCTGCAGTGTGGAGGGAGGGCCGGGAAGGCCGCGAGGAGAGAGTTCCCATAGTCCAGCCTTGAGGTGATAAAGGCGTGGACCAGAGTTTCCTAAGAGTAGAAGCACTTTGCAGAGGTACCATGTAATATGAAATCTATTGTATTGAATGTTAGAATTATTTATTTATTCAGAGTTGTTTCTTGCCTTGCAGTCCTTCTCTGAAATGTTCGTGAAGTTCCTGGAAACGGAATCCCGTCCTTCCCTCCCTCCCCCTAAGCTGCCGGTGTATGATGTTAACTCACTCGGGCCAACCTCTGACATTAACAAGCCGCCCGGCACCTTGAGCAGTCGTGCAGCAGGTATGGCAAACAGAGTTTATGCTGTTGCGCTCACACTGTTACCTCTGCTGCTTGTAGCATAGTATTGCATAAAACACAGTACCATTCCATTTAATTTGCTGACGTTATTCACTTAAAATGTTTGCCAGTTTTTTTTTTGTTGTGTGAAATTGTGTGCTTCTGGACATTCAGCTGGATGTTTGTTGGGAAAACAAAATGAAACAGACCAGCCAAATAGAGTGCAATGGCCTTTTCCAGCCATGTATATTCCAAAACAATTCCAGTACCCTGCCAACGTTTTCTGCTCTGAATGTTTAATTGGTCATCAATCCACGACTGTTTGTGGGATACTGCTGTGCGCAATTGGCTGCCGCGTTTCACCCACAAAATACAGTCACTACACTTTACAACATATTCAGTGAAGCGCTTTGCAACTTCTCAACAACGTGATAAGGCTATATATCAAATGCAAGGATTATTATTGATGTCACGACTAATGCTGTTGATTTTATTGACAGGGGCAACAGGAGCATTTAAAAGGCCTGAAATAAATCCTTTCCTGGCGCCACGTTCCGCAGCCGTCCCTCTGATCAACCCGGCTTCCTCGAGTGCAGGCGGGTCTGCACATCTCCTCATGAAACCCATCTCCAGCGCTCTGCCCACCTTCACGCCCCTACCAGTGTCTTCTGATTCCAGTGCGGGGGCAGTACTTAAAGACCTCCTCAAACAATAAAGGAATTGGGAGCAAGTCACTACAGCACTTTAAAGTGAATTGACACTACAGACTAACCCAGCACACAGAGGCCTTCGACAACATCTAGACTCATCAAGTACCATTTACATATTGTAGATGTGCATACTTCACTCAGACAAGATGAGCCACAACTGCAAGAACCCTTGGGGGCACGAGGGGGAGAGTCACATGGGCATCTCCTAGTCAGCCAGATGGAAGTTGTACATATTTTACGGCTACTGGATATCTGGTGGTGATATTTAAGCTTAACTACCTACCGATGCCAGTGTTGTTGAATTTGTTTCAGAATCCCATTATGAACGGTATTTATACCTATTGTGTTTGAGGGCATTGGCTGTACAGTGTTCAATGCATTTCCACCACTGAGTAGAGTTCTACTCAGAACATATTCAGTATCTGAGGTTACCTCAACGAGAGTGACTTTTGCATTTCCTTTTACAATCTGATGTCTGCAATGTTAGTAAAAGCTCTTTCATTCTCTCTCTCTCCCAAGACCTTAATTTTATGGCCCATTGGTTTTGCTGTGACTTATTTTCCCCGAGATTGGGGAACAATGAGGGATAACTTCATCCCAAAGATTGAAATGTCTGACTTAAGCCTTTTAAGCATGCATGTCAATCCTGAATACGAATTTAAATAGACTACAATTGCAATTTTAACTTATTTTCCTGCCCCCCCCCCCTCCAAACCCCCCCAAATATCACGGGTGGTGCTAATGAACTCAAGCAGACACCCCAGATTGCTGGATGATTACATACTAAAACACATTTTGTTTTGAGGCACGGCTTAACGATTTTTAGACGTGCAATGAAGGCTTGAAACAAATGTGTTGTCTTAACGTTGACGATGACATTTGTACCAATTAATGTCGTGGCCATAAGCCCCAACACCTGCCGTAAGCATCGTCTTTTTGTCATTGAAAATGCCACAAAAGTTTATGTTGGGCACCGACATTGACCTGGTGTGAACCCTTTGAGGCACAACACAGTTGCCTATTGGGTGTCAGAGATGGGAGTCTTGCTGCCCACTGTGATAGAACTCAGTGACTCCTGTAGATATTTTAGATGTATTGTAAAAAAAAAGTAGCAATTTTTCAATTATGCTTGCAGAATGATAACCTTGGTTTATTTAATGCATTTGATGCTGGTTAATGCCATGAAATCTCTACCTTGTATATGGATGGTGTGGGTTTGGTGGTCTATTGGTCCACCATAGTTTCTGTTGTAATTGTCATACTCCGGAATGCAGATTGCTCGTTATCCGAGCCGTGTTGGTGGTATGTTGTTTTATTTATAATCTCGCTGCATCAGTGAGAGAGGACAGTTGCTCTCCACATCCAGCAAAGCTCTCGTATAGAAATTGTTCACTTTTCCTTTGCTTGTATTCCATTTGACGGTACATTAAAGTGCAGTCATTTAAGCCTGTGATCCTTCCCAGCTCAAAGCATTGACGTCTCTTTGACGTATTGAAATCCACTGTTGGAAAACGTCTGATTTTTATTTGCAAATGCTGGCAAGCTATTTAATAAAATTATTCAGGGTTCTTTAGATGTTCCCAAAAAGAAAATGTGTTTTGAAATCACAATATAATTGAAAGTAATCCTCGCAGATATATCACAACATTTGAGCATATTTTATTCCAGTTGTGCTAGAGTTCCTTCCGAACGATTGTGTGATTTATGTAACAGAATTGGCTTTGAGTTGAGAAGACAATACACCAGTCTCTCCTCAAGAAAGTAATTCGCCAACAGTCTGGGTCCTCTCCCCGAGGATTAGTTGTTCTTCAAATATAAACACTTTTGTGTTTTTCACCTACATTATCACCATGGAGGAGTACTTATGAAGAGTAGCAGAGACTAGATTCCGATTGATGCTTGCTGTACAGTCTAATAACAACAAACCATCCCTGCAGTTTCAGAACAGAGCCCACAGCTCAGCAGTGTGACTGACTTCCATTTCCACACCAGTTATTTTCACTGACAGCCAATTTAATGTCTCGTGATTTCACTCCTTTGCTTTAATTATCGTCTTGCATTTAATGTCGTGCCTTCCATGTAAAGTATTTCACAAGTTTTACTGTATATTTTAGAAGGCTTTTCTTACACACACACACACCTTATTCTTTGGAAATGCATCTCACCTTTACTTGGCACCTGGATAGAACCATATCCCAGTTTGAGTCACCCTTTTAAGGAAAAAAATGTTAAAAACAGTTAGATTTTTTTTTGGGGTGTGGGGGTTCTATCCGGCACCTTTGTCATTTTCTTTTTAATTACATTCAAAATGAGATTGAATGTTGCAAGTACTCACCTTTCCTTAGTTTTTGTGGCTTTGTATTTCTTGCTTCATTTCCCTAAAAGTCACAAATTACGAGCATGGGTTTCCACTCCACTTGCTTTTCTCTTTGCTAATCCCATCTCCGAGGCTTCAGCTGAATTTGTAAAGAGAATGTGAATGGCCTCTGAGCCAAAAGAGGGCCATCTCTAGCGCTGATCAAAGACGAGTTGTCTAGGTGGTCCTGAATCTGTATTTCTTCTGCATTTGTGCTTCCAGCAGCATCAAAAACTTATCTTTTGCATAGAAATAAATTTATGGGACAGCTGTAGAGTGTCTCTGGAACTAAGAACCTAGAAGATTTGCTGCACTTCATTTTAGCAGAGTGTGGCGGGTTAGGGGGGCTCTGAGATTAGGGTCCCAAAACCATCCTGTTATAGGATATTGCCCTGAAATCATTTCAAAAGTTATTTACTAAATTGCTGCTGCTCAAGTGTTCATATATATTGTCGCTACAATTTATTTTGTGGGTGAAGTACATCGGTTTCAAATCACTATTGTGTTGATTAACCTTTTCTCATGTAGGGCTTTTGTTTCCATTAATTTTGAGGTTTTATGGCAATAAAATCACTTGGATGTTCATCTCCATGTACATCTGATGAAATCTGTGCATGTTGACTTATGTTTTTTGTTAACTCTACCACAGTATTTACTTTGTGTGGAAAGCCTGAAAGTAATGTGTAACTTAACATTGATATAGTGCATGTGGAGCAGGCCATAGTGCAATCATTCCTCCCCTGTTAGCTTTTCCTGAAGTGACGACTATAGAACCAAGTCTAAATGGGATAGTCTGAGTGGTGCAATAGTTTGGAGTACTTCTGACATCTGCGTTAAGTCCCAATTTGAAAGACAATTTTTCTCAGACTGCGGTATGAGTAGATTGTCTCTTCAGTTCCATGACCTTACAATCCACAAAGTGCTGTTTTATACTGATTTGAATAGTCTCGCATAGGAAACACAGGAATGATTAGTTGGGAAATGGAAATTGGTGCGGCATTAGTGAGCTTTTCTGTTTGTCATTTCGCTCAAAGAAGAAAACACAATTTGGGGCACACTTCATTTTTGAAAAAAAAATCGAAATGTGTTTAAAGTTCTGCTGTGCTGCAACCAATGTGGAGATGTAAAGTTTTCAACCTTCACAACTATCTGGTGAAATGCCTACATTGATTAGGCAAGAGGAAGATTCTCTGAGTCCCTGCCACTGAACAGCCATTATAACTGGACAAGTAGCAAACCAAGAAAGATCAACTTTTGAGTTCCAGCTCTTAAGTGGAGCTGTTACAAAGCTGCACAATAGTATGACTGAGTTTAGAAATGAACACTAAATAATTAAGATTTAAAGTGCACAGAGAAGAAGTCTGTTAAATATCCAGTTTGAGGGCAGGAGGTGGAAATCAAAAGAGTTTTATAGGAGCTCTGAACTGTATCAAATCCATGTTATGCTTGAGCTGAAATACGTAATGTCTCCACTCAATGTGGAAAGTGGAACTTTTATTTCTCTTGATTTTTTTCCTATTGAGAGACGTTGTGTGGGAAAGAATTTAAATGATTGTTTTGTTTCTACACGGCTTGCCATTTTCTAACTTATCCAAACTCTCAAACATATCGTCTGACTTATGCATACATTATTTGATGTAAAGAAAAGCTTTTAAAGAGTTTTACTAGAATGTTCAACTTTATCCTTTGAATCTAATGTCAAAAGATTATTTTGCCACACACAAAAAGATGAAAAAAATCTTTAGTTTATCAATCTGCAATGGTAGTGCAGTGCAATATGAAACAGTTGAATTATCTTGGGTGAGGAACAAAGTGCATTAATCACATTTAAATTATTGGAAGTTAGTAATACATCGTTCTAACGGGCATTAACAAATGGGTTGTAGGATGTGTGCATAGTGATTCCAAGTTATGTAAAACCTAATGAAGTTCTTACAAAACTGCCATTACACTTTTTGTTTAGATTCTAAGTGTGTTCTGTTTGACCATGTTTCATTGCATAGTGCCATGAGCTATTTCTGATGTTATAGAGTGATGCACAATTTGTTCCGATTGGAACGTGAAGCAACCAATGTTTCTTTCCTCTGAAGAATGAAAATATTAAATATTAATTTACATACTATCTCCTGAATTTGCCTCTGCTTTCTGTGTTTTTAGATGTCATGAAGTGTAGTTATTGCTGACAATATTCCTACCTAGAGCTGAAACTGGTACAAAAGGTGAAGGTTAGTTTTATCTACAGAAAGTGGCTCGGAAAAGATCATTGGTTAAAGGGCAATGATTCGGCAGTTCGTAAGCAAAATTGGGAACAGGAAGGCGTCTGTATTGGACAATACCATCATCAGGTAATGAACCAGTTAAACCTAGAAGGAAGGAGAGACTGAAATGGACTAAAAATGGCACTTAAAAATATAATCCTGGCATTTGAGACGTCTGATCATTGGTCTGGAAGACGTGAAAAGCACTATATCAAATGTAAGGATTATTATTTGATATTGTTCTTTATCACATTTTCAACATCTCAAAGCGCTTCGCGGTCGAAGAGGAAAATCTTCTGGTGTGATTTGAAGACTGGCAAAGAGGGGCAAGTCGGAGGGATTGAGGCAAAAAGTTAGAGATTTGGGGCGTAGTGGCTGAAGAGATGACCATCAATGGTGGAGCGGAGGGGATGAGGGAAGTGCAGAAGATCTGAGCTCGCTGAGTTAAGGGGCAGGTAGTGGAGTGGGGTGTGAAACAGCACAAAGCTTGTCTGTGTACAACAAAACGGTGGTTATGTATACCTTGTGCTGGCACTAGTCTTTTTACAAACAAAACCTTTCAAGGTGAGTGTGAAATGATTTTATTTGTGGGTATGTATGAGCTTCTCTATTGCACCTGTCTTTGTGACAGCTTACATTGGATGAATTCCACCATTCTTTCAACAACTTTCACCGCAGGGAATTTTGGATGAATTGCTCTCATTTGTAGTTGGTATGTAGTTTTTTTTCTCCTGTGATGTGGGATTTCAGGAGGCAGGATACACCCATGAAAAAATCTGGAACAGCCAAAGTATATGGTAATAGTTGAGTTTTCATTTTATTGTAATTTTCCAGGGTTATGTTAGGACTATATAATTAAACTCTGTCTATTATTTCATCTTCGAGTTTGCTGGGATACTCATTCCCTTTAAGGAGGGAACCTTTAGCATCCACCTTCTTTTAAAATAACTAAATAAAATTGTCTAAAAGAATTATAATAAATATTTATTACCAATTTTTCTGTCACTTTTAATGGTTTGGTTTAAGTCATATGTACTGACGAATTAATGGGGGAACTGAACTGGTTGGAGATGATGCTGAGGGTGTTAATCAGTATTAATGACTAATAATAATAATACTGCATTTAATAATTTGATATTGGTTTAGCATGTCTTAATGATTATAATAATAATCCTATTTAATATTAATAATCCTGCATTTGATATAGTGCCTTATCACGTTGTTGAGACGTCTCAAAGCACTTCATAGAATATACTGTAAAGTGAATTGACTATATATTTTGTGGGAAAAACGCGGCAGCCAAATTGCTGGCGTTGATATGATTTCATTATTAGTCAAAAGTCTGGCGTTTCCATGTTTTCTTCATTGTTCTGACACTGCCGAGTTCAGTTAAAGAGCAACAATTTTAAGCTTATGTACACTAGGCAGACTATAGCCATATCTAACCTATTTACTGTGAGTCTTTATGTAATGGGATTGGTAATTAATAGCAAAGTGGCAGATGGGAACTGGCGACTTTCAGAAGGCATTTAACAAGCAAGGTACATCACGTGAGACTGACTCGAGTGAAAACCCTTGGAATGAATAAACACTGTAATATGAAGTAAATCTAAATGATCAATGGACAGCCGTAAATGTACATAGAAATAATTTTGGTGGGGCATCAAACTTAAAATGTCTTAAGTTTGTTGAGAAAGCCAAAATGTGGGAGGATCAACATGCCCTTAGATCCCATTGTAATCTTTCCCTTTTCAGAGATTTAGACATCGGAAAGATTAATCGCCAACTTAATGTAACATTGACATATCTAAGGTAAAATGCATTGGTGCTAAAGGCTCGACTGCGAATACAAACTGAGAGGGTTATGCTATTAATTATATAAATGAGGAGAACAATGAGGGCTTATATTTTTTTTGGACCAAATAGGGCACCTTCATGAATGTTTGGAGGAGTGAGGAGACACATAAGAGGTTCTGAAGCAGAATACTTTAGCAGCCATATGCACTTAGGATGGTTACAGAATTCTGGAATCATTCTAAAGTTACCTCATCAATTTTAAAATTAATCTGAAATATTCATAAGATGACAGGGTTGAAACTAATAAATGTACCAACTTCAATGTACAAATTCCTGGCACAAAATTAGATGTTTTCATTTTTGTTTTTTAAACGATAAATTTCCTCCTGGCGTCACAACAACAATTCAGTTGCAATTCTGAAATTTAATCAAATGACTCATAACGAGCTGTTTTAATTGCAAATTGCAACCGGCACTTCAGATGATGGGTCTAATTTAAAGGCTTAATTCAGTGCTTTGTTGAACATCTGTAAGTGGAGACAATGTTTTCCTATCACAAAGGAAGCGCTTCAAATATATTTACCAAATGTTGAGACAACAAATCTTGGTCACTAAAGTTTTTTTTGTTAAAAAGGGAATCCATTGCTGCCAAATTTGTTGGAAATGTTCCAGGACCTGAGCCAATTGGTGGACGATGTATAATCTACAAAGCGTTCAGAAAATGTTTGCTAATATGCCTCAAATGAGATTTGCAGCTAAGCTGAAAGCCCAAAGGACAGAAGGAGAATGTTGTAAATTGGAGGAGAAATTGGGCAGATAATCAGAAAGCGACGGCAGTTCTGACTGAGCGGCTGGGACCAGCAGAGTAATGCAGAGTAATCTGGGGACGCCTTCTATTCTCCCACAAAATATACAGTCAATTCACTTTACAGTATATCCTGTGAAGTGCTTTGAGACGTCTCAAAGACGTGATAAGGTGCTGTATCAAATTCAACAATTTATTATTATAATATTTACAGATCCTCTCTGAGGATATTGTATCAAGAAGGACTAATTTATGTTGCGTGGGAAAGCAAGATGTTCAATGGAAAGGAATACAATTCGGATCCAGAATGAATTAACGACTGGGGAGATGAATGGCAAATTGTGTTTGATATAATGAAATGCAAAATCGGTGCCAAAAATAGCAAATATAATCAGAAGATTAAAGTGTATTGCTAAATCCGTTGGATCAGAAAAATGATCTGGGTGTGATAGTTCACCGAATGTTGACAGCAGTCGTAATACTATATGTGGAAGTGGTCACAAGAATAAATACAATGTTCATGAACGTTATGATTGACACTGTATATCAAACACTGGTGAGGAATGCAATCCATTTCTGTTCAACCCAGTAATGAAACAATAGACTAGGATTGACAAGGATTCAAAGCCAGACTAGTGAGGATGTTCCACGTTTTAGGTAATTGAGCTGGGTAGGGTAGGCGGGTGCTTTTAGACGGATGAGATCAGATGGGACAAAGGTACTTGTTCATACAAACTGATCTTGTGAACTAAACATATTCTCAATGGGGGCTGGGGGAAGAAATACTGGATGGTCAGATGATGGCAAGAGAGGTTCAGAACTGGCTTGTTTGTAGTTACAAATTTTTCAACAGCACACACTTCGGCTATTAGTAACAGGGACTTGCTTCTTGCTTTTCACCCTATTTCTCTGACCTGAAGAATTCATGACATAAATAACAAATGAATAAGAAACCGTTGTGTACAACAACAACAAGATTCCATTTATAAAGCGCCTTTCACGTCAGGAGGACGTCCCAAGGCGCTGCACAGTTGGGTCAGGACCCGAGCATTGGGGAAATGGTCAGGGTGAGGGGAGGGAAGGGAGGGAGCGAGGAGGGGGGAAATGGTCAGGGTGAGGGGAGGGAAGGGAGGGAGCGAGGAGGGGGAAGAGAGTCGAGAGGGGAGCTGAAGGCTCGGTCAAAGAGAAAGGTTTTGAGACCGGCCTTGAAGGAGGAGAGGGAGGAAGCAAGGCGAAGGCACTGGGGGATGGAGTTCCAGAGCCTCGGGGCTGAGAGGCTGAAAGCCCAACCACCGATGGTAGGGCGGTTGGGGCGGGGGACGTGGAGCAGACCGGAGCCAGAGGAACGGAGGGTACGGGCAGGTAGGTAGGGGGATAGTAGGTCAGAGAGGTATGAGGGAGCAAGGCCGTGGATGGCCTTATAGGTGAGGATGAGGATCTTGAAATCAATCCTCTGGGGGATGGGGAGCCAGTGGAGGCGAGCGAGAGTGGGTGTGATGTGGTTGTGTAGTATTTGATCAAGGGTGTTTCCACTAATCAATGGCAGAAACATTATCCCCTTAATTTCATTTTACTCTTTGGCCCCAGGGAAACCAGGCAACCACCAGCCAACTCCAAAAGCACAGTATAGAGGGAGATGTGAGGTGCAACTGCACATTGGAGTGACATCTTCTCCATCTTGTGCTCCAGATAGCTATGAGATAAAGATCAGAGACTTGTATCAAGCTGACATTGACAGTGTGGGCTGTAAAACATCCCCAGTATCTATGTTGGGCAAGTACATTAATACCTCCCAGTGCGTGGACATGTGTATAGTGTCAACCCTGTGCACAGCCTCTAAACTGAGGGTAGTCCTGCGGGATTGAGAGCAAAAACCGGGTTTATGTTGGACAGACAGAGTTGCTAAAGCATCAGAACCGGCTATTCATAGAAATTAAAGCTTTATGCAAATTAAATTACTGTAAATGAGACAAAACATTGCACTTTCATCCTGTGGTCATTTAGGAATTGAAGGTTTCTTACTTAATCGTAGAGATTTCACAAGATTGATTCATTCTTCTTTAATCTTTTAATTCTCTCTTAAAAAATGTGTTTACCTCCCCAGCGAAACTTAGCACTTAACACTAATCAAGGACTGCGTCTGATTAATGACTTGTAACATTCATTTATATTTTCCGCTGCAAACATTTTCAACAAATAACTAGCTGGCACGTTACACAGAGTGAACTCAGTACTTGTGTGGGCAGTGTTTATAGAAAAAGGACTGAAGCAGATCTGTTTGAGTTTAACAAAGATGCCAATGTCACCACGTATCATTGTGGGAGACAAGCTGCTTCATTGCTGTTGATGGAGTGATGTGGATCTGGGCAACAGATCAAATGCAGTGCTGAGGGGAGTGCTGCATTGTCAGATGCTGTCCTTCAACTGAGATAATAAACTGAGGTGCAAAGATTTAAGCGAAGCAACTGACAATGGTTAAGAAAAATCCATCTATTGTGACAATTTGATTGAGCGCAAATATTTTTCTTTGTGAGAAACTTGAACTTGTATATGTTTATGTCATGCCTTATTGTGTAGAATAGTGTAAAAGCCCTTTACAGGGGATTACTGCTAAGCATAATGACTATTTTTATGGGAAGCCAGAGGGCGAATGGCCGATCAGTCTGGAGGATTGTTTGACCAAGGCCGTGGGAGAAACTCCCTTTTCATTTCGATTGGCATTGTGTGTTTGTTCACGTCCACCTGAAGCCAATGGCTTCATGTCTGATCTGAAGAACAATGCATCGCGTTTGGCCAAACCTACAGCCCGGACTGTGAGCTGAAGATCCAATTTTGGGCTTGAACTCCTGATCTTCTGACCCACAGGTGAGATAGTGCTTCTCTTGAAGAGTAGTAACACGAGTCATAATAATGGTCTTATACTAGACCAACATTTTATGTAGGGCATTCAGACCATCAGAAATCCTAGTTAGAGAGCTCACATTCAACCCAAAATGAATGAAATTTGAGGTTTATGTTCAGGTGAATCTGTGACATTAGTTTTCCCCCAGACATCCATAAACCCTACAAATTTGCAGAGTACATGGATAGCTCTGAACGTGTGGTTAACGTTGGCAGTGTTTTGACAGTAAGCAGCGGATGGCATTTCTGCACAATAACCCTTTTCAGTTGACTTTAATTTTCACGACTGATCCAGTCTCCATGAGCTAACATGTAAAAGCAATAACTTGTCAGACTTTTGGAGTTTTAAACACTGTAAAGCTCTGAGCCTTTCCAGGAAAGTGAAGTATGAAAGCCTGAAACTGCCAAGATCCACAGGCGAGTTGTAGGAATTCAAGCCAATTGGTGCTGCGTAATTTAAACCAGCTGTTAGTAATACACGGCCCCATCTGCATCTTAAAACATACTTAGAGAATGAAGTGTTCATTTTTAGAATTCTTTCTTCAAGTGGTTTAATGCTGAATTAGAGGGAGCTGAACAAAACCAGATGCTGCCCACTTTGAAACCAGTATCTCTGAGATAAGGGCAGGGTGTGTGGAAAAGCACCTTCCACTTTTCACGGACATAATCCGCCGGATAAGTGAATTTTATTAAGAGGCTTTATCAGAGAGAGTTTGTGTGTGGGGAAAAAAAGTCACTTCGATCAAATGTCAACCTCTGGATTTTGATTCTTCACCTCAGGAATTATTACAGGACTCGAAGGAAGTATCAGGTAGGTTTGAGCCTCAAGTGTCCAATGACACTTTTAACAAGCTTTTCAACAGCTGTGTAAATAATTTCAAATCTGGGGGGATTATTTCTTCCTTAAGGCATTACAACTGTTGAAAAGGTGTAAACTGGACTGCCATGAAATAATGATCCACTTGTGGTTAATCTGACTGTGCAAAGTTTCCAGTCCTGGTAATAGAGAAAGATTAATATGTTCCGATCAAGTACAGTGAGTGAAGCCATTCATTTGGAAATGCAGCCTTTTGTTTTAATTCTGCAAAAGCAACAAGATTGCTGAGGCTTCTGTCAGAGGGCAATTCTTCTCCAAAAGCAAGGCGCACGTTTCACTGTTTCACAGCGAACAGATTACAAATCTTGAAAGCATTACTTTTAAAGCTTTTTCTGTCATGCTAACTTTGCCGCCTCTCATGAGTGGGTTGTGTTTGTGTCCCAATGTTTTCAAATGTCTCAGGACTTTGTGAATTCTTGTCCTCTCTCTTAAGGTTGTGTGAGGAGCTTTGGAAAGCCAGCCTTTTGGGACACTTTAACGGTGAACAAATAGCGTCTCTTTGTCTTTTGAATCCCATTGTTTGAACTGCATCAAAGCCTTTTCTCCTCCAGCGTGTTTATAATAATCCTTGCATTTGATATAGCACCTTCTCACTTCTTCGAGACATCTCAGACGTGTCAAAGTGCTTTGTGGTTATACATGGTAAAGTCCTGCAGCTCAGTGGTTAGAGCACTCGCTTTGCAAGTGAGAGATCTGGGTTCAATTCCTGGCAGGGCGAAACCTTGGGCAAGTTTCCTTACTCCACACACCTGATAATAATCCCTCAAGAAAAAAAATAATAAATTGGTCACTTCAACCCACGGCTGTGTGTGGGACGCTGCTGTGCGCAATTGGCTGCCACATTTCACCCACAAATATACAGTCAATTCACTTTACAGTCTATCCTGTGAAGCGCTTTGAGACATCTACAACAACAACAACAACAAGATTACATTTATTGAGCGCCTTTCACGTCGGGAGGACGTCCCAAGGCGCTGTACAGTTGGATCAGGACCCGAGCATTGGGGGGAAATGGTCAGGGTGAGGGGAGGGAAGGGAGGGAGCGAGGAGGGGGTAGAGAGTCGAGAGGGGAGCTGAAGGCTGAAGGTCAAAGTGAAAGGTCTTGAGACCGGCCTTGAAGGAGGAAAGGGAGGAAGCGGCGAAGGCACTGGGGATGGAGTTCCAGAGCCTCGGGGCTGAGAGGCTGAAGGCCACCGATAGTAGGGCGGTTGGGGCGGGGGATGTGGAGCAGACCGGAGCCAGAGGAACGGAGGGTACGGGCGGGTAGGAAGGGGGATAGTAGGTCGGAGAGGTAGGAGGGAGCGAGGCCGTGAATGGCCTTGTAGGTGAGGATGAGGATCTTGAATTCGAGAAGTCGTGAAGAGCACTATATAAATTCAAGGATTATTATATACAGTGGTGTGACTTGTGTGTTTTGCGGGCAAATGTGGCAGCCAATTTGTGCACAGCAATGTCACATTATGTTCAGTCTCACATAGCTCTCATGTCAGATGGCTGATTTATACCCTCTGGAACACCCAGTGGAACCAGACATCTTTTGGTGTGATTTATACCAAAACATAATTCTCAGCAATGGGTGGATATAATAAATAGCAGTGTGATATCTTCCCCTTGCTTGCTTTTCTCAGGCGGTGACTAATAATAAAAATAATCCTTGCATTTGATGTAGCATGTCAACATGCCTCAGTTGGTAGTGCTCTCGCCTCTGTGTCAAGTCAGGTTGTGGGTGCAAGCCTCACGTCGGGACTTCAAACTGCATAGTCAAGGCTGACACTACAGTGCCGTGCTTGGGAATTGCTGCATTATTGAGACTGTCCTTTGAATGAGACTCTAAACAAAGTCCGGTTTATCTATTTAGATGCACATTTTTAAAAAAAATCCCAATGTGCTATTTGTAAAAGTGAAGGGAGTTTCTCTCTTCCAGTCAGAGTCCTGACCAACAATCCCCAAAATACAATTGACCATTTCTTTCACAGCTGTTTGTGGGACAATTCTGTATGCAAATTAGCTACAGAGTTTATACACAGTCACTGCACTTTAGAGATGCAATTTCAAGACAGACACCAGGAAGTTTTTGTTTAACCAGAGGATAATTAACTACTGGAACAGCGTTATCAGGAAGGTTGATTGAGGCCTGGACGCCGGGACTCATTTAAAAATAACTTGATGTTGTGATGGGAAGACTTTAGGGTGGGTATTGCTGGAGGAATGAAATCAAAGGGCCTTCTTCATCCAAACCAATCTTGTGACTTTGTGACAAACAAAACATCCACTGTATTATTGCCATCCACAAATTTTCTTACTTCCTCAAATAGATTTGTTGGGGATGATCAGCCTTTCATAAACTTGTCTTGGCTTTGGATTATTCCCTTGATTCTTCTCATTTTAATTGCTTCCTTTATAATTCTCCTGTTCCAATATTTTGTCTCGATTGATGACAAGATAAGAGATCTGTAATTTCCAGGATTATAGTTCTAACTACTTGTAAAAATTGGAACATTAACCATTTTCTAATCTTCTGGCCCTGCTCCTCTACTTAATGAGCTGTGAAAAATGTTAACAACCTGTCCCCCATTGCTTAGGTTTATAAATTCCTTGTTTTGTTTAACCATCTTGTTGGGAATCTATATTTCTTGCGTTTACATGAATCCCATTAATGTAGTAACAGTTTAGAGAGGAACAATCCAGGGCAATGACTTGATTTAAAATTTCATTGCTGTATTGGGTGTATTAAGTATCAACCTGGCTCAGTTGATAGCACTCTCTCCTCTGAATCAGAAGGTTGTGGATTCAAGCCCTAAATTGGGATTTTGATCTCACTGGAGTCTAGTCTGACATTCCAGCACGTCTCAGACGTGTCAAAGTGCTTTGCAGTATACCCAGTGGGGTGGGTAGCAATGTTGGAGGTGCCATCAGTCAGATGAGACATTAAACTGAGGTTCTGTCTCCCTGTTCAGGTGGACGATCTCATGGCACCAGTGAAAAGAGAACGGAGTGTCTCTCAAATAATCCCCCAGATAAAATTGGTCATTCACTTTATGGCTATTTGTAGGACATTGTTGTGTGCAGGTTGGCTATCGTGTTTGACCTATAAAATATACAGACACTTCACAGTAAACAGGTGAAGAGCTTTGGGACGTCCTACCGATGTGAAGGGTGTATGAAATGAAGGATTATATGTTATTATTAAAATTTGTGGATCAATTTTCAACCATTTTGAAGCTCCTCTGAAGATCACTCCCCTGCCCCACCTCATTATCTTCCTCTCTGCTTTCAAAATTCACCTAAAATTTTATTTGGCCACTTCCCAACCATCTCCTCATCTCCCACCTGCTCAGGCTCCCTTTGGCATTTCTGCAAAGTGTTTTGACACTTTCTCTGAGATGCAAAGGTGCAACCACAGTGCAAGCTGTTGTGAGAATCTTGTTGGGTGCTTTTCTCCCATCATCACCTGCAGGAGGTGTTGGTGTCAGGTTCACTTTGTTTTGCAGTTCTGCAGCATAGTGGTTAGTACACTCGCCTCGCAAACAAGAGGATCCTGGGTCGATTCCCAGGCAGGGTAAAAACCTTAGGCAAGTTTCCTTATTCCACACTCCTCTGTTTATCTGTTTAGGACCCTAGTTATTAGTCAATTGGCAGATTGCTCTCCGGAGGTAATAATCCCTCAAAAAAAAGAATTTGGCCACTCAATTGTTTGTGGGACGCTGCTGTGCACAATTGGCTGCCGCGGTTTGCCCACAAAATAAAGTCATTCCATTTTACAATATATTCTGTGAACAGCTTTGAGACATCTCAATGGCATGATAAGGCGCTATCTCAAATACAAGGATTATTATTATTTTCAGTATTATTATTTATTTACATCCGCTGAATGAGATAAGACACTTCGGTGTATCTGCGGCTCCCTGAATGCTTGTCTAGGTCTTTGACCCACCCAGTAAGCTTCGCCGGATCACTTTGTAATGTTATTTAAGAACCAATTGTGCAATTAGCTCTTTAGAATACACAAAAAAATTGCTGTTCTTTGGTGTTCTACACTGTAAATTAGTCTTCACTCCCCCCGGTGGCATCCTCATCCTCATCTCTAAACCCCTCCTGTCCGCTTCCAGCTTCTCCTAGCCCTTTCCTCTGCTCCCCCTCTCAAGTTAGGCTTGCTGCATGGCCCTTCAGATCTCAATGCTCATGACCTCCAGAACTCCCTCGCTTTACCACTATCTGTGTCTAGGTGCTACCTTTAAAATTTACCTCTTTGAACATGTCTATGGCCACCCCTCCCTATTGAAGTGTGTAGCCAGTCTTGTGAAGAGCAATCACCCTACGTGATGGATGCTTTACAAAATGCAAGTTATTGTTGTTTTAATACACATCTACACCTACCCACAAGCGCGCCTGCCTGCCCGCAGACACTCACTCACACGCCCCCACCCAACACACACCCCAACACATACCCCAACACATACCCCAACACACACACCCCCACACACCATTTCCCACACACACCATCCCCCACAAACACACCCCCCCCCCAATACCATCCCCCCACCACACACAACCCTCCACAAACCACCCCTCACACACACCCCAACACACACTCACCCACCCCCACACAGACAAACACACACCCCAACACACACACACAAGTGTATTTATTTGATATACAGGCCAAATGCGTGCAGAACAGCCAACAACCATTAACTTAGATGTTTGTTTACATCTGTGTTAGTTGCTATGTGGAAACGTTTAAGAAAATATTTTTAGATATTGTTTATATTAAATTGCCCAAGAAAGCATTCAGAGAAAATGGCCGTCATAAACCAACTCCAACTGGCTCTGCCTATGGTCCTGCTGATTGCTGCTGAACAGCTGATCAAGTGTCGTTCAAACTCATCACGGAATTGATTCACTTCTGTTTATTGGTAAAACTCCACTCTGCTACCCTCAACCAGCAATAAGTGTGGCACTAAATCAATACTGCGAGATTCTACCCTGCGTGAAGGGTGCTATAATAAATACAAAATACCCAAAGCATCACCAGTGATGTCAGCCTGGCTCAGTCAGTTGCAATCTCACCTCTGAGTCAGAGGGTTGTGGGTTCATTCCCACATCAAGACTTTGAACTCCCATAACCTAGGCTGACGCTCGAGTGCAGTGCTGAGGGAGGATCCGCTGCATTGTCAGAAGTGCCATCCTTCACATCAAACCTTTGCCTATGGCTCCCTCTCCCCCCCACCAACCTGGATGAACTCATTGGCAGATGGGACATAAAGAAAGCTACGTAACTCCTCGGTTTTGTTTTCTGTTGAAAAAGAGCAAAAGAAGGAATGAGAATAGATTGAAAATCCAGATGAGAATCAGTTCCCAAAAACACAAGCTTTCAATCATGTGATTGCCATTTACATCAAACAACTCCCTCCCAACACTGCAGAAACTCAACAACGTCTTAAACACTATTACAGCAGGCTGGTCAGAGGGAGCATAGAATTAGCTCTATAATGCCAGGAAACAGCGATATGAAATTGGGGGACAGAACAGGGAAAATTACTGGCTGGAGTTACTGGAGAGAAATGAAGCCCAAAACACAACTCACTTTATTGAAATAACAGATAATGGAGCAACAACAGGGATAAAAAATAATTTGTGCTCGATGTGTCCAGTTCTTGAGAAAGTGCAGCATGGTAATGATTGTAAATCAGAGGAAAAGGAATTGCCAAACAAGGGTGCTCCTTTAAGCCTTCGCACTTTTGGTCAAATGTGCAAGGTCTCATGTCAAAATTCTCCAGACCAGCCTGATCTTGACCTTTTCCCTGAGATTTCTGCACTGTCCAAGGAGCAGAACCTCGACTGTCCACAGAGACATGAGGTTTACTTTTAATCCTCAGAGATAGCAGCTGAGGAAGTAGGAAGCCACTGATAGCCGGCCAACTCATGAAAATAAAGTCTTGACCGCAAATGTGTGTAACTGCGAGAGAGGCACTGAACAGATCCACAGCCAAAGGATTCCATTCTGCAAACTCTCCAAAAACAAACAAGCCTCCTTTGGAAGAGAGTTCACGAAAGGCCCAGCAAACCCATAGCCCCTGAAGCAAACCCACAGCCCCTGAAGCAAACCCACAGCCCCTGAAGCAAACCTTTCTGTGGTGCCCATTAACCCAATGGCGCGGTTGCTGTTATTTTTCATTCTTCAGTGCAAGTTGCCAACTTTAACAGTTGACTCCTGGGAGTAGCATAATTAAAATCCAATCTTCTTCACGTACTTGAGCACGTTATGAAAGTTCTTCATTCCTATGAAGATTTTATTGACTTCATACAATCAACATTGCAAAGTGATGTCTCTGGTGATAGATTAATGCTTTGTATCTGTTGGTCGATTTTTTTTTCATCCACTGAACTGGAGGTACCTTGACAACATCAGAGTAATGTGTTAGTTAACACTAGTGATAACACATCTTGTTTTTTGGTCGGCTGGGTGTCTGACAAATGCAGAAACCCAGCAGCACATTTAAGAGTATCCAAACCAGTCACAAATGTATGGATCATTTAAAATATAGCCTTATCAATAACTAAAGACATCAATGTCGACTTCATGGCTGTTTGTAGGACGTTGCCATGTGAAAATTGGCTGCCGCTTTCACTTACGAATACCCAGTCACTACATCTTACAGTAAGAAGCGCTTTGAGACATCTTGGCAACAGGATGATGTGCTACATCAAATGCAAAGATTGCTTTTGTTTTATCATTAAGTTGCCTTCTTAGCATTAACTAGACCTCAATTACGTAGTATAATGACATGGCACCTCCAAATCTGGTAAGCTGTACCTTCAGTGCCCTGTGCCATCCAAACCTCAGTCGTGACCTTGTGATAGGTGCTGATTCTCTTTGTGCTGCTTGTGTTACAGAATGGTGGCTGTGCTGGTGCTCACGTTCGTCCTGATCAGAGCTGTAAAGACTCAGGAAGGTGACTCCGCCGTCTCATTTACGGTAATTATTACTTTTTAAACTCATCCATCGACCAAACCAAATCATGGAGTCCTACAGAGCTTGAGGTGACATTGTTCAGATGAGGCGTTAAACCAAGGTTCCCATCTTCAGGTGGACGTTAAAGATCCCATGTTAAATGGAAGGGAATTTCTCCCACTGTCCTGGACCCCAATCCTCCAGGTTGGATTTTGACATTCACCTCATGGCTGCTGTTTAGGAAATTGTTATATTGTTTACATTCAGAACAGACACCAGGAAATATTTATTTATCCAGAGAGTCATTAATGATTGGATTGCCAGGAAGAGTGGTTGAGGTCAGGACAACAACAACAATTTGCATTAAACATTGCCCCTCACGCAGGATAGTGTCCCAGAGCGCTTGACAGTGGAGGAAATGATGCCAAGTCAGGGGGAGGGGGAGGTGGCCATAGGTAAGGTCGAAGAGGAACATCTTCAGGTGCGACCTGAAGATAGAGGAGGGGCAAGGCGGAGGGATAGAGGGAGAGAGTTCCAGAGTTTCAGGCCACAGTGTCTGAAAGCGTGGCTACCGATGGTGGAACAGAGGACACTGAACTGGACCAAAGGCCAAAAGTGTTAAATATTGCTTTTTTAGTGAAAGTACAAAATTCAAACCGGATTTAAGAATTTTCCACAATTCTGCTGCACAAAGGTCTTATGGGTTGAAATTAGATTGAATTGGGGCCACTGCTTGCTCCCCACACCTGGTCATCTGTCTCTTCCTCAAGAATTGATCCAATTACAGGATCTATGGACTAGACCTCAACTCGGTATTGTGATGATAGGAAGTCTCCCAATCTGGTGAGCTGTATATTCAGTGCCATGTGTTTATTTACAGCAGTGCTCTGATGGATACAAATTGGATCGTGGACAGTGCAAAGGTAGGACATTGGGGGTGACCATACGTCCCTGATTCCTGGGGACACTCCCAGCATGAGGTATTGGGACCCTGGGGCCAAATGTGCCCTGTCTTGAGTTGCCCTGAAGTCTAACCAGCTAAAACCACATAGTTTGCCATTGACATCACTGTCTGGCAAGCATTCCTGCTGCTTGTCCAGCTAGGACCATCCTACCCGTTAGGGCTTTGGCTTGCAGGGTTAACAGGAGCTGAGTTGAAGGATTCCTTGCCCCCAGTGACATATCACATTGGAGCCAGACAGAGCCTGACGAGGGTGAGGATCATGGGCTTGTGCATCCAAGAATGGGTGAGGGGAGTGGTGGGTGGATGGCGGTCAGAAGAGGTCATCAAAAAAATAATTGGTCACTTAATCCACGATTGTTTGTGAACACTGTTGTGCGCAATTGGCTGACACGTCAATCCACTTCGCAGTGTATCCTGCGAAGCATTTTGAGACGTCTCAACGACATGATAAAGCGCTGTATCAAATGCCAGGATAATTATTATTGTTATTATTAAATAAAGACAGGGCAGGATTGACATCACATGACATTATTTCCACAGATGTGAATGAGTGCGAAACCATCTCAGAGGCCTGTAAAGGGGACATGAGGTGCATCAATCACAATGGCGGATACTTATGTTTGCCAAGAACTGCCGCTCTAGTCCTGGCTAACGGACCATCCAATCCCACTTACTCTCTGCCTTCATCCACATACTCAGAGACTTCGGCTTCCAGCAGCTACCAGTCAGCCTTGTTGCCCAGCTACCTGTCTCCAGCACGGACGTTGGTCTGTCGGTTTGGCTACACTCTGGACACCAATAACATGTGTGTGGGTAAGTCAGCGCTTCGCTCAGCAGAGATCCACTTAAGTGTCGCTGCCTGTCACCCGCAATTTTACATCCTAACCCACGGGATTAATTCCCTTTGAATCGTTTACGAAACGTTCGATTTCACTCCACACAATCACCCTCTGCAATGCAGCGTAAACCTCATTCGCGTTTCCCGTGACTTCCGTTACTTTCTGACTGGCTTCCCTGTAACCCCTGTCTGCCTTGTTCCCACTTACCCCTGTACCCCCTGTTCCCCTATTCCCCCTGTTCCACTTCCCACTGTTCCCCAGGGTGCGGGAGCTGCATGTTCCCTGCTCTGGAGAAAGGGCTGTGGAGAAAAGTTCCAGGAGGGAACAATTAGCCAGGGATTATTTAGATATTAGAAAAATGTATGAACATGCACGCACACATCATGCACACAGTCGCATACACATACACCCGCGCACGCACACACACAAAGCAAAAAATACAAATGTGCCAAGAATGTGGAACTATACCCCAACAAGTCAACAAACATTTGCTGGTGAGAATTCCTAATGGATGGGGAAGTGGGGGGGAAGTGGGTATCTAAATGATTTCTTAACAGGGACTGAAAACGAGGAACCCCACTTAACCCACGGCAAGGAGTTAAACAGGTGGGATGGGACCCTGACCACATCTATACCAAATACCAAATGCAGGGTTTGTTATTATTGATAATGGAGTCCTGTAGCTCAGTGGTTAGAGCACTCGCTTTGCAAGTGAGAGATCTGGGTTCGATTCCCGGCAGGGCGAAACCTTGGGCAAGTTTCCTTACTCCATACGCCCAATAATAATCCCTCCAAAAAAACAAAACAATAATAAATTGGTCATTTTGAATCCATGACTGTTTGTGGGACATTGCTGTGCACTATTGGCCGCTGCGTTCGCCCACAAATATACGGTCAATTTCACTTTACAGTGTGTTCTGTGAAGCGCTTTGGGATGTCCTCCCGACGTGAAAAGCGCTATATCAAATGCAAGGATTATTATTATTATTATTATTATAATTAGACTGGATATATGCGCTTATCAGAGCTCTGTGAGATTTTCAAATTGAAGGCAAAATTATCTCATAGGCTCAGACTGGGTGGAATTTGCCAGCCCGATAATGGTCATTTTTAAACAAAATTTATTATCCTGCCATAATCACCTAGTTTGCTATCATTAACTGGCGTTAATCTCAGCCTCATTCCAATCAGCGCAGTTCATTTCCTGCCCCGTTTTTCTTGTTAACTTGTCAACAGCAAGTCCCAGTGGTAATACGAGAGTCTCACACTGCCTGACCCTGGGTGTTTTACCATTGAGAGAGCTGCCTTGCAAGTTTTTCCACTGCTAGGACCACCCTACCCTGTAGGGCTTTGGCTTGCAGGGTTAATGGGAGCCATCAGTAAGGCAGATGCCATTGTGCCCTTTATTTGTTCAGCTTGTTTCCAATGCTTTTGTCACCAGAGAAACGGCTCTGATCTTTATCTGTGTTTATGCCTCCCTGGAAGGAAAGAATTGAATGGTTTCACAACAGAACAGAATGAGAGATGGATATTATAACATGTTCCAGCACGTAATCCCATTAATCACCAGTGGACGGTCAGGCAAATGTGTTCTTGACGTGGGGCAGAGTGACTTTTGGATGATCACTTAATGCCCATTGTTTCTATCGACATCCAATGCCTCTTGTTACCTAATCGTTGGAAAATACAAGAGTTTGGCCCAAGCGCACACAAATCAACTTGAAGCAGTAACTTCACAAATTGTTCACCTGTACAGACCCCATAGCAGCGAAATGTAGCCGGGTCACCTCTGAACAATCAGTCCTCGGTCTCCAAGCTACTATCTCAGTCGGACATCTGCTGTTTGTGAATTACATGTTCATTCAAAAAGGCTTGGAATGCTTTCTTCATTGTAACCAGAGTCAGGAGCAACACTATATTGTTAGACAAAGCACCGGGCTGATGTAGGAGGAAGCATGTCACGTTCCCTGTTGTAACCTTGGAAGAGTCCAGTCACTGTTGTCAGGGTTTATATCGGTGTCTCATCTGTTCTTGCTCTCGCCTCTGGGTTAAAAAAGTTGTCAGTTTAAGTCAAACATCAGGGCTCAAGTCAAAGCAGACACTTGAGTGAAACTGAGGTTGCACCTGCCTGTTCAGGTGAAAATCATTATCATATTATCATTATTAATAATAATAAATTCCAACAGTGCTATTCAAAAACAAAAAATATAGGGTAGTTTCTCTCTAGGTCCTGCCTCGCCAGATATCTTTGAGATAATTTATCTTCCAGATAAATTGGTGATTCTAATATCCCTGATTGTCCATCTTTCCGACATGAAGGGCACTATACAAGTGTAAGTTGTTGTGTATTCCCATTGTGGATTGAGTGAACAAATGATTTATTATTATTATCCCCAGAAAAGCGATCCGCCAATCAACTAACTTATTGCTAGGTAAACAGAGTTGTGTGTATGGAGTAAGGAAACTTACCTAAATTTTCACCCTGCTCGGGAATCAAACCCATGTCCTCTTGCTCATGAGGTAAGCACTCATCACTGCAGAACTCCACATTTGGGACAAATGCAGATGTTGCCACTTGCCATGTTGCGTGAGGTACAGCCTATAACTGGAAACAGGTGCCTGTTGTTAGCCCTGGCCGACAGCCACTTTCAGTACAGCGTAATTGAAAAATAGTTTTCACAGGCAACCCTAACAATCCACACTCTGCTTTGGGGTCTGACCTATATAGGCAACTTGCCGTCTATTATTTTAATCATTATCCTGATGAATTTTACTGTGTACACCAATGACTTCATCCTCCAGCAATGCACCCCCCCCCAGCTAAAACTTGTGCAAACAATGCAGATACAGTTCTTATTTTTCTTTCTGCAAGAAGTCCTCCTAATAAGGAATATTCACCATGTTGAGAAACCTGTGAAGCCGTGTGCCTCTTGATTTTTTGTGTCTGGTATAAGGTGAAAGAGGGGCCACACCACAACAACAACTACTTGTGTTTATACAGCACACTTCACACAGGATAGTATCTCAGAGCGCTAAACAATGACAGGATTGGACCCCGAGAAAGGTGGGGGGAGGCATTAAGTTGTCAGAGGTGCCGTCCTTTGGACATGATGTTAAACTGAGGAACCGTGGAACTTCCAGGTCCCAGGCCTTCTTCATCCACAAAACACATAGTCACTTCACTTACAATACTTCCTGTGAAGCGCTTTGAGACGTCTCAATGACATGATGAGGCGCTGTATCAAATGCAAGGATTATTATTATTATGTTTTGTGCGTCAGCCATCTTCACCCTCTATATGCTCCCCCTTGGTGACATCATCCGCAAACATGGGGTTAACTTCCACATGTATGCGGATGACACCCAACTCTACCTTTCCTCCTCTACTCTCAACTCCACGACCACCGATGTCCTGACAGCCTGCCTGTCCGACATCGAGTCCTGGACGAGAGACAACTTTCTTCAGCTCAACGTGCAAAAAACCGAGGCCCTCCTGATTGGCTCACGTCAGCGCCTCCGCACCTCAGGCGCTGACACCATCAGCATCCAAGGCTGCACTCTCCACCTCTCAAAGCCAGTCAGGAACCTCGGCGTTTTGTTCGACCCTGAGCTGTCCTTTCTCCCTCACATCCGCACCACAACTGGCACCGCCTTCCATCACCTCCGGAATATCGCCAGATTACGGCACTACCTCACCCCTCACGCGGCTGAAACCCTGGTTCACGCCTTTGTCACCTCAAGGCTGGACTATGGGAACTCTCTCCTCGCCGGCCTTCCCGCCACCTCCCTCCACAAGCTGCAGGTCATTCAGAACTCTGCAGCTCGTGTACTGTCCCGCACCAGGCTTCGGGACCACATCACTCCCACCCTCGCTCGCCTCCACTGGCTCCCCATCCCCCAGAGGATTGATTTCAAGATCCTCATCCTCACCTACAAGGCCATTCACGGCCTTGCTCCCTCCTACCTCTCCAACCTACTATCCCCCTACCTACCTGCCCGTACCCTCCGTTCCTCTGGCTCCGGTCTGCTCCACGTCCCCCGCCCCAACCGCCCTACTATCGGTGGTCGGGCCTTCAGCCTCTCAGCCCCGAGGCTCTGGAACTCCATCCCCCAGTGCCTTCGCCTTGCTTCCTCCCTTTCCTCCTTCAAGGCCGGTCTCAAAACCTTTCTCTTTGACCGTGCCTTCAGCTCCCCTCTCGACTCTCTTCCTCCTCCTCGCTCCCTCCCTTCCCTCCCCTCACCCTGACCATTTCTCCTCTCTCCCTCCCTTCCCTCCCCTCACCCTGACCATTTCCCCCCTGCTCGGGTCATGACCCAACTGTGCAGCGCCTTGGGACGTCCTCCTGACGTGAAAGGCGCTCTATAAATGGAATCTTGTTGTTGTTGTTGTTGTTGTTCTTTGAGAGCTGATGCGAGTTTATCAGCAGTCTTGTTATTATTCAGGTTTCAGATGAGCACGAGCTGAGCTTGGTGTTTTCCTTGAGGGTATAACGCCAAGCCACGCACTTATTATTGCTCCACAAGGCTGGCTCTGACACTGACCAGCAATCATAAGTTCTCAAGTCTAGATACCATCAGGACCAAGCTCCCTGACGATAAGCTGATGGAATCCAGTCCGTAGTATCTCTTAACCAGATTCGTCAATCAGATCTTCACCTCGATAAAGAATTGAGTCGGGCGCGTGTTTCCTGTAACCAAAAGTTATGTCATTTAGGTTTTCCGAGATTCAATAAACTAGTGGGACAGGTTCAGTGGCTCCTTTTAATATGGGTAAGTAGGTATTCAATAGGTTATTTGCCAAAGTACTGCAGACTGCACAAAGCTGTTATCTCCAATGTAAAGATATCCCCACCCCTCCCACTCCCCCCCCACATCAGCCCTAAACGGTATTGCCAATAAATCTTATGCTTCAATTGAAGTGAAGTGAATCGATCAAGAAAAAAGGGAAAACACCACCTGTAGCTCAGTGGTTAGAGCACTCGCCTTGCAAGCCAAAGGATCTGGACAAAACATTGGGCAAGTTTCCTTACTCCAAAAGTCTCTGTTTACCTAGCAGTAAGTATCCAGTTGTTAGTCAATTGGCAGATCGCTTTTCTGGGGGTAATAATCACTTCAAAATAAATAATAATAATTTGGATCACTTCAATCCACGACTGTTTGTCGGGACGCTGCTGTGCGCAATTGGCTGCTGCGTTTCAACCACAAAATAAACAGTCAATTCACTTTACAGTGTATCCTGTGAAGCGCTTTGAGATGTCTCGATGACGTGATAAGGCCTGTATCAAACTGCAAGGATTAATTGTTGTTATTATTTCCCTGCTCTGACAGACACAGACGAGTGCACCTCAGGGATCCACCAGTGTAACCCATCGCAGATCTGCATTAATACAGAGGGCGGTTACAGCTGTTCGTGCACTGAGGGATACTGGCTGGTGGAAGGCCAGTGTATGGGTATGTATGTGCGCTCACTACATTCAAAACCACTACTCCACATCCAATCTGGACTTTAAGTACAAGAAGTGCCACAGGAGTAGCTCAACAAGGTCGGAACTATTGTGGCATCACTCGTTAGCTTAGCACTCTCGCCTCTGGGTCAGAAGCCTACCGGCTAAAGTCCCCACACTGGTGAACGCACACACAACCCAGGCTGATGCTCCAGGACCACAGCGCTGCATTGTCAGAGAAAGGGTGGTTATGGTCAGGACTGGTTTAACGCTGTTCTGGAGGACGGCCAAATCCGAACTGCGATTTCATGCCGTCTTCCTTTCTCTTTAAAGCCCAAATCCTACCTTTATTTTATTTGTAGAGTAAAACTCACACAAGTCGTGTCAGTCGGGACCATAACATTCAATGTCACTTACGCTAAGTACAAGTTGCAGGCAAACTGTATAAATCATATAAAATCCCTATTTAATCAATAATCCACACTGCGGCCAGTAAGTGTGGATAATCATAATAATCCCTCCAAAAGAAAACAATAATAAATTGGTCATTTTCAATCCATGACTATTTTTGGGACGCTGCTGTGCGCAATTGGCTGCCGCATTCGCCCACAAATATACAGTCAATTCACTTTACAGTATATTCTGTGAAGCGCTTTGGGACGTCGAGAAGGTGTGAAAGGCGCTATATCAAATGCAAGGATTATTATTATTAAGTGTAGGAATAATGGAGGGAAGGGGAGCAGTTAGGAGATGATTAATAGTAAAGAAATCTGAGTGGTTTTGGTAGGAAGCTGAATGGGGCTCAAGTGGATGTAGGACTCGGGCAATTATATGATTTATAATGATAAGGCTTTATGCGGGTTTTACTGCACCACATTGGGGTTTGGGTTAAACGAATGTGTGTTTTCTTTCAGACATAGACGAGTGTCGTCACGGATACTGCCAACAGCTGTGTGCCAACATTGCCGGCTCCTACTCCTGTCAGTGTAACACTGGCTTCATCCTGAACCCCGACGGCAGGTCCTGTCAAGGTAACCACAAACCTCCAGCTGATCTCACTCCTCACGGCTGCCGCAATGCCCAATGAATAAATAGAATAGATTTTTAAAAATTTATTTTAAAAAAAGTGTTAAACTGGACTGTAGATGTCAAATTGCACAAAATTGCAGCTCCCAGCGCCAGGGCTGATAATAATACTGATCATCATAATAATAATAATCCTTGCATTTGATACAGCGCCTCATCATTTCTTTGAGATGTCTGAAAGCGCTTCACAGAATATATTGTAAAGTGGAGTGACTGTGTACTTTGTGGGTAAAACACGCAGCCAGTTGTGCACGGCAGCGTCCCACAAACAGTCGGGGATTGGGTGACTAAATTACTATTATTATTTTTTAAAAAATAATCATGATAATAATATTGGTAATAATGGTATTAAAATACTAATGAGCTGCTGTGTCCATGTTACAGATTTAGATGAATGCGCTGGTGAGGACTCATGTTCTCAGCAATGTATCAACACCTACGGATCGTTCCTTTGCCGCTGTGACACTGGCTATGAATTAACTTCGGAGGGAACAGTCTGTGAAGGTAAGAGATGAAATAATCCATTACATGGCTCTGTAATTATTTAATTAACTAATTGATTAATGCAAGTTTAGGCCAGAGGTTTGTACACAGAGAGGTAATCAGGGAATGGGATGATACAGAAGGATAATTTAGGCCGGGACTTGATGCTGTAATGACAACAACAACAAGATTCCATTTATAAAGCGCCTTTCACGTCAGGAGGACGTCCCAAGGCGCTGAAATGACAGGATGATAGAGGTGGGTGTTCTGGAAAGATAAGATTAAATGGGTTGAAGGGAACTTCTCAATGCAGCCATAATAATAATCTTTGCATTGGATACAGCACCTCAGAACGGCGTAGTTACATTTTGATGGAAATTAATTTTACAGACAGCAATTTTACTTTGAAACAACTCATTGAAAGTGAGTGAAAAACAGCAGGTCGCGTACACGAGCAATTGGTTGACGTGTTTCGCCCATAAAATACACAGTCACTCCACCAAGCAGTATATCCTGTGAAGCACTTTGAGACGTCTCGAAGACGTGATAAGACGCTATATCAAATGCCAGGATTATTATTATTCTGTTTTCTGTGTCAGCCATGGTGTATGGAGAGCTGATGCGATTTTATTAGCGGTGTTGTTCAGGCTTCGGACAAGCACGAGCTATAAAAAAAAGTAAAACCAGGAAAAAAAATCACCCGTTTTTTTAATAAAGGAAAAAAACAATGTTGATTCCTTCATCTCACTGTCAGAATTGCTGCTCGGAGCACCACTGTGTGGACCTGCCGTGTAATGACATGCCCCCGTTTGATGACACTGAAGACAGTCCACAAGGTTTCCTGTTGTTGGGCCACATTTACGGGTTGTGCTTTTATCAGTTACATGTAGTTTTGCACTTGTTTACGTTTTGGACGGCGTAATATTTATCAGAAGGGACTCAGCCGATAAGACCGAGGCTCTCCTGATTGGCTGCCGTCAGCACCTCCACAGCTCAGGCGCTGACAATATCGCCATCCGTGGTTGCACACTCCACTTTACGAAGCCACTCCGGAAACTTGGCGTCTTGTTTGACCCTCAACTATTGTTTCTACCCCACTTCTGTGCCATGACCCGCTCTGCCTTCCCCCACCTCCGCAACGTCACCCGGGTCCGACACTGTCTCACACCACAGGCCACCGAAACCCTCACACACGCCTTCATTACATGCAGGCTCGACTATGCAAACTCCCTGCGTGTCGGCCTCCCCAACGCCTCCCTCCACAGGCTGCAGATCATCCAGAACTCCGCAGCCCATGTCCTCTCCCGCAGCAGACTCCGTGACCCCATCTCCCCCATCCTCGCCCAACTCCACTGGCTTTCCATCACACAGAGGATACAGTTCAAGATCCTGGTCCTCACCTTCAAAGCCTTCCATGGCTTTGCCCCCCCCAACCTCCAGACCCCCTACCATTCTGCTCGCTCCCTCTTCTCAGTGGGCTCCGGCCTGCTTCACATCCCCTGCCTCGCTCGCCCCACTATTGGCAGGTGAGCCTTCAGCCACTCTGCCCCTACCCTCTGTCATCCCGCTGTCCCTCCGCCTCACCCCTTTCCTTGCCACTTTCAAGACCCCCCTCTCTGACTGGGCTTTCAATCACCCTCCTTCACCCCCTGCCCCCCACCCTCTCCGATCCCGACCCCCAGCTCGGGTCCGAAACACTGTTTGTCCAGTGCCTTGGGACGTCCTCTCGACGTGAAAGGCCCTACACACGTAATTTTGTTGTTATTATGTCTTTGAGTTGGATTTGTCTCTTGGCATTTCATTAATCTGTTTTCTCCCCAGTTTGTTTATACATCTCTACAGTGCAAAGCGCACTCCCAACAACAACAACAACAACAACAACAGCCTTGTGCCCTTGGCTGAGACTTTGTAAGGTTTGAACTGATGCAAAGTGAGACTCAATAAAACTCCCATAATATTACAGCAAATAACAGTCCCAAGCTGCAAAGTAAGATAATATACCATCTCTCGAAGAGAGAAGGGAGTGTTTCCCTTTGGTGTGGTGGCTGACAATCTCCCTCCCTCCCACAATAAAATTGGCTATTCACTTCATGGCTGTTTGCGCTAATAACATACTTGGAAACGTGGGAGAAGATTCGATGGAGGCTTTCAGGATAAGTATTTGAAAAGGAAAAATGTGCAGAGCTATGGGGTAAGAGCGGGGGAGTGGGACTAGTTGGTACCTCTTTCAAAGAGCTGCAGAGGCACGATGGGCTGAATGGTCTCCTTCTGTGCTGTAAGATTCTATGATTCTAGGTTAATTCTAGACAGAAACTGACTCAGTTACTGGATCTTTCTTCCAGATATCAATGAATGCAGCTTCTCTGAGTTCCTCTGTCAGTTCCAGTGTGTGAACGAGCCGGGCACTTTCTTCTGTATCTGTCCCCCTGGCTTCACCATGTTCGATGACAATAGGAGTTGTGAAGGTAAAGTGCGGGTCATGCGTATTTTCTGTTCTGAATACATTCACCTAAAACCTCCCTATCTCATTCCCTCACCCCCACCATGCGCTTTCAGTCTTAATGTGAAATGCCTCCGTCTTTATGAATAACCCCGAGATGTTAGTTACGCTGTGTGAAGAGTGTTATATAAATGCAAGTTTGGAAAATCCTTGCAATCAGTATTGCTTTGGAAGGCGGTTCAATACACTTCTTTTCCAGATTAAGATGTCTTTTCTGAAAGCCACTACGTCCCCAACTCTGGAACTCTCTCCCTCAATCCTTTCGTCTTGCCCCCTCCTTCCCCATTTTCACATTCCCGCCTGAAAACCTTCCTCTTCAACCCTTAACAGTGGCGAAGCTTGACCCAGGGCTGCCTCCCTTCCCCCCGGCTCGGTGTCAGACTCCACCACTGTTAAGCTCTTTGAAACACTGTCTTGCATAAAGGGTGCTATGTAAATGCAAGTTGTCGTTGTTTCTTCCCAGCTGGGAGTCAGACTGTGCCATTGTCCAGCGCTCGATAGATTTCTGTGGTGATTTGAGCCTTTGCTTTTCCTGTGTCAGATATTGATGAGTGTGAGAATGGAAATCACACCTGCACAGCGGAGCAGGACTGCTTCAACACTCAGGGAGGATTCAAGTGCCTGGACAGAGTGAAGTGCCAGGACCCTTACATACAGTTGAATGAAAAGTAAGTCCTACATTCCTCTGGACAGTGGTGCCATGATATGGTTTTAATAATAATAATAATAATCCTCGTAATATATATATAGAGCCTTATCATGTTGTTGAGACGTCTCAAAGCGCTTCACAGACTATATTATAAAGTATATATATATATTAACTGTGTATTTTGTGGGTAGAATTTGGTCACTCAATGCACGGCTGTTTGTGGACGCTGCTGTGCGCAATTGGCTGCCGGTTTCGCCCACAAAATATTCAGTCGATTCACTTTACAGTATATTCTGTGAAGCGCTTTGAGACGTCTCGAAGACATGATGAGGTGTTATATCAGATGCAAGGATTATTATTATCATTATTATTATTTATCCCAAAGCACTTCAGAGGATATCTTGTAAAGTGTGTGTTTGTTGTCATTGCGAACCCCAAGCTGCTTTATGAAGTGGCCTGTCACTAACCTGCTCTGTTTGCCACAGTCGCTGTATGTGTCATGGGGAGAACCCAGGCTGCTCGGAGCAGCCATTCACTATCCTGTACAAACACATGGGCATCGTGTCAGGCCGCAGTGTGCCCGCGGACATCTTCCAGATGCAGGCCACCACCCGCTACCCTGGCGCCTACTACATTTTCCAGATCAAATCAGGGAACGAAGGCAGAGAGTTCTACATGAGGGTGAGCACGCGCAGCTCTTGGGACTGTAGATCTCTGATGCAGGAAACTCTACCAGGTCTACATTTTCTCCATTTCCTCAGCATATCTGAGCCTCCAGAATTTGACAAAACACTTCAAAACACAGTCTTGATTTTATAGAATCGTAATCCTACAGCGTAGAACGAGGCCAATCGGCCCACCTTGCCTGTGCAGGCTCTTTGAAAGAGCTATCCAACTAGTCCCACTCCCTCGCTCCCCCCCCATAGCTTTGTAAATTGTTTTACATATCCAATTTGAAAGTTATTATTGAATCTGCTTCCACCAAACTTTCAAACAGTGCTCTCCAGACCGTAACAAAAATGTCTCCCCATTTCCACTCTGGTTCTTTAGCTAATTATCTCAAAGCTTTTTTTTCTTTCAAGAATCCCAGTGAGCAGGCTTCAAGCTAAAGGCTGAATTCAGCAATTTGTCAATTTCTGGATGCTCTGAAATGCTAAGAGAATAGAAAATAATACATTTGTATCTCAATGTTTGCAACTTGAAAACAAGTAAAAATGCGAAGTTATAGTTCTAGCAATCGATACCAGGTTGGTGAAATTGTTCAGTTATCTTGGGATGGGTTGTGTTGGTTACATTGGATTAGGATATCTAGGGTTACATTGGGATGGGTTGTGTTGCATTGGAATGGATCGGGTTGGGTTTAGGAGCACTGATTTTCGGTTGGTCTGATTAAACACATACACATTTTGCTCCATTAAAGTTTAACAATGTGCAAAATTGAGCAACTCTATTGAATAACGATCTTTGTACATTTACAGCAAACTGGGCCAGTCAGTGCCACCCTGGTGATGACCCGCCCGATTCAAGGACCCCGTGAAGTGGTGTTGGATTTGGAAATGGTCACTGTGAACACCGTCATCAACTTCCGAGGGAGCTCAGTGATCAGACTGACTCTCTTTGTGTCCGACTTCACATTCTGAACCCTGGGATCAATGGCTCCATATCTGATGGGTTAATCAGTTATTTTTTTAATGAATGAATAAATGAAAGCTGTGTGTATGTGCATGTCTGTGTGTGGCTGTGTGACTGTGTGTGTGTGTGTACGTGTATGTGCATATATGTGTCTGTGCGTATGTGTGCATGTGTGTGTGTCTGTGTGGTTGCGTGTGGCTGTATGTGCGTGGTTGTGTGTGTGTGTGTTTGTCTGTGTATTTGGTTTTAAAACAGACAAGTTGCTTTTGCAATGTGCCTGCTGTCTGCTCGTTACACCTGGTTCAGAGACGTTACAGAAATAAACTCTGCGCTACCATATATTCCAGTAAGAATTCAGAGGCTTGAAATTTTGGCTTCATATTTAAAGTTGCACGAGAATTTTGGAAAATTCTTTAATTCTTTGGGAGTCGTTTTTCCGCAAATTCTGAAATGAAGACCGAATTTAAGAATTTTCCCCAATTCTGTGTGTTCTTAGATTTTAAGGCAAAATGGTCTCAAAGCTAAAGAGCAGCAAGAGGTTGATGTTCTCAGTCCTTGTTGGGCAGAGCGTGTTCAGTGAGAGGCCCCACACTGCTCAGTATTAGGTGTTGTTGGCAGCCCTCAACGGTTAGTCAAGATTTTTATTATTAGGTTTTTACCGTCACCATGAAAAACATCACCTCCCGCCTTGACTACTCCAATGCCTTCCTCACCGCTTTCCACAGCTGCCTCCCCACAAACTACAATGGATACAGAACTCCGCCACCTGTATACTCACCCACATTAGACTCCATATCCCCATCACACCTCCCTTTAGTGAACTCTCTCCCTCAATCCCTCCACCTTGCTCCCTCCTTCCCCTCTTTTAGATCACGACTGAAGACCTTCCTCTTCACCATACATACAGTCAGCCCCACCCCCCCGGCTCGGCGTCAGTGTCCGGTTCCGTTAAGCTCTCAGAGACGCTGCCCAACGTGAAGGGCGCTGTATAAATGCAAGTTGTTGTTGAATATTCGAGCAATCTATAGGCCAACACTTCATGGCAGTGACTATGGGATGAAACGGGGCCAATACAGTGTCCGCTGTTGTCTATAAAGGGGTGGTGGTGGGGGAAAGTTTCCCAATGTACCACTGAGCTTTGGCCAACACCATTCAATCTTTACATCCAACAGTACGGTGGTGCCAGACACAATACTACAATGGGGACATGGTTCTCAATAACTGCAGTGATATCTCTCTTCCAGCTAACCTTGAATTAAAGGCTATACAGCTTCCCTACCGCCCCCCACCCACACCTCCCTGGGGAACTGGCCTATTTTAATCAAACAGGCGCTATTGAATTAAGAACCACCTTTAAAAATTCTGTTGTCGGCTTTATTTTCGATTGAATAGATCCAACAACCCCCTGAGAGTTGATTTCATAAGAAGCTCTGGGATCCTTTGTTATTAGGTTGTCTGTGGGCATCCGCAGCACAAGACATTCTAGACTGCACACATTTTCAGCGCAGAAAGAGACTATTCGGCTCATCGAGTCTGTGTTACTACAGTTCTATCCGTTTTTCAAACCTTTGTTTCTTTATGAACCTCCTTTGCAAACCCAGCTCCCAACATAACATTGGCCTTCAGTTTCAGCAGATCAAATGTAGCAACTGAAAGAAGACATATGTGTAACTGACCTAGATGAGTCATCTGAACACACTAATCCCCTCCTGAAGTTTGGTTCTGGTTGTCTTTATATTGTTGCAACATGAGTTCCACATCTGTGTATCATAAACAGGGTCATTTTAAGCAAAGTTCCTTCTCCCTGACTGCTCATGGTATTATATCCAACTCTATTGTTCACATAGAGTCACCAAATCAAAGCATGACTGTATCAAAGGCTGGTGTGAGAAACACGCTACATGGCATTGACAACCTCCGGGTCTCTCTTGGGTATTTAACACATTATGAATTCACTCCACATCCAAATCCGAATGTTTGTTTTATTCTAAATATGTACATTTTATACTTTTAAGTATTTGGACAACAGTTATTTTATATGTAAACAAAATAAATGTTTCCCTCCTTCCTCCGAAGCCTGAGGCACTCGTTTCCTGCGCTTCTGAAGAGACAGATTTGACCCTGTGTTTGGCGATGTGTTTTGTTATATCTACTGTGTGACGCTGTCTGAGAGATGTGGCTTCTTCAAGGTGAACTGAAAAGCAGCACAATGTCCACTGGTATAATACCTTTCAGGTAGACAGGGGTCAGGCTGGCTCTGTGACTCGCTGTTTGCCTCTGGGTCAGAAGGTAATGGGTTCAAGCCCCTCGGTGGGGCGTTTCCTCCACAAAATACACAGTCACTACACTTTGCAGTATATCTGGAAAGCGCTTTGAGACAAGTCAATGACATAAGGCGTTATATCAAACGGAAGGAATATTATTAAGCGCTCTGACACGCGACCCTGCTTGAGGACGCTATATAAATGCAAGTTATTGCTGTTTGAATCTAGGCTGATGCTCCAATACAGTGCTGAGGGAGTGGGGGGGGGGGGAAGCTCTGCAGTGTCGGAGGTGCCATCCTTTGATGAGACGTTAAAACCAACGACCCCGTCTGTGACTGTTTAGGTGGACGTTAAAGATCCCGAGGCACTACTTGAAAAGTGAAGGGAGTTTTTCTCTCTCTCTCTCTCCCGATGTCCAGGCCAACAATCTCCCGGATAACATTGGCCATTGACTTCATGGCTTTGTGGGACATTGCTGTGGCATCAGTAGTTTGTGCACGTGTCCTTGATCTGACGGGGCGTGAGATCTGGAGATGTTACTGACAGATTTTATTCGAGTCAGTATTTTTTTCTCTGTGTTTCCTTACCAGAAATTGTGGTTTCTGGGTAAGGAAACACAAATAAATAAATTTCCGTTCATCACAGTTACAGACAGCAATACAAAAAATGTTGCACTTGTGCATTTCAGGTGAAGGGAGATTCCTGTGGCATTATTTCCTCTTTTGCTCATTCCTATTGCCACACTTAAACGGGCCGCACATTCCAGAACAAAGAGGCAAGATCTTAACTAACAAGGAGATATGTTCTTAAATAACAATAATAATAATCCTTGCATTTGAGATAGGCTCTTATCACATTGTCGAGACATTTCAAATACTTCACAGAATATGCTGTAAAGTGAATTGACTACATTTTGTAGGTGAAACGTGGCAACCAATTGCACACAGCAGCACTGTCCCACAAACAGTCGCGGATTGAGTGACCACATTTTTGGGGGTGAAGGATTATTACCCACAGAAAGCGAACTGCCAATCAACTAACAACCGGGTTTACTGTTAGGTAAACTGACCCGTGTGGCGTAAGGAAATGATGATCTTAAAATTCAGAGCGTAGGTGGTTTAAAGTGAAACCATTTCTTCACAAAAAAAGGTGATAATATTGTCTAAACACCCCACCCCGGGAGGATATGAAAGCAGGATTGATTGAGGGAATTAAAAGAGAGATGTGGGGGAGGCGATAGGGGAAAGAGAGAAGGAAATGGGATGACAAATATAAAGGAATCTCGTGATCCAATGGAGTCAGCTTATCAGACAACAGGGAGAAAGGAGGAGGCAAAGGGGGCTGAGGGGGTTTTATTTACATAATTGCATTGGGTGTGAGGAATGTCCTGGCAGACGCGCACAATTCACATTAGATTTGAAGAAGGAAACAGAGCAAGATCTAAAGAGGAGTCATTTGCAGAGATGTGTGTGTGGGGGGAGGGGAGGCAAGTAAATTGGATCAATTGACCGAATGGATTGCTCTTTCAAAGAGCGGCACAGACACAATAAGCCATATTTGTGCTGTAACTCTCGAGGGGTTCAATGGTTCTAAGGATAGCGGTGAGGTGGGTTAGGGCAATAGCAGCCATTTTCTAGGACCTGAGTTTTAATCTAACCAACGATTAAAGAGATGAAGATTCTTTACTGTTAAATAGTTAATATTCCCTTTGATAAGTGCCATAAAACTATACAACTTAATTTCAGAAAGTTAGTGCATAATTTTTCAATCAAGACATCTGTTGTGCCCTAATCAGACAAAGTGCTGCTATTAAAATTACATCAGCATTCTGCCAGTTTAATGCAGTACTTCTGTCAACAGCTGGCATCACTTCCCGAACCTAAGTGACTTTGGAAGCCGGATCTAAGAATTCCAGTTTGAACCTCACTGAACAGCCCCCAAACACTTCAGCCCAATTACAGTATAAACAGTTCAGCGCTGGGTCGGAGATGCTGTCCTTGGGATGAAACAATTAACAACAACAAATCATGCTGTTCAGGTGGACTTTAAAGAGCGTTATTAGAAAAAGAGGGCGTTTCCAGGAATATAAGACCAGGAGGAGGCCATTCAGCCCCTCAAGCCGGTTCTGCCATTCTATAAGATCATGGCTGATCTGTACCTCAACTCCAATTACCCACCCTTGCTCCATGTCCCTTGATACCCTGACCTAAATAATTGCGCACAGCAGTGTCCCACACACAGTCGTGGATTGAGCATTTTTACGTGAGGGCGAGGACTTTGAAGCTGATCTGTTCGCAGACAGGGAGCCGGTGGTTATAAGGAAAAACTCACTGATTGTAGCGACTTGCACATGGTTGACCCCATTGTTTGCGATGGTAAATCAATCCGACTGAGAGTCTGTCTGCGCAGTGAGACGTGAAACCCACAGCTCAAAGCTGATCTCACCAAAGACTGTGATTATATCCTCCCCAAACTGTTACAACATCTCACAGCAACAAAACATCCGAACCCAGACTTCCCCCATGCATTCAGCGCATACATTCAGGCTTAATCCTCCTCTGGGGTAATCTTTATTTCAACGTTCTGGTGACGTGCGAGAGTTCAGAGTGCTCTGCGGGAAATCTCCCAAACACCCGCAAATGGCCAGGACACCGGGAGAGAGAAATTCCCTTTTTCCTTCCCGGGATCTTTAACATCCACCTGAACAGGCAGACGGGACTTCGGTTTAACGTCTCATCCGAAAGACAAAGTAGTGGGTTTGTTGTTAACAGAAGAATTGTAAGGAATTAATTCCCACAAGTGGCTGTTGATATTGGATCAATAGAATCATTCTGCAGGGAACTGGATGAGCGAGTGTGGAAAAAGAACTGGCAACGGGGATTAATAAAGACAAAGGTTGACCTAGAAAAACAGGTGGCACAGACGCACACGCAGACACAGCCGAATGGTAACCTTCCATGTAGAAACTCTCTGTGTCTCCCTGCAATCGAACAAAACACTGTGATGCCTGTTTGTGCCAAATCAATATTACTGCTTAACTCTGGTCTGACAGAGAAGACTCAATGTCTCTGGTCCCAGCCACACAGGCACCTTCACAGTCTGCGGAGCATTGTGGAGTCCTGTAGCTCAGTGGTAACTCGCAACTCGCTTCACAAGTGAGAGACCTGAGTTCAATTCCCGGCAGAGGGCGAAACCTTGGGCAAGTTTCCTTACTCCACACAGAGCCTAATAATAATCCCTCCAAAAACAATAATAAATTGGTCATTTTCAATCTACGACTGTTTGTGGGACATTGCTGTGCGCCATTGGCTGCCGCGTGATGATAATAATAATAAAAATTAATAATCCTTGTATTTGGAATAATGCTTTTCAGGTCATCATATATAGTAAAGCATTAGATCAAATGCAGGGATTATGTAGGGATTATACTTAATATTATTACAATAGCCCTTACTGCCGGAGTATAATTCTGTGTCTCGGTGCACACAAAAGTATTATTCTAAGAATAATAATAATAATAACTTGCATTTGATATAGTGCCTTATCACGCTGTTGAAACGTCTCCAAGTGCTTCACAGGATACACTGTAAAGTGGAGTGACTGCGTATTTTGTGGGCATTTTTAAAATATTTATGTATTTTCTGTGTTTGCTTTCTCAATCCCGTTTGAAATCCTATAATCCTGTACGTCTAACACGTTCCCTCTCTCTGAGATCAAATCGTTTTTCTTTCATAATTTGGTGGGGGAAAAAATTATTTTGTGGGGTTGGGGGGAGAGAGTCGGGGGGGGGGGTGCATCAGCCGCTGTCTGACACATGAGGAAACCCATCGTTAAGAAGATCCAAACCCAAGCTAAGGTTTGGAGGACAAGGAGCTGCTGTGTGGGTGGCAGCACAGGGGTTAATGGTGTTGGGAGGCAGCACAGGGGTTAATGGTGTTGGGAGGCAGCACAGGGCTTAATGGTGTTGGGAGGCGGCACAGGGGTTAATGGTGTTGGGAGGCAGCACAGGGGTTAATGGTGTTGGGAGGCGGCACAGGGGTTAATGGAGGCGGCACAGGGGTTAATGGAGGCGGCACAGGGGTTAATGGAGGCGGCACAGGGGTTAATGGAGGCGGCACAGGGGTTAATGGAGGCGGCACAGGGGTTAATGGAGGCGGCACAGGGGTTAATGGAGGCGGCACAGGGGTTAATGGCGGCGGCACAGCACTAGGACCACACGGTGCCTCTCTCTGGGTTAATGGTTAATGGTGAAGCCGATGCTGATTAAATGAGATTGAGAAGTGAAGGTGGAAGAGAGCCTCAGACACCGGTCTGTGGGAACTCACAGACACAGCAGCAAATCCTCTCCAGAGAGAAGCATCGGGAGGGGAGGGGAGGGGAGGGCAGCAGTGAGGGGAGGAGGGAGGGGGTGGGAGGGGGACAAGTTGATCAGCAGAAAGTTTCAGCAACTTTTCAGAACTTGAGAAACTTTTCAGAAACTCGAGAAACTGTTCAGAGACTTTTCACAACTTCAGAAACTGTTCAGCGACTATTTCAAACTTTTCAGAAAGTTTTCAGAAAGTTTGGGGAACTTCAGAATAAATGGTCTGAAGTTTCTCTCCACCGCCTCCCTCACCTGGGGATCGTATTGTATTTATTCTCAAAGTGATTGGGCTTTGTGTGTGTGTGTGTGTGGGGTTTTTTTTTAATTGTTGGAATTTTTTTTCCCATTTCCACCCCCAAAAAAAATACAAGTTTAAGGCCAAGATTCTTAATTCCCTATTTTTTTTTAAAAAACAAAAAAAATCTCCCCCAGATTAAAAACAAAAGTATTTTTGTTTCGCGAAGAACAGTGAGGCCAGGAATGGAAATCCAGTGAATATTTCTGATCTGTGTGGATTCCTGGGATAAGGTGCATCTCTCAGAACTTAGCACCAGGCGCGATCCGCAATAACAGGTAACAGGTAAGCCTTCGTTTCTCTCAGTTATCTTCCTGTGAACACCTAAGAGAGGGTGTGGTGGATGGGGATTGAGGGAAGGGAGAGTGCATTTATAATAAAATATTGATTCTTGAATTTGATACAGCGCTTTATCACATCGTTCAGACATCTCAAAACGCTTCACAGAATGTATTCTGAAGTGTAGTGACTTGTGTATGTTGTGGTAAAATTTGTATATGATCTGCCGAGAGCTCCCAGATGCTACCCTGTGTGAAGGGCACTGTATAAATATAAGTTTAAGTATAAGTATAAAATAATACTGTGCTAATGACCCTCGCATTTGAGACAGCGCCTTATCATGTCATCGAAACGTCTCAAAATGCTTTGAAATGTTTTTTGTCACTCAATCCACACCTGTTTGTGGGACACTGCTGTGTGCAATTGACTGCTGCGTTTCACCCACAAAATTTACAGTCAATCTACTTTACAGTATATTCTGTGGTGCGCTTTGAGATGTTCCAACTCCGTCGTGAAAAGCTGTATCAAATACAAGGATTATTATCATACGATTCTGTATGGAAAAAAGACGAAGATTTGCTTAAAATTCCCAGTGATAGCTTTTCAGATTCCTGCCTTATGTTTTCTTCTTGTGCTGATAAACTGAGAGCTTTATGATACGGGCGGGTGCTGTTAATGCACCTTTTAGAATATGATAATAGTCTGCAATGACTGATAATCCTCCATCTGAAATGACGCACACTTGACAGGACTTGCCTGACTCAAAAATGCATTGCCAAACACTCTTAAGTGTTTAATCTTAATATTAACAAGTGTATCTTTACATTTTTGTAGAAAAATAAATAACTCCCTTTGTCTTTTCCCTCCCGTGTCTGTAAATGTGATGGGTTTCATTCTGTTATGTGAGAGAGGGAAGATGAGTCAATGTGATTGTGTCTCTGTGTGGGACCATAAATTGTAGAGTTTCGCAAGGTGTTCCTTCTGATCATTGTGACTAGGAATGTGGTTTGAAATACAACACAAATTTCACCCCACGGGGCTCATGGCAAGCCCTGATTGCTCTCTTGGTTGGACTGATATAATAACATAAATAATCCTCACTTGATATGTTGCAGTCAGAATGTCCCAAAGTGCTTCAGAAGTAATTGCTGTCAATCGCAGTGACACTATTTATAAGCAAACATGGCAACAACAACAACAACAAGATTACATTTGTATAGCGCCTTTCACGTCGGGAGGACGTCCCAAGGCACTGGACAGAGTACAGCATTTCAGATTTTTTTTATTTATTTGAGATTTTGCATTTAATAAAAATATTTCAGATATTTCAGATGGCAATGTATAATGTGCATTGGTCAATGTACTGTAAATCTCTCCCAAAGAGATAATAATAATAGTAATACACACATATTCGAGATGTCTCAAAGCGCTTCATAGAATGTATTGTAAAGTGAATTGACTGTATACTTTTGTGGGTGAAACGCGGCAGCCAATTGCGCAGCAGTCATGGATTGAGTGACCAAATTAATATTTTTTTTAAGGAATTATTAACTCTAGAAATTGATCCGCCAATCGACTAACAACCGGGTTCCTACATACTGCTCGGTAACCAGAGGTGTGTGTGTGGAGTAAGGCTACGTGGGTAAAGTTTCGCCCTGCCCAGGAATGAAACCCAGGTCCGCTCACTTGTGAGGCGAGTGGTCGAACCAATACACTACAGGACTGCACAGCGATATCCTCCAGCCCTAACCCTAAGTTCCTGATGCCGTTACAGAATGTGCAAGAGTCTATTATTGAGAAAGACAATTGTTAGTTGGTTGATCCCTTAACCAACTTAATTATATAATTACAGTCCCAGCCATTGTGTGACTATTGGGGAAGTATCATTATCTGATTTAAACACAAACCTTCTATAATAAAGAAGGTAACTCGGACAGCTGAGCATTCTTGTGAGTGTTTAATTTTAATAGGAATAACTGTTTGGAGGTTGTTCCCTTTGGGGAGTGGGGCAGTAAATGTGATAGTGATAGGGGAACAGTATTGACTCTGGGTGCTGTGCTGGTGTGAGCTATCTATTCTAATCCCATTCCCTGTCTCTTTCTACGTGCATCATGCACAGCTGCCCGTTGCTGTCTGCCAAGCTAGGATGCTAACCTTTTAACAACCTGTAAACCATTGACTTCAAAACCCACTCATCTTGAAGAGAGGAGAGGAGAAAGAGAGTGAAACAAACAGTGCCAATAAGGTCACGACGTCTCAAAGAGCTTCATGATAACTACCATGTAGTGACTGTTCTTCACAGGCATGTGAAATAAAGCCCTTGGGTGGAATTGGAAATGTAGTGTTTGGCTACAAATACACTTTACAGTCAAACACGTGAAATGCTCTGAGATGTTTTGATGAATCATCGAATACCTGTCCTAACATTTAAAATAATTTTTTTTAAAAAATCCTCCCTAACAATTAAAATGAATAAAAATTTAATTTTAAATAAATAGAATAAATAATAAATTGCAATTGTTTACACATGGGTTTTTGGTTTGCAGAATTTTAAAATTTAACCACTGTTTGTGGGATGCTGCTGTGCGCAACTCGCTGCCGCGTTTCGTCCACAAAATACACAGTAAATTCACATTGCAATATATTCTGTAAAACGCTTTGAGACGTCTGAATGATGTGTTATGATGCTATATCAAAGGCAATGATTATTATTACTATCAACAATATCATTCAATCTTTGTCTGTACCTTTCTAGGCAGATTATCACCAGTGTTGTTGTTTTGTTAAATATTCATCTGTATATACTTTGGGAAAAATGCCTAAACTTGAAGGACCCCATTAGTGTGGTGGTAAGGTATCTGTGGATTGTGTGTAACTATGTGGGGGGTGATTGCCAGCCATGCGTGAGCCCTATCTGGCATTAACACAGGTTGGCTGGTTTACTGCTAAGCTCACTCTTGCCAACAGTGAAGAAAGAACCTTTGCAACGTGGAAGCCTCGGAGGCAATGTTCAAATGCCAATCAGACAAATGCCGTTGCCAACGAGATTAGCTGGAGAAGCTACTGGTGCACAACATGGGAACCTTTTGTCTTCAGTTCTCTCGGTTCATAGTTCAGTCAGACCAATAAACACCAGTCGAGGCTTGGTTTGTAGACGTTGCTATGTGCAAATTGGCTGCCAGACTCACCCACAAGAACAAGAAACACAGTTACTACTGTCACCGCACAGTACCTTCCTGTGAAGTGCTGTGAGATGGTTTGTTGAAGGATGAGGCGCTGTATCACACTGTAAGGATGATTATATCTGACAGACAGACAGGGCAGCACATGAGAGCTTCAGTTTTGAGAGAAGACATCTCGCGGGTGATCTTGTAGATCTGGTATCAAATTTTAAATGGGAAAATTAAACCCAGAACAATACTCTTAGCATACACCAGGACAACAGACAAGAGGATGTGGGTTTAGAGTTGCAAAGGGCAGTGTCAGGACAGACAGACCCCAGGAAGTATTTCTTTAACCAAGGAGACATTAATGACTGGGACAGGTTTCCAGGAAGGGTGTCTGAATACTGGACTAATTAAAATAAACAGCTCCATGCTGAGATGGGGGGAGTGGGGGGTGGTTCTGGAAGGATGAGATCAGATAGGCGAAGTGCCTTTTTCAACCAACCACTATCCACACTCTTCCCCCCCCCCCCCCAACCCACCACATCACAGGATCAGCCTAGACAATCTGCTCTCAAAGTCCCCACTTAAAGCTTGAACCCACAACCTTCTGACTTGGAGACTAGTGTGAGAGAGAGAGAGCTACCCACTGGGCCAGGCTGACACACAAATGTTTGCAATGTAATGTGAGAATGAGGAAATAGATAATATTTGCTTTCCCATTTTTTTGAAGTGTTGTCACGCTTATCTGAGTTTATCTTTCACTTGTTATACTAGTGTGTCACGAGGACCTAGGTGTGACCAGAGTGAAGTTTGCAAGACTAGATCAGGAAGATTAAATTCTTTAACAGTAATAATCCTAGCATTTGCTATAGCAGTTTGTAACATCACTTCACAAACAATTGCTGTCCAGTGTATTGATTGTGTATTTGTAGGAAAATCTGGCAAACAATTTTCGCCGAGTAAACTCCTACAAACAACCATTCAGTATCAGCCTGGCTCAGTCAGTCGCGCTCTCACCTTTGATACGGAAAGATGTGAATTCAAGCCCCCACATCTGGACTTTGAAGGCACAATCTCGGCTGACATTCCAGGACAACAACAAGATTGCCTTTGTATAGCGCCTTTCAAGTTGGGAGGATGTCCCAAGGCACTGGACAGTGACAGCATTTCAGACCCGAGCTGGGGTCAGGGAGGGAGAGGGGAAGGGGGATGACCGAGGGGTGGTCGAAGAGGAGGGTTTTGAGGCGTACAGTGCTGGAGGAGCCAGCGCTGCATTGTTAGTTAGATCCGTTTTTTAAACTGAGACGTTAAACCAAACTTGTTCTGGTGGATGTGAAAGATCCCAAGACGAATAATTTTGGAATCCAATATTCTCATTGCACGATTTTCATTCATGTATTATTTGTTGTTGCAAAGACATGATTTTAGACATTTTTAAAAAAAAATTAACTTTTAAACATTTATTATTCCATATATTTATCTCAGAACAATAAATACACGTTGTTGTTGCTTATCTAGGGATCTCGCACACTGGTGAGGCCACCCCCAAACCTCTGATGACCCAATAGTAAAGTGATGGCAGTGTTGCAGACCGACCTGTCCGCTATAGGTAAGCAGCCACTGCTTTTCCCAGTGATGACTTTTATGCGTTGATCACATCCCGTCGGTATCCAAACCAAACCTGTTTTTCATCAAGAATCGAGGACCCGATTGTTCTCATTGTCAATCTCTTTCATCCGAAATCTCACTCCAGCCCTTGTTTAGTTCTTTGCTTCTCATCCCCAATCTCCCGGCCAACAATGTCTCTGAGGAACAGAGAGAGACCTGGATCTAGTCACCTCATCCATTAAACTAGTTCCAATTTCATGTTTGTGTGTGTGTGGATCTCTCTCCCTGTGTGGGTGTATCTCTCTCCCTGTGTGGGTGTGTGTGGGTGTATCTCTCTCCCTGTGTGGGTGTGTGTGTGTGTATCTCTCTCCCTGTATGTGTGTGTGTGTGTGTGTATCTCTCTCCCTGTGTGTGTGTATCTCTCTCCCTGTGTGGGTGTGTGTGTGTGTATCTCTCTCCCTGTGTGGGTGTGTGTGTGTGTATCTCTCTCCCTGTGTGGGTGTGTGTGTGTATCTCTCTCCCTGTGTGGGTGTGTGTGTATCTGTCTCCCTGTGTGTGTATCTGTCTCCCTGTGTGTGTGTATCTGTCTCCCTGTGTGTGTGTGTGTATCTGTCTCCCTGTGTGTGTGTGTATCTGTCTCCCTGTGTGTGTGTGTATCTGTCTCCCTGTGTGTGTGTGTATCTGTCTCCCTGTGTGTGTATCTGTCTCCCTGTGTGTGTGTATCTGTCTCCCTGTGTGTGTGTATCTGTCTCCCTGTGTGTGTATCTGTCTCCCTGTGTGTGTATCTGTCTCCCTGTGTGTGTGTATCTGTCTCCCTGTGTGTGTATCTGTCTCCCTGTGTGGGTGTATCTCTCTCCCTGTGTGTGTGTATCTGTCTCCCTGTGTGTGTATCTGTCTCCCTGTGTGTGTGTATCTGTCTCCCTGTGTGTGTATCTGTCTCCCTGTGTGTGTGTATCTGTCTCCCTGTGTGGGTATCTGTCTCCCTGTGTGGATGTATCTCTCTCCCTGTGTGTGTGTATCTCTGTGTGTGTGTGTGTGTATCTCTCTCCCTGTGTGTGTGTATCTGTCTCCCTGTGTGTGTATCTGTCTCCCTGTGTGGATGTATCTCTCTCCCTGTGTGTGTGTATCTCTCTGTGTGTGTGTGTGTATCTCTCTCCCTGTGTGGGTGTATCTCTCTCCCTGTGTGGATGTATCTCTCTCCCTGTGTGTGTATATCTGTGTGTGTGTGTGTGTGTATCTCTCTCCCTGTGTGGGTGTATCTCTCTCTCTGTGTGGGTGTATCTGTCTCCCTGTGTGTGTATGTGTCTCCCTGTGTGTGTATCTCAGTCTTGCTCTCACTCCCTGTGTGTCTTACTCTCTCTAGGATGGAGTTGGCTGGCTGTACTAGTTGTTGCGGGATCACTGATGACCATTGTGCTGGGGCTGACAGCTGACTTTATAAAGGATTGCTGCAAGAAAGCATTTAATGTGGAAAATGAAGATCATGAGGAAAGTACGTGGCTGTATCCTCTTTCTGCACCAACTGGTCTGGATTTACACTTCCCTGTGTGTGACACTTCACAGCCTCCATGACACTGTTTGGAAAGAGAAGAGAGTTTCTCCGTCTCCGTGTCCTGACCAACAATACGCACGGATTTTAAAAATTGTCACTCGCTCCACGGCTGTTTGTGGGACATCACTGTGGCAATTGGCTGCCGTATTCGCCTACAAAATACAGTCACAGTAAATCCTGTCAAGCGGTTTGAGACATCCTCTCAGCCTGAAACGCGTTGTATTAAATTCATTTATTATTATTATTATTAAGTTTGATGACGTAAAACAGAAGGAGATAAATCCGTTCAGTCCATCAGACCTATTCCACCAGTTTATTAGATCGTGGCAGATCTGCGACTCCCAATCACACCCACTTGGCATTGACTACCTCTGTTTGTGGGGTGGAGAGGTTAGCTCTTAAACAACCCACTTAAGCTCTACTTAGAAGTTTGTGGTGAAAAACCCCAGAGATAGGTTCAAACTTGAAAAAAGACAGGTTCGTACGTATGTGATATAACACGTCAAACCAGCAACTTGCAGATACTTGGGTTTTGTAATAACATTTGGTTCACATTCACTTACAAACCACACAGTCACTCCACTTTACAGTATATTTTTTGAAGCACTTTGAAACGTCTCAACGACGTGATAAGGCGCAATATCAAATGCAAGGATTATTATTGTTATTAAAGTTAAACCTGCCGTAACCACAACCCTAATTGTTCTCAGTTCCTGAGGAGCCTAAAGGTGCCTCTTCGCTGCAAGAGGTCACGTCTGGTCCAATGAAGATGGGGTGCACGGAGGATATCCTGCTGTCAAAGCTGCCTCTGGATGGCAGGGAGGTGCCCTTTGTGGTCCCAAACCTTCAAGCATCCTACATTCAGCCCAACGTTCAACGGAACTACAGCTATGCAGAGGCCAAGCCAGGTGAGCTTGTGGTTAGGAGTTAACCCGTCACTGTTGCTTAACAGTATCCAAACCAAGCTGAGATTTCCACCCATCCCACCTACACATGGAAATCCCAGAGACAGACTGTGGGAATGGAATGTGCTCTCTCTCTCTCCCTGGATTAGATTGTATCAGAGCAGAGTTAGTTCCAGAGAATTGGCATGAAATTTCTTCGGTTTCATTCAGTTAGAAACGCCCGGCTATTAAAAGGCTTGTATTATCTTTTTGAGTGTCCTTGCCACTTTGTAACCTCATTCCCAGGCCCTGTAATCCTCTTTTAATTTAAAATTAAATTGACCACCAAACACACAGTGAATCCACTTTGCCATGTATCACGTGAAGCACTTTGAGATATCTCGACCACATGATCAGGTGCGGTATAAAATGCCAGGATTATTATTATTATGATTATTACTATTATTGGGGTCGGGGCTGGGACACATGACTCTTTGTGATGATCATGGAGTTCTACCCTGTACAGTATATTTCTCTGTGTCCAGGTTTCTCGAGGACCTCCTATGTTGAGAGGAAGCTGGAGATGACGGGTGGGCTTCAGTGTATGCAGGAAATTGACGAGGTGTACAATCCCAACTTCGTGTTGCAGTCGGTGGGGGCCAGTAGAGGGCCCGGACCCCTGGGGAACACTGCGGGGCCATACGGCTCAGGTCAGTAACAATACAGAGTCTGCGACCTCCAGGTCGAGGAATCGCGTTATTAATAATAATAATAATTAATCAATCACAACCTTCTGCTACATAGTCGAGAGAGAGCTGCCCACCTACCCACTGAGCCAGGCGACGTGTTACAGAAGATTTGGCTGCATTTGTGACACATTTTACATTTTCATTTTTTAAAAAACCCAAACCACGTGATGGAGATTCTCTCTGGATCTCAGTATCTCACAGATCAACAGCTAAACACAATGGGAATCATTGTGTGGGCTTTGATTTAGATGTGCGAGATTGATATGTTTTGATTGGTTTATTGGATAGCCATGTTGATTAGATTGGAAGATGTTGGAATGCGCTTGGCTCTCCCAGTCTCACTCTGGCTCCCGTTCAGCTGCCAAAATAAGGCGGCTTCTCCCCCTCCCCCCACCCATTCGCTAATCTCACTTTGTTGGTGCCTGCACTTCAGATTAACAAAACCCTGTCACTGTTAGTTACAAAACTGTGTGAGCGACAGTGAGGTGAGACACACAATCTACTAATCAACATGTGCCAAGTGTTAGCGAGGTTTGTGCCTGCAGATGTGTGTGTGCACCAAGGTACAGAGTGCATGGTGACCGAGCTCTGTGTATGGACCCACTGCTGGAAGGAAAGGTCCAACTTCATCAATTCCTCAGAGTTTATTCTGCCTCCATTATGTTGATTCACGCACGGATCAAGTTGACAAACATTGCTGTGAGCGGGGCCGATGGGACCTCAGTTTAACTTCTCGTGTGAAGAGTAACAACCGCTAACGCTGTGTGTGGGTGTCAGCCCAGACCGGGAGCTCATGGCCCCCAAAGTCAGGCTTGAACCCACAACCTGCTGACTGTGAGACGAGAGTGGTTCCCACTGAGCCAGGCTGACGCCTGCCAGTGCATGGACTGTTTGTATTGTTTGATGGGCGTTTTCTGTCACTGCCCCCCCCGCCCCGTGTATCTCCTGCAGGACTGGGAGCTTGACGTGTTGTGACTGCTTTGTTTCAGTGTGGGACCTGAGGAGCCCCAAGCTGTCTGGCCAGGCAGCTCTCAGCAGCTCTATGTTTGATCTGTCCACAGCGCAACATCGAACCCAGGTGAGTCTCCGAGAGTCCTCTGGGCCCGGCCCTGCCCAGCTCCACCCACCTCACTATGTACTACTGGTACAGAACAGGCTACACAGAAACATGCTGATGAGTCTCAAACCAAACTGAGAATTCCCCACATCTCATCTCACATGGAAACCCCAGAGATTGTTGAAATGGAATGTGCTCTCTCTCTCTCTCCCTCTCTCCCTGGAGGGACACCTCCTGCTTACCTAATTCCAGAAAGATTAGGCGCAGGTTGGCAAGAGCCAAGGCTTGGGGGGAGCCCAGAGTGTGTGTTGGGAGTAACTGCTGGTGTCTAATCAGCTAAAACCGGACATTGAGAGCACCGTCTGGCCAGCTTTCCTGCTGCTTGTCCAGCAAGGACCACCCTACACCTCCAGTTAGGGCTTTGACTCACAGGGTTAACAGGAGCCAAGTGGGACGATTTCCTGCTACGTGACTGGATGATTCACAAAACAGAACATCAATATTTAGCAATTGAAATTACATTAACCATCTCTTTAAAAGAGCCATTGTGTTTGTCTCTCTCCCCACTTCTCCTCCCCCCAACAGAAAGCTGGAACTCACTTGGTTATTCCTTTCCAGACTCATTGCTAATCATTGCAGCACCTCAAATTGAAAGGAAACTGAGTGTCTGAAAAGTGCGCTCGCAGAATATTTTGTAATGCTGGTTATTAAAACTCTCTCTCTCTCTCTTTGCTCACAGAGATTCAGCTCCACGTCCAGTATCAACAGCAGCGTGTCGTCCATGATGGATTTCCAGGGAAGCAGTCGCAGTCTAGGTGAAGTAAATAAATAACTAATCCACTTAAAAGAGAAGGGTTAGCCATCTGGCAACAAGTTAACTGTGTCCACTGAGCTCTTCTGAGCTCAGCCATGCCTGTAGGTATCTAATCCTGCATACCCGCCTGTCCACTTCCTCCGCTCGGCGGACTCCAGCTTGCTCCATGTCCCCCGCTCCACCATCGGCAGTTGGGGCTTCAGTGGCTCTGCCCCAACCCTTTGGAACTCCACCCCACAATCCCTCTGTCTCGCCTCCTCCCTTTCCTCCTTCAAGACACATCTCAAGGCCCTCCACTTTGACCGCGCCTTCGGTCACCCGCCTACCCTCATCCTCCTGCCCTCCACCCCTCCTGATGCCAACCCCCAGCTCGGGTCCAAATCCCTGACTGTGCAGCACTTTGGGACGTCCTCCCCTCATGAATTACAAGTGTAATTTGTTGCTGTTGATCAACTTCATTATTGGAATCGGATGCCAGATTTAGGATGTTCTTGGCTCCCAGGTTTGTCGTCAGGGCTACAAAACGTCCGTCTGTATCTTTGAGTTGCATTGATCCCAGGATCTAAATGTTCTTTTCGATCCACAACAGATAGTCCTCTGGACGATTTGGGAAAACTGACCCTGAAGCTCAGCTACAAGCCATCGAGGGAGCAAATCTGGATCACCGTGGTCCAGGTAAGTTCTGTGTCTCCTAAATTGGCTTTGGTTGTCACAGAAGAAGGGACGGAGGCTGTTTAATGATGATATACAACACAGCCGTGTTATATCCCTGTGCCCAGGCCCTCGGCCCGCGTTAGAAACAAATGTCCAACTCCCAGGTTGTGAGGTCGCCGGTGAGGTCACTTCCTGCACACTGCATACGCATGCTGCTCGCCGCTGATGTCACTTCCTTTGTGACGTGTCATCGGCGGCACTTCCTGCAATAACCTGATGACCTGGAAGTTCACTTTTTTTTTTAAACGCAGGAAGCTGATCAGTCGATGCCAAAAGCCAGGTGTATTTTTTTTAACATAGAATCATAGTCTTACAGCACAGACGGCCTCGGTGGTGACGGCTCTTTGAAAGAGCCACTCACCCGTCCCAATGGAATCATTGCATTTTCTTCCTGTGGAATGTGTTAAAGATTCAAACTGCAATCTCTTTTTTTCCTTATTTTGGTGAAGGTGAAAGATTTGTACCTGGGCTGCAAACCCACAGACAAAGTGAACATTTATCTGAAAGGAACAATAACGTTACCCAAACCAGTGCACTTTAAAACGTCTGTCAAAGAGGCGACCAGTGTGAGTATCTAACCTTCAAACCTCTCGTTTTGCAATTTCATTGCCACTAATTACATTGCTGTTTTGTAATCTTGTCCCAGTTTAATACAACAACTTGCACTTATTTCACATCCTTTATGCAGAATAGTGTTTCCTTGTCCCAGTGGTTCGAGTGGAAGATCCTTGTTCTCACCTCTAAATCCCTCTCCGGTCTCGTTCCACTGTACCTCTGCAAACACCTTCAAGCCAACCGCCCTTCTCTCAACCTGCTTCATGTCCACTGCCCAATCTGCTTAACCATTAGTTTTAGCCATTAGCTATTCTACCCCTGTTCTCTGGAACTCTCTCCAGCTCGTTCCCTCCCATCTTACAGGATTCATCACAACATGTATCCATCCAGCACTGGGAAGGATTGGGACATCTTCCTGATGTGAAAAACCACGTAAATTATATTGGCTTGTAATGGCAATCATTGGCTTGGCACCTGAGCTGGGTGTGTTGAGGGGTTGTTAGGGAGGAGAAAGAGGACTGAAAGCACAGTAATAGAGATAAATCCTGAAAGTTGGGATTTCAACTCATTGACCAGTTTCCAAAGGGATTGATGATTCCTGCACTTGAACTAATGCACCACGTTTTTTCCTGTTTCTCTTTCCCAGGACCAGCTGTTCATGGAGACGTTTGTGTTTAATATCAAGCTCTCCATCCTCCAGACACATGGCCTCGTCTTCAAGGTTGTGGCTCAGACCTCGCGGAAAAGGCCAGTGGGCGAGTGCTCAGTCTCTCTCCGAGAGCTCAGCGATGTGGAGTCTGACCTCTGCCTGGAGATTCTCCCCCCTTCCAAAACCCCAGTGAGTGTCACTGTCTGGTGTGTGATAATATTAATAATACTAATGATAATGATGATAATAATAATGTAATCATAATCCTTGCATTTGATATAGTGCCTTATCATGTCGCTGAGAGTCTCAAAGCACTTCACAGGATATAGTGTAAAGTGAATTGACCGTGTGTTTTGTGGGTGAAACGCGGCAGCCAATTGCACTCAGCAGTGTCCCACAAGCAGTCTTGGATTGAATGGCCAAATTTATTTTTATTTATTTCAAAAGGATTATTACCCCCAGAAAGCAATCCTTCAATTGACTAACAACTCATTGCTGGTAAACAGGCGTGTGGAGTAATAAATAGATTTAAGTAAATCGACACTGGTGGAATTTTGACTGATCTTTGTTCCTAATTCCGTGGTGAAGCCTCACAGTTTAGCTGTTGTGTTGTGAGCTGAGTGGCAGTTGCGTGAGATTTAATAAAAGCAATATTTTCAGAGCAATTAATGATTGATCACCTCATTTTGACAACGCTACCTTTCAATCCTGTTTTTCCTGTTTTTATTTCAAGTAAAATTTTATTACATCGAAAATTGTCACCAGCAATTAAACAGCGAGAACCACCCAAATTTACTGAATGGCCTCCTACTGTTGATAAATTTCCGTGATTTACATTCGCTGCATTTTGCAATCCATTCTGTGAGACCTGGTGACTGAGCTTGTCTGCTACGAGCAAGGAATTTACCTGTACAGACTTAATGGGCCGAATGGGCTCCTTCTGCAATGTAAATTTCAAGGACTGTTCATCAAAGCAATTGGGGTATTTATTTATTTTTTGCAATTTGTGAAGCTTCACGACGTAAAGCCTGTTCTCAGTGGTAGCGCTCTCTCTCACAACAACTTGGATTTATATAGCGCCCTCCAAGGCGGACGGTGTCTCAGAGCGCTTCACAGTAACGGATCCTGGAGCCGAGCCGGGGGGAGGGGGAGGAAGGTGACCAAAGGCGCGGCTGCAAAGTCAGAAGTTTGTGGGGTTCAAGCCCCCACGCTGGGACTTGGAATCATACAGTGCAAGCTGACACTCCAATGAATTGCTTGGGGGTTGTTACATTGTGGGAGGTGTCGTCCTTCAGATGGGATGTTAAACCGAGGTGGTGTCTGCCTGTTCACGTGGATGTTAAAGATCCCGCAATGCGATTCAAAAACAGAAATCAGTTTCTCTCTCCCGGTGTCCAACAATCGCCTCCAAATAAAACTGGCCATTCGCTCCACAGCTGTTTTTGAGACGTTGCTGTGCACAATTGGCCGCTGTATTTCACCCCTAAAATACACAGTCACTGCGCTTTACAATATATTCTCTGAAGCGCTTGAGATGTCTCAATGGCATGATAAGGCCCTAAATCAAATGCAGAGATTATTAAAGCTGGATGTGGGCACGGGTGGGTACGGGTGGGTATGGGTGGGCGCGCGGGTGGGCACGTGTGCATGCGTATGCTTGTTCCGCGTCTTACAGAACCAGCCGGACCTCGAGTGGGAGGGACAGCAAGTGGTGTTCATATGGGGTGGGATAGTTTAATGACCCGCTGACATCAGCAGTAATAATCATCGCTCAGTCTTAGCTTGGCTAACGAGAGCAGAGTCAACGAAGGGCTTCTGTTTCGGCTCTTGTTTCAACTATTAAATTGAATCGAATAAAAAATGAGTAGTTTTCCCTCTTGGCTCCTGTGCTGAGTTGCGACTTGTTATTTTCTCCCCAGACCTGCCATGCCCTGCTGCACATCGGGACCTGCTTCCAGGCTATCAGCAACCGCATCCAATTGCAGGTCCTCGAGGCTCAGAACCTGCCCACCTCCTCCACACCTCTGACACTCAGTAAGTGAGGAGCTGACTTCACCTGTACAGTCCTGTAGCTCAGTGGTTAGAGCACTCACCTCGCAAGCGAGAGACCTGGGTTCGATTCCCGGGCAGGGCGAAACCTTGGACAAGTCTCCTTACTCCACACACCTCTTTTTACCCAGCAGTAAGTAGCAACGTGGTTGTTAGTCAATTAGCGGATCGCTTTTCCAGGGGTAATAATAAAATAATAATAATAATTTGGTCACTCAAACCACGACTGTTTGTGGGACACTGCTGTGTTTCGCCCACAAAATTCACAGTCACTACACAGTCAACCACTTTTCAATATATTCTGTGAAGCGATTTGAGACATCTCAATGACGTGATAAGGCGCTATATCAAATTTTAAGATTATTATTATGTATACTCACTATTTGTTTCCTGTTGTGAAACTTTTCAAAGTTGCCCAAATTAATTGTATCATTGCCTTTCCCTCCTTACCTAGATTTCTTTGTGAAGGCCATGATGGACTGCAGGGACGGGCTGATTAACAAGAAGAAAACTCGGCCTCTGAAATCTGTCAACGGGAAGGTGAAGTGGGGAGAGACCTTCCTGTTCCCCGTCTTACAGAACCAGCCGGACCTCGAGGGTCTCAGCTTCACCCTCAAACTGTACAGCAGGAGCTCAGTCAGAAGGAAGCACCTTTTGGGGCAGGTAATTTCTAAGTCGCATTTCTTTCATTGAATAGTCTCCTGCGATGGCAAAGGGCACGGGTTTAGCTGCTTGAACTCCAGCAGTACCTCACTGCATACTCTGAGGTCCCCAAATGGAGTCCAGTAGTTTATGTGGAACCTGTTGTGTATTGGTCAGAGCACTCGCCTCACAAGGCAAGAGGACCCGGGTTCGATTCCCAGGCAGAGCGAAACCATAGACAAGTTTCCTTACTCCACACACCTCTGTTTACCCAGCGGTAAGTAGGTACCTGGTTGTTAGTCGATTGGCAGATCGCTTTCTGGGGGTAATAATCAGTTGAAAAATAAATAAATTGTGGTTACTCAATCCATGACTGTTTGTAGGACACTGCTGGGTGCAATTGGCTACTGGGTTTCACCGACAAAATATACAGTCACTACACTTTACAGTATGTCCTGTGAAGCACTTTGAGATGTATCGATGATGTGATAAGGTGCTATATCAAATGCAAGGATTATTATACGCTTTGGCACTTGCCAACCTGCACCTAATACTCTCCCAGATTAGGGAAGGAGTGTGTACTCCGTGACTGACAGACAGACATCATGTTAAACGTGTGTGAACTCTAAGTGGTTTGTGTGGTGATGATTTTGTGTGTTTATATCTGACCATCAGCAAAACGAGAGCTTTGTTACTCGAATGAGAAATGAGCAGCTTTATCTTGTTAACGATTGTTAACATTGCACTTTGACAATGGGTTTGTCAGGTAAGGAAGGTGGTGTTATGCGGCGCCTCTCTCTTGTGTTTCCAATCCAGTTATTGTTAAATGTTAATCGAGTTTGATCCAGGCTCATTGTACAGCACAATGATGGATTGAAACAACAGATTGACGCAAGTTTTTTTAAAAGAAAGATTAGGAGTAAGAGGGGAAATCAGGCAGAACCTTTTTACACAAAGGCTAAAGGGCTCGTCTAACACAGCTACTGTAGTAATGGGTTCTAGAGGCCACTCAATGTCTTTCTGTGGAGAAGGGATGGATTACATGACATGGTGACAAGGCTGGCAGCTGAAGTTCTGAGGAATCTAGGAGGAATGTGCTTTTTTTTTTATTCCATTGCCCTCCTTGCCGATCCCCCCCAGCTCCACTATCCACAAAATCCAGTTGAATTCAGATTTCTGCCACCCATGTACTCATCCTCTCGAAACTCTGAACCTCCATCACCCCAGCCCTCCCCAGGCTCCACTGGCTCCCTGTCAAAGGACAGATCAACTGAATAGCATTTATATAGTTTTTATCTGCTTACTCCATTTTAAAAATAATAATCATAAAAAGTCTCACAAATAGCCATGAAGTGAATGACCCATTTTATCTGGAGTGATTGCCGGCCAGGACATGGTGGTAAACAAACAGGCCATGTTTAGGAGTTCTGACATAGGGGAAAGGAGTTGATCCTCATTTGTATGTGATTTTGTGTTTTTTTTTGCTTCGTTGAATGTCTTAAATGCTTAATTTTAAACGTCCCAAAGCTTTGTAGCTTTAGTGCTCCGGTGATAACATAACTCGACACACAGATCTGTTTTCTTTCCTCTTTGTTCTCCTCTCTGAATATTTTACTTAACAAGGACAGCCTTTCATCAAACATTCATTCAGATAGTCAGGCAGCTACTTAAAGCTACTATTCATTACAGCAGGACAGGTGGAACTCCTGGTTTGAGGGAAAGTCACGCTGTTGGTTTCAGTACTGCAACAATTTTAATATACTTTTCCAACAGCACTGTTCAGTCTTCAGAAGAGAAGGCCTTCACTGAGGTTGCTGTAAAATAAGCAGCTTTTACTTTTGAAACTCAAAATTAACACACTGCCTTGCTGAGAGATAATAATCCTTGTGTTTGATACAGCGTTTCTCACGCAAGAAAGTTGTCTCAAAGGCCAGGAGGAGGATGTTTGGTCACAATGCTTTGTGCTTCTGTGTGAAGGAACCACCAGTTGTTCAGGGTCTTTTTCCCAGCCCACATACCCTCGAGATGTACCACAGATTAGGCCCCGCACGTTGGGAAGATTTAGTTTTTTTGTACTTTGCCCAAGGCCAGTTATCAGTCGCTGCTCTCAGAGCAGTTGAGGACGATAATGGCAGGTTATTAAGGCCAAGCGTCAATGCTTCTTGATCAGCCACATTCTCTTCTAAGATTGGCCCCAAGGTGTCCCGCTCCTCATGCTGTTGACTCATTGGTTACCTTCCCAGCAGCACCGATGAAGATCAAATGATCTGAACAACTTTGTGAGAGTTTTACTGAGTAAAGTTTTCCTACTTGTCATTATTTTATTCACACTGAACCCCAGGTTAATTACAATTAACACAGACTTAACACATTGTTTATATGACTGACCCTATGTCAGGCAAGTTTCCTTACTCCACACGCCTGTTTACCCAGCAGTAAGTAGGAACCCAATTGTTAGTCGATTGGCGGATCGCTTTCCAGGGGTAATAATCCCTTTTTAAAAAAATAAAAAAAAGATAATTTAGTCACTCAATCATCAGGCCATCATTTTCATGGCAGATAATGATCATCCTTCACATGATGGAATGAGGAGGGGAAAGGCTTCTGTGATATCTCAGCTTGTTTCAGCATCTCCAGTCTTGTGTCGCTGTTTTGTAACCAGGGGGTAACAGGACTTACCTGTGGACACCCTGTATTTGAGGCCAGATAGACCTCAATATGTTTTTAATATCTTTCCCAACACAACCTCTTCCTGTTCTTAAGACCACACCTGACCTAAGTGCGTATTTGGTTAATAGCTCGGGGCTATGGGAGGAATAATGACACATAATGTAACCTGTCAGTTGAAGTTCTCCTCAAGGGGATTTTTTCCCTGTTTCCTCATTGATTAAAGCCACTTAAAAGAGGAAGTTATTTCCAGTAAGATGAAACATTCAAGACTACAAATGGCAAACAATCCACAAGATAAGTTTCTGTTTCAGAATCCAACTCCCTGTTAAATGAGCCTCAGTGAGGCTGAGCCTTACAGTCACCTTTAACTCCTGAGGAGACAAATGCCATTATTATCTCTGAACCGGAGAGTCAGGGATTTGAGCCACAAGAGTCTACGTGCTTCTAAAATCATTTTTCTGGAATTGGAATTAGCCTCGTCTGTGGGTAGCACAAAGGAGACTAGTGTGTGGGTCTGTCCACCCGACTGATCCTGAGCACTATTACCTGGGACCAAAGACGGCAGTGAACTGGCTAGTTCTCACCCTACTCAGTGTGGAACTGTGTCAAACAGGAAAACAGAATTGAGACATTCATGACTGTTTGTGGGACACTCACTGCTGTGCGTTCAATCCACGACTGTTTGTGCCCACAAAATATACAGTCAATTCACTTTACAGTATATTCTGTGAAGCGCTTTGACACGTCTCAAAGACGTGATAAGGAGCTATATCAAATGCAAGGATTATTATTATTAGCTTCTTTTGGTTCCAAATTGCTGTTCCACTTTTTGTTGTCTGACCAAACACATCTGAGCAATCCATTTACCAACTCAAAATCAATTATCCTTACATTTGATGCAGTGTCTTTCACATCAGAAGGATGTCTTGAGGTGTAAATTGTAGTGGCTGTGTATTTTGTACCAGGAGAAACTCACTTCCCTTTGGGCAGATGCAATGGGATCTTCTACCTACACAGGCAGGCGGGACCTCGGTTTAATGTCTCCCCTGAAGGACAGCACTTCCAACAATGCAGCGCTTCCCCCAGCACTGCATTGGGGTGTCAGCCAAGACGATATGAGTTCCAAGTCACAATTTGGGGCTTCAACACACAGCCTTCTAACTCTTGAGGGGGAGTGCACCCAACTGAGCCAGACTTCTGAGCTAGTGGAAGATTGAACCCTTAGCATTTCCTAATCCAGAGTATTGCACTCGGCTCTGGCACAGGGGTCTGTAAGAAAGAAAGATAAAAAGATGGGAAGAACTGACTTAATCGTAACTGGTTACCTATGGAAATACTTTGTCCCTATTTACCCTCGCGTATGTGGCTGTTGGTGACTAATGTATGCTGTTGGCTGGAATCTGACTTTGTCCTGTGTGTCTTTGTGCCTTTATTTAGGTAGTCATTGGTTCGGACAGCACCGGAGAGGCCTGGGAGCAGTGGCAGGACATGGCCAAGCACCCAGAGAAAGTTGTTCTTAAGTGGCACAAATTGAACTCCAGCTGAGGCCAAAACAGCACTTGGTATTGGATAAACCTGATCAGATCTCAGCAAATAGGACTTAGGATCTAGAACGGGAAGTTTCTTAGCATCTCGTCTCTCTGAGATGATGAGGGAGGGAGGGAGTAGGGGGAAAATGTTTGTATCATTGTATCTCGATTATTGCTATCTCATCTTCTGAGGTGGAATACAAACAGGCTGGTGTGTTACAAAGCAGTAAAACATTACGGGCTGAAATGAATGTAAATGAAACATCTCGAGGAGCTGCTAAAATTCCAAGCTGTGCTTCTGCCCTGTAACAAACTTCAGGCTGTCCATTTAATAGCGGGTAAAAACCTCATGGACCTGCTGTTGTGTGTCTCTCCTTATTGTTCCTGTTCCTGATGGACAGAAGCTGGACTGGACATGGCAATGACCAAATTTCTGTGGTTACAATGGAAGTGATCCTGTAGTTCAGTGGTTAGAGCACTCACCTCGCAAGCGAGAGACCTGGGTTCGATTCCCGGCAGGGCAAGACCTTGGGCAAGTTTCCTTACTCCACACGCCTGATAATAATCCCTCAAGAAAAAAAAAAATAATAATTTGGTCACTTCAATCCATGACTGTTTGGGACGTTGCTGTGCGCAATTGGCTGCCGTGTTTCGCCCACATACATACAGTCAATTCATTTTACAGTCTTCTGTGAAGTGCTTTGAGACGCCTAGAAGACATGAAAAGCGCTATATCAAATGCAAGGATTATTATTATTATTCTATGGCCAAAACCTTTATGTGAATAAAAAGTTGGTGTCAGATTAATGCTGTTAATAATTA